AAGAAGAAGTTGAAGAACCAGAAAGCTCATACAAGTAGATTTGCAGAGACTCGACCAAGTTCCAGTCAACGTACAGTATTTCCGCGGTCACCTGTCTCACGGATACTCCAAGAATGGCAAATCCCTGCTGCAACGGTTTTTCTGGGCACCGTACGCAAGGCCGAGGGGGCGACTCATCGAGCCTCAAACTGGAGAACCTTCTCCTCCCCACTTGGCCAGTGCTCTGCTCGGGAAGAAACGCGCATTCTCCATTTGTTTCTCTGTTCGATATCAAGCGTCAGAGTGTCATTTTGAGTGGATGAGAAGTGGGCGGCCGATCACCGCTTTGCGTGGGTGGCGAAATCTTGATTTATTTAGTACACGATCTGCGTTGGAAAGGTGTGTCAGTAAAGCACGCGTTAGATGAGGGCGCGAATTCCCCGTTTTGGCATGCAGCCAGGTGTTAAGTTGAGTGAGCTATTGAAACACTTCGTCGGTGACATTCTGCCTCTGAACAACCATTTTATAGAAGAGTGCATGGCACACGTGGATCGTTGGGGGGTCAAAAAAACACGCAATGATGGGAGACTGAAACTCATTTCAAAGATGAGGAATGCGTATTCTTCGATTGCTACGGCACGCCGTCCGGTCTCAAGACGACAAACCTGGAAAGGAATAAAAAAAAGTGGAGGAACTTGTCGACAGTTTGGGAATAGCATCATATAGAAAAGGAAACAAGAGAAAGACATGTTTGTGCTTTTCACGTCACAATATTGACCTCCTTGCCAAAAAGAAACCACATCAGAACCAGAGACATGTCCGCGATGTCCGTGTTCGATTGATTATCAACACTAATGAAGACTATAGCCACCCTTCCCGTGGTTTCCTGCTACGAGGACCGTGGCGTTGTGTATGTTTGTATGTATGCATCTTAGAGTTCTCTCTTTTTGTTTTTGCTCTCTACCGTCCCATCCATCCCGATTCGTTAATGATAAGAGTAAGGAAAGGAGCAAAAGACTGCCTCCTGTGCCGTGGCACCTGTTCTCAGGGCAGTTGATAAAATAAAAAAAAGGGAACACCCCCCCCCCCCAAAAAAAAAAACCCAACAACTCGATGTGAGCCGTTATAGGTACACCGAAGACCCCGCCGAAACTTCAGACCAAACAATGAAAATGCCCACCATGAGGGAATGACGCATCCGAAGCCACCTATTCCAGACTCAATCCCTATCCTCATCCATTTCAGAAGAGCATCCTCGTCCTGACAATTGGATTCGCACTCAGGAAAACATGTGGTCCATGTACCCCTAGTGCACGCCATTTGCCTTTCCGTTCGTGAACTCATCCGATGCCTCCTCCGTGGCGGCCCTCGTCGCCTCGTCCACCGACTGCGCGACGGTAGCCTCGGCCGTCTCGGCCGTCGTGCGAGTCCACTCTTCGAGACGCGCCTTGTCGATGTACTTGCGCAAGATAGAGTCCTCCCACTTCATCGCATCCAGGAGCTTGTCCCTGTAGGACTTCTCCATGGAGGCGAAGCGGCTGTCGAGGTCCTCGACGTAAGCGCCCAGCGCGTCCGATGGTCGGGTTGGCTGGAAGGGATCATCAAGCGTCTCTGTGACAGAATCAGTGTATGAACATGTGTAGGCTGGGGGCCGTGAAAGCGTACGGTATTGGTAGCAGGAAATGAAGGCACTGAACAACGTGGTGCGGGCGAGCTTTTCCTCAACAACAGAGTCGTCCTTCAACTGAGTGTCGTTCAGCTTTGTCCAGTCGTCACGAATGAAACAGCGTCTCCAGATGAGACGCTTGGCCATCTTCAACTCCTCACCCTGGAGAGCGTACGAGGCTGCCACCAGAGCAAGGTAGAATGGATCGGCAATGTCAGCAGCAGTCTCAGGCGAGAGGCTGATGAGCGTGAGCAGATCAATGAGAGACATGACATCCAGAGCTTCATGTCTGAGGAGCCGTCTCATGCTGTTCTCGAAGAGTTGAATCAGTGCCTTCTGCTTCTTCGGGATGTGCAGGCAGTGGTTCTCCATGGCCAGTTGCAGCTCTGCGCTTTCGTCCACAGCCGTTTGAACAGAAGGGAAGACTTGAGCATAGAGCTCGTCTTGAATCTTAATGAGACCCAGCTGGTTGTCGATGGCTTCAATCTGATCTTCAGAGAGTTCCTCAACCTCGGTCTTGGTACGCTTGAATCCGAAGAGATCGGATGAAGGAGGCTTTTGCGATTCGGCCATGAGCGTAAGCTTTCCAAGACTCAGCTCAATCTTCTTGTTCCAAACTTGCTGCTCACGGGTGAGGCCCAGATCAAGAAGCGTCTCTGCTGCGTGATTCATGTCGTCCTCGCCTTGGATATCGTTGATCCAGGAAATCTTGGCGAGTTCAGGCTTTTGTCTGAGGAACTTCGTCCTGAACCCGTGGTTGTCGTATTGGAAATCCAGTACAGCCTGGACGCCGGCGTTGTCTAGCAAAATGTCGTACGTGGGGAAGGCAAAGGCCTCGCCATACTTGTCGAAGTAATCGCCAATCCGCTTCTCCTTCGCCTCGGCCTTTTTGGTGAGTTCACGAGCATCGGCTTGCGATCTTGACACAGTCGCCTCGCTCCTAAGGCTATTGATCTGCTCAATCATGGCTAGAGCCAACGCTTTCCAGCATCGGTGTTTCTCGGCAATGCTAATGCTCTCGTCCCACTTGCCTAGGCGGAGAAGTGCAAGAACCTTGTCGTTGCGGTCCGTGTCGTAGAGCTTTGCAAGATGGTCCGACCACTTCTGAGCCTTCGCATCCTGCTGCGCGGCGTTCCAGCGAGACGCCTCGAGAAGTGAAACAAGATACAGGTCAGTGAGGTTAGCGATCTCCGAGTTGATCTTCTCGAGAAGCACGGGGTCCGGTTGCTTCGATTTGTCCTTGATCTTTTCCTTCGGGGGGTAGTACTGGTCGAGCCACGTGTGACAAAGCTCGAGGAGACGCTTCAAATTGTTGCCAATGTAGTGACACCCAGTCCAGGGTTCAGGGAGGTCGTCGTAGTTCTCGCGCACAATGCCGAAATCCAGCTCCTCATCCTCGAGTCCGTAGAATGAAAGCTTCCTTTGCCGGTATTCCAGAGCCGTCATGAGAGCAACTAGGTTCACCTGCTGAGCCTCGTACATGAGACGAGTAATGTGAACGTCGTCCATGATGTGATCCTTATAAATATACTTGATCACTTCGTAGGCCCAGGCAATGAAGATCTCGAGCCTGCCAACGTCATGAACAAACCAGTGTCTCACACGGTCGACTTCTCCTGCGCTACGGTTGGGGTTAGTCTTCTCGTCCTGGTGGATGAACTCGACAATCTCCGCAATCAGATCCTTCTTGTCGTTGGCAGGTCGTTCATTCGTAAAGGCCTCGTGGCGCTTCCAGAGAACCGTTGAAACCATCATCTTCTCGGCGTGGGAAAGCAATAGCCACCGAGTACGACGGCCCAAGTTGACCTTGGTTGTCTTTAGGTGCAGCATCAACCGCTCAAGAGCGAGGCAGCGAGTGCTAAGGTTGTCTTCCAAAGATGCCGGCAGTGATGAGATGTGCGATGTTGAGGAGCTCATGATTTCTTGGCTAAGCTGCAGCGCAGCTTCCGCCATTTCCTGGTCCGAGAATTGAACACCTTTCCTGACATCGAAAATCAAAGGGGTATCTTGCTTGTTGCCAAAAAAGACGGCCTGTTCAAGCTTGCTCTTTGGTGTGACTTTGGGGGGTTTGTCACTGCCAAATCTGTCGATATCTGTCGTCGTAAGTCGTACAATGCCCGTACCGCGGACCATCAAAACGACTGCTGGGTTCTTCGTCTTTTGGCGACTTCTGGACTCATCGTGGCCGCCGCTGGCCGTCTGCGGCTCCTCGAAACCCGATCCAAGAATCTCTGACTGGTTGTTGTCGGAAAAGTTGATCACATCTTCGTAGGTAGGAGGAATGATGTGGTTGTCCTCCTGGAGTTGGGCGTCTGGCGACTCCGGAGGAACACCAATAGATGCCAAAACCACAGCCTTGTCGAAGATGAGGAATGCCACAAGAGCTGGCCGAGGAAGATGCAGACGAGGCCGGGTGGATTGTACTGGATTCGCAGGGCTGAAGCGTGTCTTGTAGGAGGAAATAGGACGGACCATACCGACCTGCGCTGAAGCTGGCGACATAATGACCTCCACCAAAGAGTAATGCGACTCCTTCTTTCTGGTGAGGCTGACGAGCAGCAGTAGATGCTGCAAGTTGACGTCGGCTGAAGCCATGGCGTCGCTAAGCCTGCTCATCTCCCGGTACTTCTCTTCCAAACCCTTAGGCACGAAAGCGAAGTCAACAACTTCGAAAGTCTCGGGATGGAAGTCGGTTGCTGAGGGGTCAACTTCACGGATGGCCTCGACGATCTCTTCTTGCATGTCTGCCTCCACAATGGTCTCATGATGTCCTCCACGATGAATCTTCCAGGCGTGCAGCCTGCCCTTGAGGGTAGCAGCCACGACGTTCCGTTCGCCGACTCGAGAAGTGCGCTCCGCTCGAACAGCGGCGATGTCTCCCCGCCCGGAAGTTTGTGTCAAAGCATGGCGGATGCTGCCAAAAATTCCACCATTCGTAGATCCCAGGCTCGTACGGAGAAATTGAACCGAAATCATGGGTCTGCCGTGGCCGTCTCGGACGCTCATGTAGGCCAGTCGGCCGCTGCTAAACGCCAGAACGAAGCCGGCGGACTCGGCGTTGGCGATTTGAATAACCTTCTCGCCAGAGAACATGCCCGATATTGAGCCCTCTACGCCATGTCGCTGTTGACGGATAAAGTCTAAAGTCGCGGCACTTGTGATGGATTCCCAGTACGCGATCTTACCACTGACGGGCATAACAACAACCAGGCCGGGTTCGGTCGACGAAGCTGATGGCGACACCAGACAACCCAGCGGGAGAGGCTCTGATGAATGTTTCGAAGGATACGGAAGGGTAAAGGTGAATGTCTCGGGGGATTGAGAAGGGTCCGTGTACGGCCAAACAATCGCGTGAGTATGGCTGAGACTGAGGGCGTAGCGGTTCGAGAAGATGTCGCCGTGTTGCTGGGCTTGACGAGATTGTTAGACACGAAAGCGCGCATTGGAGCAGAGGAATTACCTGAAGCATCTGCGCGGATACGGTCTGGCAGCGCGGGCAGTTTGCTCACGGTGTAAGCATTGTTCGTCGTCTGGCGGATAATCGTTAGCTTGGCGGGGGGTAACGCGAACGCATTTGAACCTACCAAAACAACGCTTCCATCACCCTTGGTTGGCCTATCTCCTCCTTTAGGCTTTTTCGCGCGCACGCTGAGCTCTTTTCTCGGGGTAGGTGTGATGGGGTTCTGGTTCTCGATGCCGTCTTGCCGCACGTCGAGCGTCGCAACCTTGTCAGACTTGACCTCGTACATCTCGGGGCCCGTAGGCGCGGACACATCAGGATTGACGAAGGTCTGCTCGGTCAAGGGAACGCGTTGGCGCTTCGCCTTGGGTTGCTGTGCGAGACTTTCATTGCTGGCCGGTCGCTGTCTTCTTCTGCTTCGCGTAGCCGTAGCCGGCCCGCCCTCGTTCATGGAGGGAGAAAACATGGTGATGTCGAGCGACCGAGCGCGAGTATGTTGATGAGGAAAGGATCGGTCGCCGTGATGCTGGTGATGTTCGTGGATAGGTGGTTGTCGGTCAGAAAAACATTTCGAGGATGGATTCTGTGGCCTAAGGTATTGTTAGGGAAAGCGGAGGCCTGGGGGAGGTGGACGCAGGTGGCAGAGCGGATTTAGCAAATATGTGAGAGTGACGAAGCATCAATCGATTGGGTCTCGTAGAAAAAAACACTAGGTTGCTGCATCTGCCAAGCACGGACCAGCAACACCAGCAGCTTCCTTTCCGGCTGTCTGTCCACTAGCAGTTCTGTGTCAGTCTCCACGGCTGCCGGTGAGCAGCAGGTCAGGGCAGGTGTGCGGGTGTGCAGGCGTGCCAGCTGAGGCGGCGCAAGGAGCAACAGCAGCACGGGGGTACCTGGGAGGTGGTACGTACCTGCTTTTGGGCGGTTCGTTGCTCCCAGCCGACAGGAGAAGAGCTTTGATTGGCCGACTCCGCGATCGAGCTGGAGCCCGCTGAATCGCCGCATTGGAAGAAATAGGACCCTGAAAGTGGAGCCTAATAACCCAAGTCAACAACGTCACTCGGCCCTCGGGAACTCACGGTGGGAACATGGATAGAACGATTGTGATGTCTAGATGCAGAGAGAAATATCCACTATCCATCTAATCATTCTCCCTGAATCGTTTCCCATCGTGACATGCGCTTGTTTTCATCCTTTTGGCATATCCTCCAAAGAACCAAGACTTTCCAGAGCCCGCGAGTCAATCAAGTGCCACACGACTCCGATTCTGGCACCATTCGCTTCGATTCACTCATGTTCCCTGATTCTTTGAGTCCCTGACCCGGAAACGTTTTCAGAGACATAAGAACGATGATTGGTTGCACGGCTTGACGAGCTTGGACAATCAATAGACTTAGTTTAACGACCGTCGTTGAACTCACTTATACCATCTCAAATATCTTTCTCTCCTCAACTCGGGTTGTACTACTCGGCTGCGAGACACAATCTATCTGCACCAGGCCACACATCTCGAGCGAAGGCAGCTGACCTATCGCCTTCAGCTTTCAAATAACGGCGCCAGCAACCCACCTGGATTGAAAGCGCAAGCATACGAAGCGCTACAGGTCCGGTTTCAACTCACTGCAGTTGGTCTTGCTTCATGATAGCTGCTGTGACATCGGCCTCGCCACCCAGCTATCGCCTCGCAGAAGGAGTTTATGCTTGAGTTGCATGTGTCCCAACTTATTGAGACTTACATTCCGAATACAGCTACGTAGCTTGGTTCAAGGCAGACTCGGCCCTCCTACATATTGAGTCAGCTTGGGTTTACGGTGGGCGTAAGAACAGAACCAATCCATGAGCTCTAGACACGATGATGAGCCACACAATACGGACAGCTAAGGCGAGGAAGATGGCCTCTGTCGCGCGGTACTACTCGACCGCAATGGCCATCACCGACCCCCTTGTCAAATACCGCACTCTTGTCTCGACCAATGTCCTCTCCCCGGACCCGGACCAGCACCGACTCGCGATTCATCTGCACAAGCTCTACGGTCGCCTCAAGGACTATGCTCCTGAGGTCGATTACCGCGAGCGCCTCAAAGAGGTCGCCGATATCCCTGAGGCCCGCGACCCAGACGAGGCCGCCGCGACATTGGCCATGCCGAGCCATCCCATCTGGGACAATCCGCTTTTCAAGCACCTCGCCCGCAGGGCAATGCCGACGCCGAAAGACCAGAGTCCTATGGCTCTCGTCCGCGTTATGACGAGCCTTGAGGGCGCCATCACCATCAACTCGCCGAGAGGTCTGTTTCTATCGGGCGAGGTCGGCGTTGGGAAATCCATGTTGATCGACCTCCTGGCACAGGGTCTGCCAACGGAGAAGAAGAAGCGGTGGCACTTTAACACGTTCATGCTGTATACCTTCTCTCAGCTGGAGCGGTTCCGTCAATCTCATCCAGAGCTATCGGGCAATGAGAAGGAGTATTCTATGCTCTGGCTCGCCAAGAAGCTTGTCGAGGAGTCTCCGATTCTGTTCCTGGACGAGTTTCAGCTGCCGGATCGCGCGGCAAGCAAGATTCTCAGTCACCTCTTCATAGCCTTCTTCCACCTCGGTGGCGTTCTGATTGCTTCTTCCAACAGAATGCCCGAGGAGCTCCAGAAGGCAATTGGCGTTGAGTATACTGTTGCACCTACAGATGGATTCCTCAAGAGCCTCTTCCTCGGCGGTGCTCGATCGCGAGGCACTCGCCATAGTCAAAACGACTTTGCCGCGTTCTTGGAAGTCCTTAAAGCCCGCTGTGATTTTTGGCACATGGACGGTGCCACTGACTGGCGGCGTCGCGAAACTGGAGAGAAGATAGCGGTCGAGGCAGCGTCTATCGAGGGAACTGGACTTGCAGAGGCGCCAGTCGAGGCTCAAGGGCACAAGTCTCAAGGGGGTAAGTCACCCTTGTCTTCCAGAGAGGCTCTTAAACAAGATTATATCCTAACACCGCCAGAAACAACCAAACCGGCCAAGTACTTCCTGACCCCTGAGGCCTCCGCCTGGACATCAGAGCTATCAGACCTCCTCTCCAAACCCTGGACACCGGCAACTCTTACAGTCTACGGCCGTACGATCGCGATCCCTCGCCACCGCGACGGCGTCGTCCACTGGAGCTTTGACGACCTCGTCGCGACCTTTGGTCCCGCCGACTACGTGACTATGGCCTCCACCTACCACACCTTCATCGTCGATAACGTCCCGACCATGACGACGCTGCACAAGAACGAGGCCCGCCGCTTCATCACTCTCCTAGACGCCCTATATGAGGCCCGCTGCAAGCTCTTTGTCCGTGCCGAGACGGGGCCTGATGACCTCTTCTTCCCGGACATCCGTGCCGCCCAAGCTGAGGCGGATCTTGCCGCCGCCACGGTCGCCGCCTCCAGGACCGAGACGGGAGAAGAAGTCATAGACTCGGATGCGATCCACTCCGAGACCATAGCCGAAGTCTACCAAGACCAAGCCGCGCCCTTCCGCCCCAACATTTCCTACTACGACACCGAGTTGCCTACCTCCAAATACGACCCGGACCAGGATTCGGATTTTGGCCGTCTTGGCAATGTCAGCAGCGCCACAGGGGCCTCGAGTCCCAACTTTAGCAACACGGCCGGCTTCATCGGCGAGGACGAGCGCTTCGCGTACCGACGCGCCGCGAGCCGACTGTGGGAGCTGTGCAGCGCCGCGTGGCACGCCCGCGGTGTTGAAGGCGGGCCGGCGGAGTGGTGGACGCCTGTCCCGCGCACCGCGCGGCATTGGGAGGATTCAGCGCCGTCGAGGCCGAAGAAGGATGAGCCCCTCCTGCCGCGGCGGCAGACTGATGCCTCCATGGGCCCTTCGAGACCAGTTGACGAGCCGTTCGGAACGGATAAGCTCGTCATTGAAAGGTGGCGGGCCTTGGAGGAGGCGGAGCGGCGGCGCGAGGAGTCGTCTCAGGGGAGATGAGATTGCTGGAAAGAAAAACACAAAAAGGGAGAACCGAGACTCTTGGAGACTCTTCCATATTATGAACCCCAGAGTCGGTCTAGGGGAGTAGTAGCTTGGCTCACCAGCTGGAAGCCTCAGCAGCTAACCGTTGGCACCAAATCTCTCACCAGGGACCGCTGCCGGAGATTTTTGACCACTATTATATTTTCTGCCATGTTGGATTTCCTCAAGTTCGGTTGAAACATACATCACAGCGCATAGCATAGCATTTTGGCGGTGCTGGAACATCTGAGCATACGTCGCATGGAACGACGTCGACGAGACCTTTGAGTCTTTGCATGATAGATATCTTTACAGGACCAGTCTCACCTGGCCATGAATGAAAAAGCCGCAATTGACATCACGAAGTAACAATCAACCTCCCATATATCACTGTGAAACGCCCAGAACTCCAGAATGCTCAAGACAAAACTACTCCCCCTCGGGACCGCTGCTTAGAGAGCCGTGACACCAGGCGTCCACGCCTCGCCGATCCTCCTGATCTCCCCCTCAAACTTCTTGCTCTTGATCACCCTCCCGCCGCGTCCCGACACGGGGGAATGCTCGTCGGGCTCGTAGAACGGGTTCTGCAGCAGCCGCACGTACGCGCTCTGCACGGCCCGGAACACGACCCGCAGCTCCTGCTCCCGCAACCCGACGGAGCCCCGGCCCTTGGCCGCCGCCTCGGCCGCCGCGCTCCCGCCGCCTGCGACCCGGCGCCCGCGCATGTCCACGACGACGACAATCTTGACGCCCGTGTTCGTCTCCCACCCGTACGCGGCGAGGCGCTCGTCGACGGCGTGCAGCATGCCGACCTCGCCCGAGAGGCCCGTCACGCCGGATCCCGCGATGGCGCCGGTGTTGCCCGAGGCGCCGCTGCCGTGGCGGAGCTCGAAGACGTCGAGGGTCGAGGAGAGGAGGAGGGAGAACTGGAGGGGCGTGCGGATCGGCGCGAAGGTGTTTGTGGCGGGGTTGTGGGAGGGGAAGATTTGGATGTGGAGAGGGTTGTTCTGCGATGTGTCGGTTAGCTTGAGGGGGACTACAAAAGACATGGGGACGCGAGAAGGGAGGAGTAGAGTGGGTGGAGGGAAGGGGGATGTAGCCCGAAGCTGCGAGCGCGGGCAGAGGCAGGCGGCGTGAGGTCGGTGACGGAGGGACGGGACGTACGTTGCGGCCGATGATGCCTATGCAGGCGATCGAGGGGATCGCGGCCGCCATTTGTGCACCTTGGTGTATGAAGTGGTCGCCCAGGGCGTGGCTTGTCTCTTGCTGGGCTCGCGGTGGAGGAGGGCGCAATGCGATTGTAGAATGAGCGTTTCGAGGCTGGCCGGATGTCGTTCGTTTCGTGGCAGGTTGGAGATTGGAGAGAGCTGGGGTTAAGGTACCTTTAGCTGGTGTGGGCGGGAGCTTAATTGTTTTTCTGGGTCCCCTTGCTTCGCTCTCGAGTGCCCCGCATCGAAATCAGGGGTCAACGGTCAGCTCGCCAAAGCCATCTACAACCGATGACAATGTTTGAACGTGATTGCTTGTTGACCTGTAAATCAAGATATTTCATTTGTGTCAGACGCTCTCTGAAAATGTAAATCCTGTCTTCAATAATGTATTTTGTACGAATCGGACCTCCATATAAGAAGTGGTGTTACACGCAAACCAAACCGTTACTCCAGCTTTCATTTGAGAAAGCATCGAAGCCAGACCCTCTGCAGAGCTTCCAAGCCCATCGCAGTAAAAAAGAAGCGCCTTGCAAAAGCCCCAAGAATACACATGGAAACACATTAGTAGCCCCTCAGCAGCATGGCGGCCCGCCTCAGGCAATCTCCTCCTCTGTCACCCTCTCCGTGTCCTCCAACCCCCTTAGCATCTCCTCGATCTCGCTCGGGTCCGTGATGCCCCAGACGCCGCCGCCCTTGACTGAGTCCTTGCCCCTCATTCCCACCTCTTTGCCGACCAGATTCCGCCCGACCTTGCCGGGCCCGATGCCAATCCACCGTCTCACCTTCTCTTCTTGGTCGAGGTACTTGATGCTATCCCACCACCGCACCGTCTCCAGACACTGCCGCGCCAGGAGGTCCTTGACATCCGCTTTACTCTCGAACGGCCGCGCGCTCACGTTGCTCACGCACGGTAACCTCCCGGGGAATGTGATAATGTCTTCCCCTTCACGCCCCTTGACGCGGCTCTTTTTCGACAAAATATTCTTCATCACCCCGACGGCGGGCTTCATGAGCGGGCTGTGGAACGGGCTGTCGCTGTTTAGCCTCACGGCGCGGGGGTCGTGGCCGAGGAACTGCCGCACGTGCGCCGAGAGGGTCTTGATGCGCTCAATGTTGCCGCTCAACACGATTTGGTTCTTGCTGTTGATATTAGCGATCAGCACTTGCTCAATGGGCGGCACATCCTCGGAGCTTTCGCTCTTGGACCCGGCGCTTGAGTGGCCCACAAAGTCGTGGATCGCCGCGATCAGCGGGCCTAGGTACTCGGGTTCCGTAACGATGGCCACCATGCCGTACTCGCCGCCGTACTCCTCGACAGCGCGCCGCGTCGCTTCCGCCATTGCCTCGGCCCGCTTCCGCACCAGGTACAGGCTGTCCTCGAACTCGAGGTAGCCGCCGGCCACCAGCGCGGCGAACTCGCCGAGCGAGTGACCCAGCGTGACGTCGACTCGCTGGGAGACGTCGAAGTTGAACTCGCGCTCGAGGATGCGGAGGATAAGAATCGAGGTCGCCATGATGGCCGGCTGCGCGTTGGGCGTCCTAGTCAGCAGCTTGCTGGGGCCCTCGGCGATGATATCGGAGAGCTTGTAGCCCATGTAATGGTCGATCTCCTCGATGATGGGCTTCGCCGTCCGCGGGAAGGCCTCGAGCCATGGCGTTATCATGCCAACCTTTTGCACTCCTTGGCCTGCGGCGGGTGGTACACACATGTCAGCTCTCCGCATTTCACTACTCGTCCGCCGTTCAAGCCGGCGCTGCGGATTTCACGAACCTGGGAAGAAGAGCGCCGTCCGCGGCCGCTTCCCTGTTGACGAGGAGGAAGCATATCGTCGACCCGATGCGAAACCTATGTTGCTCGTTGCAGCGCGCGTGCGGCCGAGGCAGACGAGCCCATCGGCCCACGCGGCCGCCCCTCGGCGGATGGCGTGGTGGGCTCCGGGAGCTGCAGTCATGGCCCAAGGGGAGAGAAGCGCCAGCCAATTGCGAGCTGGGGCAGCTAGATGATCGCAATCATGGAGGTTGTCCTCTTGACGTAGGGAAGGCAAGAAATCGCAAGCGTTCTAGAAGCAGGTATGGAAGAGAATTAAAGGCAGGAGGAGTCTGCAGGTTTGCGCCCGGTTCGAGGGTGTGAAATGCGTCACACACGAGAGTTCATGCACCGCCCGCGCGCGGCAATGTCTTATGCCTTTTTTAGGAGGGGGAAAAGAGAACGTGGTGCGCACTGTTGGAGGAGCGGTAGGTATGCAAGTCGAACCATGACGCCCAGGCCCGTCTGGTGACGCCAATCAATGGCGGTTGCACTTTAGTGGCCGCGCCTAGCCGAGTATCCCGAGGCCGGGAGATTGAACACTCGAATCGCTGGGGGCATGGAGTAACCCCGCGATTGGCAAACTGCTCTCCAGCGCTCTTCACAGGTGAGTTTCTGGTTCCGCTGCGCCGGGAGTGGGGACGTTGGGGGCGGCGATGGATTGGATCTCCCTCAGGGACCAGGGGCCAATTGCCGCTGAGTCGCCGACATGCGTGCTGGACATTGAATGCCACCTCGGCTCATCCATCTTCAACGGGGCACGGCTTCCTGCAATACCGCTATCTGCCTCTGTGGCTTGCCTGTCACGTTCTTGACGTATGCTTCGTAAATGTCCGCTAGCCTGTGCAGACCGCAAAAGACTGGCATCGCTAGTCTCCCGCTAGCCGTTGAAACTAGACTCCCGTGAGCATGTGAATCCCTCAAACAACGTCTTTGGACAGCTTAGACGATGCTCATTATTTTATATCTGCTGCACCATGTTTTGTCTAACACCGCGTCTCTACACCGCCCTTGCTCACTGTTAGGTATTTGACACCCTTGTATGGCTTCACACCCTCTCCCAGGCCTTTGCTCTTGCGTGGGTCGATCATGATGCTTTCCACCTTGAGTCCGCTCGGCAGCCACCCCTTGACCGAGAAGCTGACCGACGCTGAACTTGGCATCAGCATCTTGTTCTGCGCCACCTTCTTCGCATCCTTCTCGTCGTCCGCGCCCTCGGTCGTCTTCTTTGCTTGGACCGGGCTGCTCTGGTACGGCTCGTCGTAGCCATATGCCTTCCCGAACCCGAATCCATTCGGATCAAGTTCGTCCTCGTCGTCGTCCACCAGCTGTCCCACTACGGTACACCTAAGACCGAAGTAGGACGTACCGGAAGATAGCTCCTTCGTAGGGATGTGCCACTCAAGAACCCTTTCACTGGGATTGAAGCTAGCGTCTCCTTTGCTGGGCCGTACCTCTGACAGGTTCCTAACCTCGGCCGGTAGCGGTACCGTAACCACAAGATCCTCCATGAGTGGTGATGACGGGGTACCGGGATGGGGTCCTCCGAACCCTCGTCCTGCTCCGCCGCCACCTCGTCCGTACTGGCTTGCTGCTGAGGGGCCACTTGCTCCCAATACCCTGTTCACATGCAGTCGAACCTCAAAGTCGGAGCCCAGAGCGCCGAGGCCTGTCTTCATTTCGATGTTGACTGGCAGTTTGAGGTTGTTCGAGCTCAAGCTACCGCTCTTACCGTTGGTGAACGGCAGTAGGTCGACCTCGTAGCTGGCCAAGATGAACCGGCCGTCTGGCGGTATAAAGCTGAGCTCGCCCGGCCGCTCTTTCCACCGTGCCAAACGTACACACGGGTGAAATACAGGCAGGTCCATGAAGCCCGCCAAGTTGTGCTTTCCAGATGGACTCGTCAAGGTCATGACAATGTCGGGCATGCCAGACACTTTGCACGTGAAGGCTATCGTTCCGTTTGCGAATGCAGCCAGAGGTCTCCCTGAGGGCGCGAGCGTGACTGTTAAGGTCTCGACGATGTCTGCGTACATCTCGTTGGACGTATGCCGCACGTTGGCTCTGCGCCAGGGTAACGCTGGGGTATTTTGGGCGATCAGCGACGGCGTGCTCGAGTTGGCGAAACCCGGGCCAAAGTTACCGGGTTTCCTACAGTCGTTCGTCAGTCCTGTCTTTCTTCTGGTGGCACGGTGTCCCTCACCCCGGCAAATTGATGCTACCTAGCAGCTTGCCCACCCAGCCCTCCACATCCACCAAGTCCCTTAGCGCGTTCGGTTCCGTCGTGCTGATGGTTCCGGCGTCGCACATCTCATTGAGTAGCTGCGCGACAACATCGTAGTTGCTCTCGATCTTGTGCGCCAGCAAGGGGGCGCCGAGGAACTCCTCGAAGACGTCGATGATGCGGTGGATGAACTCGAGGACGAGGAGGGGCTCGATCTCGGACGACGAGGTCGCCAGGAACAGGAGGTTGGCGTGTTTGAGGCTGAAGACGAGCGTCGGCGGGTTCGTGTTGGGCAGGTAGATCAGGTTCGGTCGCGGCGCGGGGTGTTCTAGGTAGAGGGGTAGGAGGTGCTGCGCCGACAGCGGGCGAGAGGTGTACGTATGTGACAGGATGGCATGGCTGCGCGGTGTCAGTCATGAGAGTGTAGGATTCTTGTAATGCATGTAACTGACTTGTGCTCATCGTAAATGTGTAGCGCCTCAATAACGCCGTTCATTGTTCAAGTCGGCATCGGAGGCTGCGCCGTGGTTGTCGGAGGTGGTGGGGGAGAGGTTCCTGCCGGTGACAGCACGTCAGTGTCGGTGCTTGAGCTCCCGAGCCATTTGAGGGACCACACAACCCGCCCGCCCCGAAAGGGCGCGCCGCTCATGCCCACCCGATGATGGTATGAAATGTTATTGCAGGGGGGACGGCTCAGCCCAGCCAATCAGGTGCACCACAGCCCTGCCGTTGTGCAAAGCTTCCAGACCATACACCAGTCGAATGTCGCAAGCAACCTGTCGCAAAAGTACCTGACGTTCAATCTACAATAACTGAGAGTCCAACATTTAGAAGCCGTCATCATGCTCGGAGGAGGTGACAAGATCCCGAGTGTGGGCACCCTCGACAAGCCCGAGAACCTCGACCAGCTCCTGCGCGAGGACCGTGGCGATGATTGCACATCGTGCAGAGTAGTTGGTAAGGACCCCCAAGCCTGCTGCGATCGAAGGCTGTCACGATACTAATGCGATGCTCCCACGAACAGGAGGCGGCGCATTCCTCGGTCTTGCAGCATACAACTACCTCACAGGCATGGGCCACCTCGAACGGCAACGTGCGGCGATCCTCAAATCCGGCTCAATGTTCGGCATGAGAAGCCGCAAGCTGGGCGTTGCCAGCATCTCGATGGGCCTGGCCTACCTCGGACTGTGGAGGTTGTTCCGGTAAAGGGACCGCAGGGAAGGGAGAACGAGCCCAATCAACAAAAAAAACACCACTCAAACGATTATACCGTTGCCGCCGCTGAAACCGTAGAGCCATGCAATGAGCTGTCAACACGGCTGCCGACCGCCTCAGAGAACTCGCTGCGGAGCGAACGAGGCCTGCTAGCCCGTCAGATTCCGGTCGTAGGAAAGATCTGAAGGACACGTTTTGGAAAATGGTTCTGTCGAGTTTGGGTGACGAAACTGGGATCACTTCAGACAGGATGCTCGCGCTGTTACCCGTCAACGTGGTGGCTCAACCGAGCATTCGGCTTCGGCTCAAAAGAGGCTGGAATAATACTGTACAATACTGTCACCTTAAAAGCGAAAATACCATTGAAGGAATGTTTGTTCAAGACTCAAACGTCTATCCAAATTAGTGTGTATTGAAACTCGGAGTATTGTGAAGTTTGCAAATTCGTAGATGCTGGTGTTGTTATCCATGAACCACAAGCTCCAATCTGCCCCTCCAAAGCTTCACCAAAAATTCTTTGCACCCAGCCAATCTTGACCTCACCAAACCACTAAACCACCACGCAACACCCCAACCACTGCGATTGAAACCCCGAAACCGCTGAACCGAGTCTATCGAATATACCGAGTAAACCTGAACCCGTGAAATCAACCTCCAAGGCATCACCGACGCACCACCCCGCGGCCTCGTCGCCGTCTTTACTACAAAAAAATGCCCATCACAATCCTCGCCCCGAGGGGCACACCGTCACACCACAAGCCCGCACGCTTTACCGCTGCCGCCGACTCGGATTCGGATTCTGATGGCGGCGCCGATATCGAGGGAGATATCCCCATGCGCCCGGCGAAGCGCGCCCGCGGCGACAACTACGAGATCGTCACACCGGGTGAGATCATCACTGACGACCCCCAGTGGATGAGGTTCGTCCGCCCTCCTCTCGACCGACCCCCCTTCTACTTTCGCCATTTCTCCTCCCATGCATGTGCTCTACAACCGAACCACGGAGACTAACAAACGAACCAGAGGCCACGGAACCTACATTACCCCCACGACGACAGAAATCGTCTCCTCCGTCGCCGGCACCGTAACCCGCACCAACAAGCTCCTCTCCGTCCGCCCCCTCCGCGCCCGCTACACCCCCGAGATCGGCGACCTGGTCGTCGGCCGCATCGTCGAGGTCCAGGCGAAGCGCTGGCGCGTCGACGTCGGCTCCTCGCAGCTCGCCATCCTCCAGATTTCCGCCATCAACCTCCCCGGCGGCATCCTCCGCAAGCGCACCGACACGGACGAGTTGCAGATCCGGTCCTTCTTCGCGGAGGGCGACCTGGTGGTGGCCGAGGTCCAGCAGCTGCACCAGGACGGCGCCGCCAGCCTGCACACGCGCTCCCTCAAGTACGGCAAGCTGCGCAACGGCGTCTTCGTCGCCGTCACGGGCACCGGCGGCGGCGGCGGCGTCGTGCGGGCCAAGAGGCAGCAGTGGGTCATGGATGCGGCGCGGGGCGCGAGTAAGGTGCACGTCACGCTGGGCGTCAACGGCTTCATCTGGATCAGCAAGCACGTCGAGAGCGACGTGCCCGAGAGCGTGGGGCTCAACCGCATGGAGGAGAGCGTCAGCGCCAACGTCTACTCGAGCCAGAACGACCGGATCGACAACGAGACGATGCGCGAGATCGCGCGGATACGCAGCGTCATCCTGGCACTGGTGGAGAACGGGCTGAGGGTCGAGGAGGACATGGTTGTCAGGGGGTACAAGGAGGCGGTCGAGATGGGGCTGGAGAGTGTTGACGACGACATTTACCTTGGCGGCGAGAGGGGGAAGCGACTTGCCGAGGCTCTGCTGAGGGAGTAGTAGCTGCGTCACCGTAGAAGTCGAAGGTCAAAAGGACATGTTTGTGAAAATAAGACGCCTTTGATAGATAAGACTCTAATAGATACCAAAAAGGGGAGGGGCTTCGTATCAACCCGTCAAAAGAGACCCTGAATCGCCAGACATTAGAAACGCTATGCAATGTGTATCTACAGGCCGTGTGATGCAGCCATGGTATCAAGGAAAAAATTTGTCCAACAGCATGGGATATCCGCTCCTACGAGGTCTCGACCAGCTCCGCGCCAGCAAAGTAGCCCTTATTCTCGATGACGCCCCGGTCTTTGACAAACGCAGTGTACTTGACCACCCACTCCGGAGTAAGGTCACCCTCGAGACCGTCTTCGCCCTCGACGGGGTCGGCGAGGACGCCGGCGCCCTGCAGACCATGGCCAAGGAGGTCGCGGAGGGTGCCGCGGGGGAGGATATCGGTACAGTCGGTGTGAACGAGCAGCTCGACACCCTCCGTCTTGGCCAGCGTGACCAGCGTGGGCGGCACGCTGCAGCAGTCCTTGATGTTGATCTGGTCGACGGCCGGGCGGACGCTGACCTTTTTGATAAACTTAGCCAGCTTCTCCGTGCCAAACTCGGAAATGCCGAGGGCCTTGACCTCGCCCCGGTTGTACAAATTCTCCAGCACCGTCCACGTCGCGACCTCCTCTTCGATGTTGCCTTGGGAGGCGTTGCGCTTGTCGGCCTCCCATTCGCAGTCGCCCTCGAAGGACATACCGGGGAAGGACGCGATAAGCAGATCTATCGTCGTGACGCCCAGCTCCTTTCGCACGAGGCTCAGAGCATCCTGCACATACTGGGCACGGTCGTGTGCAGGGGCGTTGGGCAGAAAAAACAGCTTGACGGTAATATCGTAGTTATCGGGCTCTTCTTGCAGGCCAGAGTAGGACCAATCTATGCGCGGGATGTATAGGGCGTCGTTTTCACGGGCAGTCCACACGTCGATGCGAGGCCGGCCTGAAGAATTACGGGAAAAGCCATTCGAGTGTCCGTTCAGGGCGCCATTCCCGTTAACGGGCTCGTCGTCAATAGGCGAGGACTCCTCGACGGGCGAGTAGTCCTGCTGGGCAGCAAGGAAGTTGCTTCGCAACGAGTTGGTAAGTTCGAGGTTCGATCTATAGGCACCCGGTTTACGGATAATGGAGGGGCCGCCGGAGACAATATTTCTGTAGGTGGTGGGGGTCACCAATCAGCATCAGAGCGCGAAAACGAGTCTTGTGCGAAAAATGAGAATGGGAGGCGACACAAACCCGGTGGAAAGGATGAGTTTCGTCATGACGATGGTTGTGGTAGTGGTAGAAGAAGTTTGGTGAGTTTGGCCGAAGATCAGACGTGATAGCCCAGTAGACTGTGATTACGTTGTAAAGGGTCCTGATTGCGCAAAGCTGGTGAGGCTGTCCCCGTCTTCTTCAGCACTTTTTTTCTGTTTGGCGCTGGTTATTTTTTTTATGCCGTTTGGAGGGGTTGATTAACAATCCGAGTCTGGGCGGCGCCGATAAGGATAGGTACGGTCCGCTCGGGATTCACAGATGAGACAGGGTAATTAATAATGGCCGGCGCACAGCATGCGGGATGTCAGCTTGTGTGCCGAAAAGTCTAAACCGGAGTTAAAGGGCGTGGGAGAGTCGTAACATGCAACGGTGAGGTGCAGGCGAGGAGGGGGTTCGAGTTCTGGAAGGACGAGAAATGTTCCGGGATTCGGAGGTGGATCGATAATGGTGTTTGTTTCGTTTTGTTGGTCAAGATGAACAAGGACAGCGGAAGAGGGAAACGGAGAGAAAGGCGGAAAGGTTGCGGAAGGCTGGACTTGGTCCCTTTTTCAAGAAGTTGGAACTGCCCGAGAAAATCGACTCGAACCCGTCTGAGTGACAAAATGCATGACTGAATCGAGTCGGCACCAGCATATTCGTCGCTTTTCCTCGTCGTAGCGGCATTCACTTGGCCATCATCCCACCTTCCACCCCTCCATTCCCGCTGTAAACTCGGCAGGAGCGCGATTCCGAGGGGAAGGTCAATGGTGCATGGTGGGGTGTCGCCCATCGCGTCAGCGGCCTGAAGGGGATTTGTCTGCGCATCTCGCAGAGCGCCTCGCCGAAGCCCCCACTGTCTGCAACCTATGAGATGCCGTTGTCGGCATGAATCGCTGGATGCCTCTGCTCGGCTGCTCGACTCAGGCCCAACAGCGCCGTCGGCACGTCGAGGGGACCGATGTGAGGCACACAAAGACAAGCAGCCACCGAAGCACAAGCTTTGTTCTGCAACCAGGGGCGTGTGCACAAGACCTTTGGTTGGCGAAGGGAGCCAATCCCCATAGTGTGTCAGCGTGTCGAAACGCCCTAGAGGGCCCCATCAAGCTCCCAAAGCCCGCTGTTGACAGGTGCCCGGCTTCTGATGTTGAGGTAGTCACGACTGTATGGTGAGGTGAGGTGAGGTGAGTTGCCTGAGGACACCACTGCGGCAAAGCGCACCTGCCACCAAATCTGGACACCTTGAGCTTGCCAGCCTGACGTGACCAAGGGGCATCACCACACACGACATCCCATAGTTCGTCGCCAACCGCAGTCCACAGCTCGGTCTGCTCTGCTACACTACCGCAGCGAACGCATCCCACAGCATCGGTCTGAGGTCCACAACACTTATCCGGTCCAAACCGTCAATCTCTCCTCTCGTCCACCTCGTTGTGGTGATGTGAAAGCATCATCATGGCTATCCAGTACGCTCCCTCATCACCATCTTTGTCGGTGCATACAAGCAAGAAAGCTAAACGATGATATAGCTACCTCATTCTTCTCTCTCGCCAGGGCAAAGTGGTACGCATCATCCCCCGTCATCCAAGAAACTCCTCCGCGAGCATTCCCTTGTTAACAGCATCTCTTTTGCAGCGCCTCGCAAAGTGGTTCACCACCCTGTCGCCGAAGGAAAAAGCCAAGATCGTCAAGGACGTCTCTCAGTTGGTTCTCGCCCGTAGAACCCGCATGTGCAACTTCCTCGAGTACAAGGGTCAGTTACCAATGAAGCCCGGCATCATCATAGCCGAGCATCGCCTGACATTTTTCCATGCAGATTCCAAGATCGTTTACCGCAGATATGCCTCGCTGTTCTTCATCGCCGGCGCCGCCTCGGACGACAATGAGCTGATCACCCTCGAAATCATCCACCGATACGTCGAGCAGATGGACAAGTACTACGGCAACGTGTGCGAGCTGGATATCATCTTCTCTTTCACCAAAGCCTATTACATCTTGGACGAGCTGTTGTTGGCCGGAGAACTGCAAGAAAGCAGTAAAAAGAACGTGCTGCGATGTATATCTCAGCAGGACTCGCTCGAGGATATGGAGGTACGTTTAGCTAATGCTTGATTCCTTTTCGATCTACCTGTCTTCAAGACGATGAATTGCGGCTGCGCCATTGGCGAAGTCTTGAGCTGACCGTATTTCCTTCCCTGCTCCAGGTCGAGGACGAGGTTACGAAGATTATGTAACCCTCCTCCAATGTGTACCTACCCATTAGATTGCGACGCGATGCCCGAAACCAACGAGCCTCGGACTCAATCTACGACATGTTTATACGTGTTGCACTGGATGTGCATGGCATGGCTTTGGCGAGTCTTTTGGCTAATGGGCGCTCTACCACGTACGCAGGAAACGGAACAGATCACGTCGTCTCTCAAGAAGGTCGGCATTCTCTGAAAAGGCACAACCGACCGGTGACGGGTGCCAGACAGATGCATGGCATGCCAGGAGAAGAGGAGGCCGACACGCGACGAAGACGAGACGCGGCGCCTGCGCGGATATGGATGGAGTGGCCCAGGTGGCCTTTTGTGTGCATAGATCTTGGAAGGTGGAAAACCACCCTCTCCCATATCAAGAGAAGAACATAGAGCGGTGCGGGTTGCGCAGTCGCATCCACGAGGCCCGTCGGCTCTGAGTTTCCCTCCGTCCAGAGACGGCGTAGAAGCCAGACACGGGCCAAGGTGGGCGACGGCACTCGAGAAGCACTGCGCTCCACACCCAAAGCCGTAACAATGAACTAATAGACGAAATTTACGACTACAAAGAGGGACCTCCAATTCTTCATGTTGCCAGAGACAGTATGAAGTCATGTCGCGATACGGGCTACCATACTGCGTACTCCAAGCCCGCTCGTGGCCCCTTGACGGCATCTCATTCGCTTGGAGATTACCGTCTGCGTGCCCCCCCGTGTGCGGCGTGGATTCGACAGAGTTGACGAGCGGCCCACTCGTCCTCCAAAGGAGTCGGGACGAAAGGGGGCCCCTCCAACAAGCAAGGAAACTGACAGGGACTGGACCCCGACTTCCCAAGCGGCCCCCCGCGAATCCGGTGCCAAGGACGACGCAGACTGTCGAGCAAGATACGCTTTGTCACAGGCTCCCCGGCGGCCCCATCCACTATCGGTTGCTATCTTGAGACTGGACCGCCCTCAAGATTGCCTTACGGCAGCTGCTGCAGCTTTTACGTGGGACTGGGGCGGGGACCTTGTCATACGGACACGGGGAACGCACCGGCAGACCCAGGGACCCATCAGCCAGCAGCGACAGCACTAAGTGATGTAGGTAGCAGCACCCAGCCAGCAGCCAACGGACCACGCACCACAGACCACGCACCCCAGGGAAGGCGTCACCTCATGCCAGCACCCAGCAGCGAGACACACCGCACACCTGCCGAGAGCTGCGACAGCAGCACCCGGCTGCCAACTCCCTTCCCGCTCGCTCCCGCTTCTTCGCGCTTTAAACTCACGGCGTCACCCCATTCCTCTCTCCTTCTACCCCTCCGTCTCTCCCGTATCCATATCGTCGTCCAACTTCCCAACACGCCCCATCAGAACATCCGTCGTTTAGTAATGTCTGTCGACCAGATCACCTACTAGGCGCATCGCGTCTAGTCTCCGTTCATCCATCCGAACCGAACTGATCTACAGGGTCGAGTCGCTCCTTGCCTTATCTAGAGCAGGCACAGGCTCCGGCTTCCATCGAAACACAGACAGCAACTCTCTCTCCATCACCAGCCCATCCATCATTTCTCGCGACACATCACCTGCGCCTTATCGCGTCTCTGGTTTCGCTTTACCACGCCTCTGACCCCGAGTCACCGCCTTTCCAATACCCCTAGTCACCCCTATCCCAATCTGGCGCGACTACCAACTCCCGTGACATCATTCGACACGTTCGCACTCCGGAACCCGACAGCTCCATCACAACAACTTAATCGCAGCGCGATACCGGCGATAAGCTCGCTGCAACCCCTAGATCATCAGCTAGAGCGCCCTTGATTTGGACACCAATTTCCCGGCGGTCTACGAATGCCTGCATCCCCAACCTTCACCTCATCCCCGTCACTATAGCCTGGTCCAGGTCATTCAAGATGAAGGTGCGCTTCTTCTGCTGTTGACAGCAGGCAGCAATGCGTCGCATTCAATCCCGCGGCACCCTGCTAACCCAGCTCGCAGTATTTACCGCTGCAAGATTTCGATGCCGTCACTGGCGCTCTCAACTTCAACACCCCTGATTGCAATGTCACTGGTGGATGCGATCTGTATACAACGAAGTCGACCGGTTCCGACAAAAAACTATACAAGAACATCGACAAGGACCTAAGCTCACAACATGCTGCGCTGCTGAAACTGGGCGCCAGCTTGTCCCCGCCAGACCGCGAAGCCATGCTGGCAACGTCCCCCAATATGCAAATGTTCTCGCACTCGAGCGCGTTTGGTCCCCTGTCGGAGCTCTCAAGTCGCCGCACGTTTGCCTATCTGATCGCGACGCTGAACGCGAGTCATCAGCACTACGACTTCTCGCACGTCTTGAGACCCGGCGACTTCAAGAAGGAGAGGAATTTGCGGCGGGTGATGGGAAACCTGGACTCGATCCTGCAGAATGTCAGACCGCATGTCGAGGCTCGCCCAATCGAGCAGGCCACATCTTCGGAGACCAAGCCGGTGTGGGGCCCACACTGCTGGTCCAAGATCGATAAGGAGATGCGCCTGAATGAGTGTACCGTCTTCAGCTACAACCCTGATGTCGACCCATTTGAGGAGGACGAGTCTGCAATCTGGGCCGCTCATTACTTCTTCTTCAACCGCGCATTGAAGCGAGTCGCCTATCTCTACGTGCGAGTCGTCCCTGTCGTTTCCTCACAATCACCGCGCCTGCAACCGACGCTTTCCGGTTCTGTAAAGCGGACGCGGAGTACCCATTTTGATGCATCGGGTGCAAACAAGCGCGCGAAGTACTGGCTCGGTAACCGTGACGCTGAGCTCGTGGCGCCCGACGAAGACGACGAGCAAAGCGACGGCTTCCTCTGGAATCGGGGTGCCGACGGTGACTTGGTCCCGTTTTCTGACGATGACTACACTGAAGAGCGCTTCTTCTACGACGAAGAAGAAGACGACGAGACCGATTCCGACCCGAAGAGTCCGGTACGGCGCATGAGCGAGGACGTCGTGGCCCACATGGAGATCTAAAGAGGACCACTCCACACTGGCGCATGACTTGTTCTCGCTTCCCCGTTTCATCACCGTGAGGAGCGGATGGGTCTCTCGTTTCTCTCATGTTATCAGAGCCATTATGACGAAACGGAGTCATTGATTCAACACCACTTATCAGAGCCTGCAAGGATTGCTCTCTACACCCGCTGAGTCACAACAACCCCACACAGGTGAAGTTGTCACGGCCAGCTCGCGACATGGGCACCATTCAACGGCTCACTGTCAATGAATTCTTTTTTTGTTTCTGTTCGAGTAATTACTTCAGTTTTATTGAGTATTGATGAGTTTCGTTTCCTTCTCATTTTTCTTGTCGTTCAAATCTGTACGCTGGCGACGAGCTTTTTGCCTGCATGTTTCGAGTTTTCTTTCCTATCGGTTCGATCGACGGCGGCGATACCCTTATGCTTTCTCGCCAGGTGGCGCTGGTAGGGAAACGGAACCAAGGGAGGGGTTTTAGGGTACGGTGCATGCGACCCATTGGTCCTGGATGGCAAACGGGATTGAAAGGGCTGGGGCGGGTGTGGTTATCAAACAGAACAAAGTCGGGAGTTTTTTTTTTCTTGGGTTCCCAAGAGTCCATCGTCAGTCGTTTGGCAGCGACGCGTCTGGACTTGGACATATGCTGGAGTTGGGTTTTCCGGGGGTACACACGCCAAAGGGATTGTTTTGTGATGTTTTTTTTTTTGGTTTTCCTGTTTTCCTTTGCCGGTCTGTACGCAGTGATGAAATGAGCAAACTCGTACCTTCAGCCTCGTTCTGGATGAGTACCACGCTGAATGACGAATTCCCACGGCTTATTTCCCATCATCATCATCATCATCATGCCATCCCATCCACCCATGTCCACCGTGTGAGGTGTTTGCAGTGAGACCGGCGCGGACAGTCTGGTCTTGACGTTCGAGTATCCGGTTTTGCCATGCCCGCACAGCTTCCGGGTCGTCGCCTGGCCGTCGACGTCGGCCAAAGCGATTTCGCCGCCTCTCTCCACGCACTGAGGCACCACGATCCGCTCTGCACCTTCGCGATCGCGGCGGCCGCACTGCGTTCCTCGCCCCTCCTCCGCTTTACCCGACTGCCAAAGTGCGGAGAGAGGGCGCTGACCTGCGAGCGGGGTTCGACTGACCTGGAGGCGTGTGGGGGAGGAGCAACTCCGCCGCTACCCGCTCATGCCGGGGGTCGATTCCGAAGCCCGGCTCCCATTCCCCCCGACGACGACGACGACGACGACGACGACGACGAAGACTACACTCGGGGAGCGGTATCGACCGTCGGGGGCAAACCCAAGTCGCCAGCAGGAAGCGGGACAGATGGGCGCGAGAAGGGGCACATGATGCGAAGAGCGTGGGGCATCGAAGAAATCATAGTAAGTAGGTAGGTCATCGGTACTCGGCATTACGATATATATGTCCAAGAATTCTCCCTCAGACTCTCTCTCTCTCTCTCTCTCTCTCTCTCTCTCTCTCTCTCTCTCTCTCCTGTGGCCTGGTTCTCCATCCCGGGTCCAGCCTCTGTCGTTTCATGCTATGCCCTTGTATCCCATTTATCGTTTCCCAATTCTCAATTCCTCCCCGTCCCGATCTCGTGTGAATGATCGAGAGAGGGAGCTGTCAATGCGTGTCCAGGTATCTTCGTGTACGCCCGGAACGCCGCCCGCCTGCCATATATAGCAAGATCCAAAATTCAACCACGTTCATGCATTGTTGCACTCTCGTCTCCTTCGTTCGTCCCCGTCCTCGAGGAACACTCCGCGTTGCCCGCTATGTCAACACAGGGCAGCCCAGCTTTGGGCTCCATGTCCTTACTGCTCAACATCAAACCGCAAGGCACCCTACCACCTACGTGGCTCGTCCTCATCCATCGTACTGCTTACTTCGCTATAAATGTGCCACACCAATCCGTTTTCGCTCCCAGGAATAAGAGAATATTGCCATGTGCCCAAGCTCGACTCTCGAGAAAGACTGCATCAGCCCGTTCCCAGGCTGAGCAAGATTCATTACGAATACAGTAGAATAAAAGGGAAATTACGAAAAGAAAAGAAGAAAAAGAAGAATCAAAACACGGATACGCCTTTGCGCCAACTTTTTCGCCGCTTCCAAACGAAAGAAAAGGGGGAATCCTCTGCCAAGTGTAGTAATGCATCTCAAAACGAAAAAAAAAAAGTGTTCTGCCCGCTTCTAAAAAGTCATCAAACGTCAGTTATACCCCCCCTTCTCTGACAAAGGTTGCTCGGATGCCGGGGCGGTTGCGTTCCCGTTCCCGTTCCCCATCGGGTGGATCGCGTCTCCCTTCTCGCTCAACAGCGGAGCGGTGGTGGTGCCGTTGGCGGCTTTGGGTTTCTCGGGAGTGGCTCGCTCTGGCGTCGTCTTTCTTGTTAAACTCGTCGTTTCGGGCTCTTCTGGGATCGTGGCAAACTTCTTGAGGACCTGCTTCAATGCAGGGCGTCGAATAGGCTTGCTGAGGAACTCGTCCATGCCGCTCTCCATGCACTCCTTCACGTTGCTCTCTTCCGAGAAGGCTGTCAATGCTACGATGGGAGCCGTGTAGCCCATCTTGCGAATGAGCTTCGTGGACTGCAGGCCATCGAGATTCGGCATCTGAATGTCCATAAAGATGACGTCGAAGCCTTTGTTGTTGTCCATGTTTGCCTTGACAAGGTCGTATGCCTCCTGGCCGTCCTTGGCTATGGTAACGTCGTAGACGTCCTCAAGCTTAAGCATCTTGCTGACAACCTCGATGTTTGTCGAGTTGTCATCAGCGACAAGCACTCGCAGCTTCCCCTCCTGGTTGGCCTTGGTAGCCATTGCCTGGTCGATCGCTGCCATCTGGTCCCTTGTGCTTCGCTTTGCCTTCGGTGCTGGGTTGGACGCGAAAAACGGTTGACTGAGACCGACCAGCCTTGGTTGTTGATCCAAAAGGTTCTTCGCGTTGGTCTCGTTTGCAGGCTTGATGGACGGTTTGACGGGTGTTCCGCCAGAGTTACGTTTCGGGTTCTGGGCGCCCTCAATTGCGTCGATGGTATCAACGCTTGGCGGTCGAGATTTGACACTGCTGGAGGCCGTGCTTGATGCCCTGTCATGTGCTCACGTTAGCAACTTTATCTCCTATCCTGCCGGTGGGGAGACGTACCTGTCCTTGACGTATTTCAAGGGAATCTGCATGGTGAAGGTCGTGCCGACCCCGACGGTGCTCTTCAGGGATATCGAGCCTCCCATGAGGCTTGCGAGCTGATGACAGATACTCAGGCCGAGACCCGTGCCGCCAAATTTCTTGCTCAATCCCAAGTCACCTTGCACAAAAGGTTCGAACACCTTCTGTTGCATGTGTTCCGCAATACCCGGGCCAGTATCTTCGACTTCAAACTCGAAAATATAGGCCTTTGCTCCAGGAGGCGGTGGCGTGGGAGACCGCTCTCGAACGTGGATATGCGGTGTCGATTTGGGCTCCATCGGGTTGATGACCAGGGCGGTACCCTTTACAGGCTCGGAAGTCGAACCTCCCTTGGAGCTCACAGACTGGGTTGAGCTGGAACCAAGCCGGTGCCGGGGCCTGCCGTGTCGTCTGGAATCTCTGGAAAACGATGAAGAGCGGCTTCCGTCATTCGGCGGCGGGGTTTCCACCTCACCAATGCACTTGATGCGAACGTCGACCCTGCCGCCTGCCGGAGTGAACTTGACACTGTTACTCACCAGGTTGATAATAACCTGGAGAATGCGATGCTGGTCACCCCAGAGGCACATGTCCTTCAGTCTGCCGGTACCATGTGGGCCAAGGGCAGGCAGCCTGTTGTCTGTGCTTGTCCTCTCAGGGCTACTGCTGAGTTCGATGGCCTCGGAACCGAGGAAGTTGACAGTCAGTGTGATCCGTCCCTCTTTAACTTGCTTGTCAAAGATGGTAAGAATCTGCGACTTGATGTCGGCCAAGCGGAATTCCTTCTCCTCCAGGTTAAGTTGTTGACCGATTTGGTTCTTAGAGAAGCTGAGGAGGTCTTCAAGCAGGTGAAGTAGCAGGTCGCCTAAAATCATGTTAGCTGAGAATAGAACGGTAGAGCGAGCTCGACTTACCTGATTTGTAAAGCGTCTTAAGAGACTGCTTGATCCTCAGAACATCAGTTTCCTCCATACAAACAGCGCACATTCCAAGAATGCCATTCAGCGGCGTCTTGAGCTCGTGAGAGATGTTGGCAATGAAGAGGGTTTTGCTTTCGTTGGCGGCTTCGGCTGCTTTCTTGCTGATCTCGAGCTCTCTCGTGCGTTCCAAGACTTTCTGATCCAATGACGTGTATTGCTTAACCAGCTCATCACTCATGTCGTTGAAGGTTTCTGTCAATTCGGTGAGTTCGTCGGTGATGAAGTGCTTTCGATTTTCAACCTTTCCGGGAATTTTGAAGATGCGGCGGGTTGATTCGCGGTCATGTTCGGAAGCCGGCTTCTCCTTGGGCTTGTAACCGACCAACTTGTAGATGCTCGCGATGAACCCGTCCGTTCTTGACCGCTTTGACCGGGACGATATGCCGCCTGAGCCGGGGGATTCGCCGTCGTCAAAATCAGAATAATAGCCATCCTCGTAGCCTGGAGGCTGGACAGACTTCTCCGTCGCCGTCTTGAGTCTCCTGATGGGCATTACACTAAGGTGCGCACATGGGAATATTAGTATGATGACGAGACCCGCAGTACCGAAGACACAACCCAAAATGATGGTCCGTAACGTGTCGATGGGCGCGTCAGCCTCTGACTTGGCCTGCTCTACCACGACTGTCCAGTTAACGAGGGCAGTATTGGTTCTTGCGAAACCCACGGCGACTGGAAGGCCCTGCTCGTTATTCGTTGAGAGTGTGGAGCTCGAGTTGTTAGGGCTGATAAATCTTTTGGTGAAAGAATCAAAAATTGCCGGGTAGTCCTTCATGGGAAAGGGTTCGTCGTCTTTATTGTTCGCCCAGCTTCGTTCATTGTGTCGGTCGCCTTGACCGTCTATGGGGTTGGGCGGGAGCACGAACTTGACTGGCACGTTTGCCGCAATATTCCTGTCTGGCAGATACGTAGAATTGCTGGCTGGGTTCGAGGCAGAAAACCTGTTGGATTGTTCCGTGGGCCCAGCGAGCAACACTATACCCGTATCCCCCAGACCTTCGCGGGAGTTTCGAATGGCGATCAGCGAGTTTGCCGTGGCGACGAGTGTCATGTATCCGAGTATGAATTCTTGCTGCTGGTTGTAACGGATCGGGACCGTTATCGACATGAGGGCGGTTGTGCCGTTGATTATCATGGGACCAAGCAACAAGCCGCCATTCGTCGAAATGCGAACCCCAGGAAAGGCATTGGCAGCAAATGCCTGTGTGTTGTTCCTGTACTGGTTCGGACGTCCAAGGTCCTCGTAAGTGATGTTTGGGTAGAGATCTGGCGGGTAGCCCTCGGGTGTGTCGGAGAGGTAGACCTGCTGTCCATCGGGGCCACCATACGGCAATGGGATCTGGGGGATCTTCTCCCCAGTGACGTTGAGCAGACCATGGACGTTGCCAGTGGTGTTTCTCGAGTAAATCCTCCCTTGTAGCAGCCCCGTGAGAGCGCCAACACTCAAGGCACTGTTGAGATCACCCCTGGCCTGAACCCAATTCTCGTCGGTGTCGTTCCCGTCGTAGAAGGTGAACAGAGAGTTTTGGATCAGAATTCGAGAGGAGATGGTGATGATGCTGGTCTGAACGAGTTCGAGCTCGGCGGAGATGCGCGAGGCCTTGAGCGAGGCAGTGAGGGCGAGTTCACGTCCTTCGACCTGGGCGACAAACTGATTGACGTAGACCCAGACGGGGACGGACAAGATCATCAGGCCAACGAGAACAGCAAACACCACGAGGAAGGCGAGCTGTTCCCGAATGGCGACCCTGACGCCCATGGTGAACAGACTATAACGGCGAGTCTGGCAGTGTCTGGGCGAGATTCATCGTCTGCAACGGCGTGTCCCGGGGATTCCTGTTCAATAGCCGAAGGGTGATGTTGTCGCGTGAGAGAGTTGCCAAACAGAAGTCTTGAATCGGTTGGCCCGCAGTTGCCCAAGAGAACGACGGTCGCAGCGGTTTTCGTCGAGGTAGTATCCGCAATTTCCCCAAAGAACCCGTTTCTTCTTCTTTTTTTTTCCCTCTTCACTCGCAGGAGCAGTAAGCAGCAGGGGGGTAGAAGGACGATGTTTTTTTTTTCCCCTTTCTCTATTGGTGTTTTGGCTAGTGTAATAGCCGACGAAGAGGAGCCAAAATGCGCCAACAGTCGAAATGAAGGTGGATGACAGAGCAAGAGAGTCGTTCGGCAAATTCGTCACAAGAGAAAGGGCTTGACCGGCGGACGAGGGATTGTCTTGGTGTCGGTTGAAGCGGAGGGTGACTGAGTGGAATGGGATGGGCTGAGAAGGGCGAGCAGAAAGAAGATGACCGGCCGCTGAGGGTGGAGTCGCGGGAGGAGCTGGGATGCTGGGCCTCTAGGACCAGGACCAGGGTAGGTGGACTGGAGGTGTAGTGGAGAGCGCAGCTGCGGGTTGCGAATGCAGTACTTGCGAGGTACGCAGCATTTACCTCGCTCTGGTCTAGCGCCGAAGGGAAAAGAAAATGGTGCAAGGTACCTCGAACACGGCGGGCGAGGTACTATTACCCTCTGCCTCGGCGGGATTCGTCCACGAACGGGATGGACGAAAAGGCTTCGCGAGATTACCAAGACACCACCACCACCACCATCCAACGCCAGAGTCGAAACGAGACAGTCGAGGCCCAGCTGCACGGGCCGGAGAGAGGAAGGGGTCTGGAGGTCTGGAGGGATGCTGTCATGACGGCTGAAGGGTTTTGCGTAACGAGCGACCCTGGGATTTCCGGCACTGTGACAATTCAACCCCTTTGCCAACTACGAGAATAGCTAGCCAAGGTACGGCATCTCTCGAGCTCGCGTTGCCTTACCTAGTACCTTAGCAGGGCTGTCACTCCGAGGCTATCCTCCCGTATCCCAGGGACATGCGTACGCAAGGACGCTCCCAGAGGTCGCCGGTTTCTTGGTTTTCTACGTTAGCGCCAAGTATCACACGTGTGGAAGACGCTGTCTCGGTAGCGTCTCGCAAGGGCGAAGCTTGAGGAATAAACGGGCTTGCTAAGCCTTCCAGCAGTTGGCAACCTATGTCGCTGGTGCGGGCGGTCGGAGAGATGATATGGTGGGGGAATGTGAAGCTAATGTTTGCTGACTTCCCCAGGCCATACGTGGGTGGCCGCAGGCGAAACGGGACTATTCGGGCCCGCGCCTGCTATTTGCGGCAACTGAGTACCAACACGGCTTGAGCAGGCGAGGGTATCTTGGGCTTAGTCGCCCTAGGGACTGCCTCGCCATCGCTCGTCTCAGCCAAGGCCCGTAAAGCGAGTCGTTGAAGAAAAAAAAAAAAAAAATTGGAGGGCGGGCGGGACGATGGAAAGGGTATAGGCGCACAAACGTCGTGGAATGGTGCACAGGCAGGCCGGTAGGTGACTTGGACGAGGGAAAGCAGAGAAGCACCCCATTCCGCGTGGTTCCCCGCGAGATCGTCAAGTCAATCGCCCAGACTGAGAAAAAGTGGTCGACAGATGCTTGGGGGAGGGGGACCAGCTTGGGACAGCTTTTTCGGAGGCTTGGGAGGGCTTGGGAAGTCGGAGAGCCGGAGCCGTTTGGTGTGCGGATTGGGTAAGACGCGATGCGTGCGTGGTTTGGCCCAGAAAAGTGGTCTCTTCGCTGTCTCTGGGCCTTTCTGAGTGGGCAGAAGGGACGCGATGGTTTGATGGGGACGAGGTGCAAAGGCCACCCCAAGTCGCTCCCAAGTCCCTCGCCCGTGGCCCGCATAGATGAGCGATCAGCGCAGCCGCGAATTCAATTCGCCCAACCGCCGACCTCTGACAGGGCCCCCCCCGTCCCAAAGAGCCACAAGGAAGGAACGAGGAATGGCAGTCCCGACCGGTAAAGTCGAGCGGTCCACGAACAGTCTAGACCCTGACTATGCCATTCGCGGCTCTTGCAGCATTTGCAGTGTGTATTTTGCGACACGGGGCGATGCTTCGTCTCTCCCAGGCCGTCTTTCTCTCCCCTTCGCCCCTCGCGGCCCATCATCATCCATGGAGGGCGGATGCATCGCTCACTCACGCATCACTCACATTCTCCCCGTTGCTCTCGAACCACGGTGCGGAACACGAGGGATTGCATGCTGTCATGGGAGGGGACGTCCTGTTCTCCTCCTCCCCTCATTCCCGTGCTCTACACTACACTATACCTAGGTACTCTGTATACTCCACGTATAACACTGGATGCAGCCAAGGCAATTTTCATCCCCCATCGCAGCCTGCAGTGCACACTGGGGAGCCCGCCAGCGATCTCGTTTCGGCGGGTCATCGACCATTTCTTTTTCTTCCCCAACCTGAGGTCGCAGGCCGCAGGGTGTGCTTGTTCAAACCTCTCGCCTCCAAGTCTCCGGCTGTCTGTGCCGTTTCCCATCTCTCTTTTCCACACTCGTCCTCTGCCCCCCCAAAACGTCCATCCAGAGAAATCCCATGTTCCAATCTCCTCCCTCCTCGCCCCTTCACCCCCTGCCCCGTCCACCCCCGTCCAGCGTTCCCACCCCCTGGTTCCCCGGGCTCCCTTGACGATGCAACCATCACTCATCCACTGTCCATCATCCACCGCGACACGAGCCAGTTATTCCACTCCCGGTGCTGCCTTAGGATTCGCCCCCCCCCTCTGGCACGATGCCAGATGCCAGATGCCAGAGAGAGATGGCCCGGAGATGAGGCTACAATGCGTAAAAGATGCTGAACACGGACGCCTCGGATGAAAGCGGTTCTCATGGCTTGATTGGGCTGACGGCCTTGCCTAACCCTAAATACTCGCCGCTGGCTGCACTTTGCTTCTTTTGCTTGATTTCGGAGGCGTCAGCTCATCTGAGAGGCCTGGCCAGGCCTGCCACCGCCGCCGCCGCTGTCCACCGTGGGGTACGTCGAAATCGCTATTGCCCTCTTCGCCGCTCTCTGAAAGCAGCACAACTCTGAGATCTCGCGTCTCAACCCCAGCCCACCATCACCTACCACCCCCTCCAGGCGCGTGTTTCCCGCTGCTGGCTCCACCCGGCCGTGCCACGAAACGCTGCACGCTTTCTACCCAGGCTTTCCCGGTCACCCCGCCCGCGCAAACCTCACCGAACCGCCGAACCACTAGCCAGTCTCGCCGCGCCACGGAGCGCTCCTCGTTGGACACCTCCGCAACTCGGTCCCCGTCCTCGGCACTTCTCCCACACGCCTCATTTGCGTTTCACGGCATCAAAGAAAATTTTCTCGGCGAAGGCCATCGGGAAGAAACGGTTATTTCCCCTGGCACTCGGATCACTCACGGGGGCCCGGCCTCTTCAAAACACTCCAAGAAAATTTTCACATTGAAAAAGGAAAGTATCATATCGTCAAGTCATTACAAAGTCATAATGCCCTCCGGTTCCTTGCCGCCGGCCCTAATACCAAGGCCGTTCCCGGCAGACCTTTCCCGGTCTGTTTCCTGCCTTTGCCTTTGCCTTTCCTTTCCGACCTGCCAGGTCCCGTACAGAGGATCCACAGCGCCGTCATGTTTCCGACTTACAAACCAGATATACAGAGTCGTTAGAGCATCACAGTCGTCGTCGTCGTCGTCTACCGCATCACCATCAGTGGAACCAGTGCCGACTGACTCGACATGGTCCTGTCGTCCGGTAATACGCTCACAAAGCTCTTTCCAAAGAGCCCCTCCCTCAGCCGCATCTGCAGCCCGCAGTTGTCCCTGCCCGCCACGGGCGCCGGGGTGCCCTTGCGTGTGAATTCCTTGGAGAGCTTCATCAACACCGCCGCCTTGGCCTTGCGCAGCGCGCTGACCCGCATGGCCGCATCCTCGGCCAGCATGCGGTGTGCCTCCTCCTGCTCGATGTTCCGTTGCACCGAGGATATCCCGTCCTCGGGGCCAGAGTGCCGGTTCGCGTTGGGGTCGTACACGGCCGGTTGTAGCAGGACGGGATGTGGGGATGTGTCCTGGATGGGTGCCGTGATGATGGGTACAGGGGTCGACGGGCGGAAAACGTCGTCCTCCTCAGGTACGGGGGGCTGTTCCCTGTGGTGCCTGTGCTTGCGGTGGCGGCTGTGACTCCTGCTCCTGTGATGCCTCGACGAGGAGCTCTCCTTCCCGTGGCCGTTGCCGTTGCCGCTGCTACCGCCGTCGTCCTTGCGGTGCTTCCTGCGCCGGTGGACGCGCTTCTTCTTTAGTATCGTGCTGAAGGACGTGCTGGCCTCCTTGGCGGCCGCGAGGTCTGAAGCCAGATCCTCGTCCAGGCCGTCGTATGGGTCGTATTCATCGTCAACGTATAGTTCGCTGCCGAGGTCGAAGTCGAGTAGTTCTCGAGTGGCAGCGGCCGCCGCGGCGGACGGCGAGGGCAGGTCGTCGTCGTGGGACGCCTCGGCCGAGTGGAGGCTGTCTGCCTCGGAGTTGCTCCGCGAGTGCTGGGACCAGATGTCGCTGCTGCTGGCGGACTCCATGAGCGGGGCGAGGGCCTCGTCCCAGTCGCCGCCGTTGATGAGCACGACGTTGTCAAAGTCGTACTCCTTGACCGTCTTCTGGTGCGCGTTGACCAGGTCCGAGAGCTGGCCGGCCGTCATGGTGGCGTTGCGCACCTGCATGTACCGCAGGCGCGGGAAGTGCATCGGCTTGCGGCCCGGCGCCGGCGGCAGCGGCGACATGGGCGACGTCACCTCGTTGAAGAGCTTCCTGCTGTGCCTCGGCGGCGCGAACAGCGGGTCCGCCGAGAGGGCGATGGGGCAGGGCCCCTTGGGCCCGAGCCAGGTGAAGTGGAACTTCTCGAGCGTGCCGGAGAACTGGCGGATGTAGTCGTCGAGGATCTTGAGGTGGTCGAGCCCCGGCGAGGGCCCGTAAAAGTCCCAGGCCTCGACCGAGATGTTGAGCTTGCGGATCTGCTTCCACCGGCGCCCCGCCGAGGGCACGGCGCCGAAGCCGGGGACGTGGCGGAGGTAGTTGAAGGACGAGGGGTGCATGCCGGACAGGGAGAGCTTCTCGAGGCGCTCGAGGGGCGCGCGCTCGACGGCGATGCGCAGGCTCATGATGGCGTAGTCGACGGTGTCGCGGCGGTAGCGCTCCTGCGGGTCCTGGCCCGGGCAGCGGATGGTCAGGTGGCGGATGTTGACGAGGTAGCGCATGGCGTTGATGAAGCTGGGGACGTTGGTGGCGGCGTGGAAGAGGGGCGGGTACTGCTGCGTCAGGATCTCGCCGAGCTCCGTGTTTGCGTACTTTGGGCGGGCGAGCACCGAGGCCATGCTCGTGTGCGGCGTGTACAGGAAGCAGATCTCGCGGCCGGTGGTCGGGTGGACGAGGGGCGGCAGGAAGGTGGCGTCGGAGTGGGCAAAGTGGAAGTGCAGGTGCTCGACGTGGTGGCCGACGCGGGCGAGGGCCTGGATGCGGGACTGCTTGGTGAAGGTGTTTGCCGAGAAGGTGACGCGGATGCGCTTGAAGAGGGGCTTGGTGGCGATGTTGCAGCAGGCGGAGCTGGCGAGGCGGAGGGACGCGAGGTCGCGCTTCGGGAGGAGGTCGAGGACCTTGGCGCCTAGGGACGAGTGTTCCTTCTGCCAGAGGCAGTAGAACGGGGTTGGGAGCGCTGCCATAGCTTTCTCATGTCGTTGCGGGACGCAGGCTTTGGTGGTTGTCGTCGGGGTTGGGGGGGTATGTTGTCTTCAAGTCGGACGGCTGCAGGACTTGGTGTATAGTTCAGGTGTTGTAAGTGGTATCAGAGAGAGCTTGAAGGCTCGAGTTCAGAGACGAAGAATGATGGAGTCCCCGGGATAGAGGAACACTATGCAGATGTTTTCTTTCTTGCTTTCTTTCTTTCTTTCTTTCTTATGTGACAGGTTCCTCCGTCAACTGAGCGTGCGAGAGTGTTCACAGCTCTCAACCAGATTCGATCACAATGTAAGACTGGGATGAGATACCAGTCGAAAAGAGCCTTGATACAACAAGGGGGTGAAGTTGCCTCCTTGTAAAATAGATACAGTTGAAGATGGGAATATAAGTAAGCAGGTCTTGAAAATCAGGCCAACTGAAAAGGGAGGGCAGAGGAGAGGTGGCTGATATATATCCCTCCCTCTTAGAGCCTTGGATGGGGGACTGATTCGGCATGGGACTACGGACAAGGCTCAAACTCTTTTTTTCTCTCCTCCTCTTCCTGCTTTTGCGCGAAACGGATACAGACAGACTCAAGACTGGAGGTGAGAGAGTGAGAGCGACCGAGAGTTGAGCGACCAGCCCCCCCTTACCCGCATCGTCCCGTCGCCCCTCCGTGGGAACGACTGGCGGGTGAGTCACCTCTGTCGAGACCTGCATATGCAAGACTAGTGTGGAAGTGTAAGTCCACGGGTTCTATGGGGACGGACTCTGTGGTTTACAAAAAAGGCAAGGGAAGGGGGGGGGGGGGAATGACACCCTTGCGCGAGCGCGGGATGCCATTCTGGCTCCTTTTTTTTTTTTGCTGGGAACACGTCCCAGGACGGGCAACCGAGCAAGAAGACTGGACGGAGAGTGTTGTTGACCACGCGAGCCTCGCACGCCCATACACGTCGAGCCGCCATACCACACCCCCGATGCGTTCATGGCGTGTACGGAACGGGCGAGCTGGCGACGTGTCGGGGGCTGTGGTTGGTCCAACGCGCGCGACGGGCGACGAGACTAGAGAGAGAGGGACTCGAGATGGAGACTCAACGAGGAAGAGACCAAGGTCGTGGGAGATGCAGTAGCTCCGCAGAAGGCCATGCCATGCCCTTCACCACCACCCCTCTCCCCGGCCGCCAAGAGCTTTGTTTCAAGTCGTCCCAGTGGTCGAGGGCCTCCCGTGGGTGAGACCGTTTTGTTCTGTCTGCTGCGGGACTGTGCAGGAAGAAGTGGCAGTCTGCCCTGTCCTTCTGTCCGCCCACGAGTCCCGGCCCCATCGTCTGAGCCATCCCCGGCATCGAAAAGACGAGGGGTGGGTGGGCTGTGGCTTTTTTTCTCTCTCTCTCTCTTCCTGGGATCTGCAAGGGAAAAAAAAGCCTAAGAGTAAGCTTGTGCGGGAGAAGCGCTATCGATAAGCATACCCAGCCGGTCCAGCATCTAGGTATCGGTTTCCCCACAAAGATCTCCACCGGCGCGCGCGCGCGGGGCCTTGCACGTCGTCGAAGAGAGAGACCCCCCGTCAAAACGTCAAACGTCAGTAAACACGGGCCCTCATTGGGCCAAAATCCCAAAGGCTGGTCGCCTTGGACGCCGGCGGCGCACCTGATTCGCCCGCGACGCGAAATCTACGCGACATGGGCTCCGGGTGCCGACGGGAGCGCGTCTATCGTCGACGACCAGTCGTTTCGTGGTCCAGCGTTTCCCAAGTCTAAGCGCTGCCATGATGGGGGGACGAGGGACGACCGATCCGCCTGCTGAACAGGGTTGATGATCATGGCTTAGGTGGAAGACGAGCTCGGCTCCAGTCTCGCTGGTGTCTTTTTTTTTATTTTCTTTTTTCTTTTTTTTACATGCCGCGTGGATTTCTCGCCAGAGCCTAGTCGTGCTTTGTTGAGCCGGAGGGAACCCACTAGGTAGCATGAAGTTCAAGCAACTCGGCCAAGGGGATCCACCGATATGGTTCGTTGGTTGTCCTGGACTTGGCTTTTTTGGAAATCCCTCGTTCTCTTTGGGGACACCCAAGCTGCTCGGCATTGACAGTGACACTCGCAGACAGAAACGCCGCCGTCCGGCCTGTGAAGGCTGTTTATGATGGAGCTGGGCGTTTGCGCCAATCCCCTCTCACCGTCACTTCTCGCCTCTCCGTCTGGTCACGACGCAGTCGGACAGCACCCCCCCATTCAACCTGGAACCCGCAACGCATCCCCTTCATCCATCCATTTTCGCAGAAACAAGGGCTACAATGTGCGAGGCTAGGGCTGTGTGGCCAGGAATCCCCCTCGCGTAGACGTACACCTCACTTTGGCGAACGTACGGAGCACAGCGGGTGCGTGGACGGGGTCCGGTAAAAAAAAAAAAAGGTCAGCAAGGCAAAAAGCAGAGGAGGCAGAGGAAGCGCAGGCCAAGGGTGTTGACTTGCCGCGCATGGTCCATTGCAGTAGTGTCTTGTCCCCCCTCCCCATGTCGTCCACCAGCCGGTGCGATGATGACTCTTTTTTCGTCCTCGGGCAAGATCCACAACGGGTTGCATTCTCCATCCTGCATTGCGCATCGTTGGTGTCTGCCTCCATTGACCAGTAAGGTCAGTCGCGCAACCCGTCGTGGACTCGACGAACCCGCGCGAATCGTCCGCGAGTCCAAGTCGCCAACCTACCACGTCCAGCCTGGGACTTTTGGGGGAAAAGGTCTGGGAACATCAACCGAACGAATCATGCGAACCCCCCACACCTTCTTTTTTTCCTTGCGCATTTGCGTATGGGTTATCCATAACATCAACCGGCGCATCTCTATTCCCATCCAATGCACGTCGTCCAGGTTGAGAGGGTAGCGCAACGCTGCGCAGCCCACAATTCCAGTCCAGTGCGGTCCCAGTCCCCACCAACTCAGACCAAGAGACACCGACACCGACACACACACACACACAACCACATGGCCCAGACTGCGAAATCCACCACCGGACAAAACGGGGCTGACAGTACAGTAACTTACATGACCGCCCACAACTACCTACCTACTTACGACCAAACCTCAAAAGACTTTCCCAGTCTTCGGAACCAACTACCTCATCATCCCAAACCCGCGTCAAAAGGGGTCTGAGCAACAAGGGTCCAGTCCCCGTCTGCACCTCTCAGACATTCCCGCCTCAGAAAGCAACCAAGCAGTTGACGTCCTGCATATAATCATCCCATGATCTCTTCCCGTCAACTCGAGTCCAAGTCCAACCCGTACGCAGCGACTCTAAGCCCTAGGGACCAAACTCTACCAAGTTACGATACTTGGAGAGACTACGACCGTCTGTTCCTTCCGCTTCGCAACTCCCATGCATCGCACCGCACCGCACCACATCGCATTACCACACACCGTCGTCCACGCCCTCCGTCCCCACGACATCCCGCAACCACACAGACGTCCATGGGCTCGACAAGCAAAAGACGACAGACCGACAATCACGACACACGCCCTGCCCCCTCCCCGGTTGATCGCCGCCGTGTCCACAACCGCAGCTGCAAAGTCCTAAAGCCCCAGGGCCCCCGTCACCGTCACCGTCCATGTCGTCAACCTCCAAGGCGCCCGGAAGGTCGTGTCCTACCGACAACCAGCTCCTCTGCCCTCGCAAAACTTCGAGCCCCCTCGTATCCCTCAGCAAACATCGTCGAACCGGGGGGTTGCCGAAGCGGTAAAGAGAGACGGACCCATGGGGGCCACGTCGTCGGTCTATCCCCCTGCCTCGCCATCACATCAGACGGCCTACCTAGGCGGTCGCCCATCAGCCAGACACGCATCCCACAAACCCTTTCCCATGATCGTCAACCCTGGTCTCAGAGACCCAAAAACAAGGTGAACCGCCAAACAAAAACCCACAACCCACGTTTTCCCAAAGGCCCCCTCCCCCCCCCCCGGCCGCTCCAGCTTCCCAACTTTCCAAAGCTCGCGCCCAAGAAAAAAAGACTCCACCAAACCGCTGCCTCATTCAAGGATCGTGAACCACCAGCCCGCCCGGCTGGTTCCCCGGGGCGTGGGATCGCAAAATGACCCAAAGCTCAACACCGCCATACCTACCGCACACACACCGACATATCGTCAAATCAACCCAACCCTCGTCGCGTCCACACAAATACCCATTTTTGCGATCCTAGCCTGCAAAAAAAGCAGGGCAAAGCACATACAAAAAAGTTCCAACGTGGCCGTTGAACATCCCCCCCCGGGCTAGATCGTCGGGTTTGTGACTAACACGCACCCAGCCTAAGCGCCGTTGAATATCAAAGAGTCGGTCCTCTTACACGCCCGTGATGTCTATATTTTCCTTAACCCCCCCCTCCTGGACCCAGGGAACCTTGACGAACTAACCCCGTTGACTTCATCCTCCAACTTGGTAAAACTCCTCCGATGGTAGATTAAAATTGCCAGGATCGTCTTCACCGTTGGGCCTTCACCGTCAATGATTCAGCTTCTTGACGACAATCACCGGCCCGGGCATTTTGATGTCGTGGCAATGAGTCAAACTATGAACATGGTCCTTGTCTGTTCTCGCAACGCGACCGAGGAGCCCTTGTCGCTGAAACCAAGACATTGCATCATTTGTTAGAGGTGTCCTTTTTTTTTTTTCGCAAAATGTAGAAATAAGTGTGCCCATTGTATTCTGTGCGGAAATGCCGGGGTATCAAAACTACCACTAGAGCCCAGACTTGTCTCGTTCCTCTTCCGCCCGTCTGCTCCGGTCATGATCTGATCCACTGAGGTGGTTTGTGTGCGCGTGGTCCACGTCGCCTTGCGCATGCACGGCGATTGGCCGACGCAAACCACCTCCAATGCAAAATGTACAGCTAGCCTCTCGCGCGCAGTTCGTCCATGTCGTTCACCCAACCGAAGAGGCAAGGCTGTCGTCGCGCGTCGTCGCGCCCCGTCTTGCTTTCCGATCTCGCACGCAATCTGTCTCAATCTCGTACAGTCGTCACACATGCTGACCTCGCCTTCAGACTTCGCATTTCCTCCCGTGACTTCCCAGCAGCTATCCCGCCCCGTCGCTCGCGCAGCGTACGATGCGCGCCGGCGTAGTCGTCGTTGCGCGCTAGCCAATCGTTCGCCATGCTCATCCTTGCTTCCCACCGCGTCTGGCCTTACCCCTGCGGCGCGATCCCGAGCCTCCACCGTTCTGCTGCTGCTGCTGCTGCGAGGATCCCGCATGTGAGCTACCGGACTGGTTCCTCGTCCTCTGCTTCTTCGGCGGATTCGGTCCCCGTCCGTTAGATGGTGGGCCCGAGTTGTGGTAGCCGTGCTGCTGCGACTGCGGCGCTGGGGGCTTTGGAGGTAACCCGCCACGACCAGCACCGTTGCTCTGAGGGGGCGGGCGCGACTGGTTGTTGAAGCTCCTCGACATACGCGAGTACGAGCCGGGTGGCGGGCCAGAAGGTGGAGGTCCAGGAGGTAGGGGAGGCTGCGCTGACCACCCACCACGCTGCTGGCCACGCCCGTTCTGCTGCGTCTGCGGTGGCGGTCCAAAGTTGCCCGCGTTGATCTGAAGATTGGTCGACAACTGAATATTGCCGAGTGGTGCTCGCGGCTTCACCTTCTGACCGATGAACTCGCCCTCTTCCGACCCGTCGCTATCGGGGTAGAAGATGTGGTTGCGCTTGGCTGCAGAACCCTTGATTTGGAGGGGGAACTTGGGGTTCTGGGGCTGACTAGCGAAGTCACTGATCGGCTCGTCGGTCGCGTTCTTGTCGACGTAGAGGTCCCGGTTCTTGAGTGACCACGTCTGGTTGCGAGGCCTGTCGCCACGAAGGGCGCAGTCAGAAGAGTAGTGGCCCTCGGAGCCGCAAGAGGCGCAGAAGGCAGGGAAGACCTTGACCTTCTTGATCCACTCCTTTTGGGGTTTGTAGGACCGCCAGAGTGTCTCGCAGTCGTCTTCAAGATGATCCTGGGAGCCACACATGGCACACTCCATGCCCTCTTCGTCCAAATGGACGAGCTTCTCGGTGCATTGCGCCTTGGCGTGGCCCAGTTGGCGACATTTGGTGCACCTCTCGCGCGTCGGACAGTTCCAGGAGAAGTGGTCGGGGTTTGGGCAGAACTTGCAGGCCGTCTTGGGGCAAGCAGTCGAGTTGTGGCCAACGGAAGCGCAGTAGACGCAAATCTGGACAGAATCCGGCAGACCTGGGAAGTACTTGCGCTGCTGCGCCAGATCCTCCTCCTCCGTCATGACGGGCGGTCCTGGCTCAGTCTGCTCGTGTTCCGTCGCGTCGCCCTTGACGTCGTTCTGAGACTGGTCTGGATCTTCAGCGGCCGGGTTCTGCTCGCCTTGTGCTTCTGGCGCAGCAGATGCGTTCTCGCCAGTAGGGCGTGGAATCTCCTGAACACCGTTGTCGGCCTCGTCGTCGTTATCGTCGATGACCATGGGTGACTCTTCGGAGCCCGGCAAAAAGCTGTCGTCCTTCAGAATGGTCGCCAGGTTGACTGCAATGTCGTGCTTTGTCTCCGGCTTGCGAGCCTCGGCGGTCGCGGCTGTGGAGTACTTCTTCTTGGACCAATGCGCCCGCGTCGTAATGTAGTCCTGCAGAGCAGCCACGACAATGTCGGGTGTAAGGAGGCTGATTTGCTCGGTGTTGCGACTGACAAACGACTGGCACCAGCTCTTGAACTTGGACTTCCAGACGGCTTTGCCTAAATTGTTACCCTTGGGCTGCAGGATCGTCTTCTTGTTGGGTTGATGAAATGTGAGGCCAGGCGCATAGACGAAGGGGTTTTTCTGCTGTTCTTGGGCCTTCTGCTTTTCCAAGGTAGCAGCTTCGGCCCGTTGTTGCTGTTGCTCTTTCCGTGTGAGCTTACCCTCCTTCTGCGCCGGTTGCGCTGGCTGGGCACCTTCAGAAGGGGCCGGCTCAGACTCGGGAGCGGCAGCAGGTGCAGATGCAGGAGTCGCTTCCTCCGTTGTGGCCGCTGCTTTGGCTGGCGCCGGTACCGCCTTGGTCTTCGACCCGCCCAACGATGTTCGGATCTGGGACGTTATGCCTTGATTCCATCCAACGTGGGCAGGGCCACTGGCGGCCGCCGACATGGACCGTGTCGTCCGCTTGATGCCAGCATCCGACTCTCCACTCGCAGCTGAGGCTTTCGAGCGGGTTCGTGAAGCGCGACTTCCGTCACTTTGCGCGCCCGCCATCTCCTCGGATTCGGATTCGGATGACTGAACCTCTCCGTCCTCCTCTAGCTCCCCCTCTTCAGCGCTCTCCGAAGCTTTTGTCTCGGTTTCCTTGGGCTGTTGGTCGACGGCTTCTGTCTTTGCTCTCTTGGCTTCGGGCTCGGATGATACGGCCCGATGAGATTGTGGCGATCCGTTGGGTTGTGTGTCTACTTGCTCAGTGTCCTCCAATGTACGCTTCTTTGATGCCTGCTGCGTGTCCTTCCCTGCGCCAGATAACGACGGTGCAGCCTCTGTCTGTTCTGATGCCTCCATAACGCAAAAGGTGTGCACTGAGAACTTGGCGACTGTGGTGAGTTGTGGGGTGAACGATGCGCGGTAAAGGATGAAAGACCCAGTGCTGACAGTTCCAATGACCTTGTGAGATTCCTGTGAGACAATCAAAGGACCTGAAAGCCTGCTGAAGGATAGGAGATTATTTTCTCGCTTTGGTTGCTATCCGGGTCGGATATCTGATATCCCAACCAGATTTCTTGTGAGAGTGAACGTGAAGAAAACAGACCTAGCGTCAATGGATGAGATTGATGCTCGAGCGCGTCGAAAGGCCTGACCTAATGCAGAATTTCCTGCGGAAGAGACTCGTCGACCAAAATCGGCAAAGACTTGCGCAAGGAATACTGAGACCGTCAATATCGCGGGCCCAAGGTCGTCGGGCTTCATCCAAATGCTTCGTTTCTCCCTCAAAAAATTGTATGCAGGGTATCCGCTTGAGGTAGACGTCACAAATCAGCCCGTTGGTGGCCGAAGATTAGCCGTTGTGTTTCGTGACACGACCGTCGGTTCGTCAGTGCCGGCTACCACCTGGCCCCGGCTGTCAATAGCGGCTTGTCCATGTCTGCTTGCTTAGGTTCAGTGCTGGGTTCGATTTTTCAGAGGTGCGGGCCTCCACTTGTCACAGTGCCAATAGGTGCATTTCGGTTAGCCGGGGGGGGCCCATTGCCCTGGAACCTTTCACTAATTACAGGCCAGAGCCCACCTGAGGCGGTGTCGATGCCGTAGCGACTTGCGAGCGGAAGCGAGAGTGAAAGTGCTTCTGGAAAGGGCATTTTCGGGTCTATCGAGAGAGATCTAATTACAGACCACCATTGTGCAATCCACAGAGTCGAATCTGCACCCTGGCATCCCGGAGATGAGGCTAGATTTTTTCTCACCTGCTACCTGGACCAAGCGTCCAGCAGCAGGCGAGTAACAGAACAGTAATTCAGGTCTGGAGGTTGAGGGCAGGGGAGCCGGGAAAAGTTATGCGGCGGCTTTGACAGGCACAGCATGGTCTCACAGACTGCTGCTTCTAGCGTGTGACCACAGCATTGCATGTCGGATCTCGCGATCTTTGTGTACGTGACATGCCATGTTCTCTCCCAGGCGTTGCAGCTGCGGTTGGTCTCTTCTCTCATGTTGTGCAGTCGCTGATTGGAATCGCCAAGTCACGAATGCTGGACAACTGCCGACCGCGATGGGGCTTGAGACGAATGTGGACAGCAACCTTGACAGTTCGCCAGCGATGCAGTCTATCTTTCGGTGAGATATCCCGGATATCCTGGAATTCCAGGTCCCCATCACTTGTCCATCCGTCCATCCCGCACAACGCAACGAACCACTCTAATCAATAAGTCATCGCACAGCCCTCCTAGTGGAGAACAAGGGTGACGAATTTAGCTCAGATTGTAGAACCTACTGTGTATGTACTTTCGTCAATTTAAGGTGCGGAAAGGTGTGAAGAACGGGCAACACCGTATGTCTTGGGAAATAGGTGTACGGAGTACGATGCCCTGATGGTAGTAAGTACTTTTGGGGGTGGAAAGACGCCTCGCAATTTGGCGTGTCATTCCTCCCAATAACGTACTGTTCGCCGTCGTGTCCAGGCGGCATGGCTAGAGGCCAGGAGCTCCGATGTGATGTGATTCATGACGTGATGCAGGGCGACGAGGAAGACGGAGAGGTATCTGATCATGTTGTTCTGCTTCAAAGTTGCTCCCAGCTTGGCTCAAGGCAGCTTGGTCTCAGCTTATTTGGTAGCTGATTGTATGTTCATGCCGCGTATTGAATGGCGTTCGTGATAGGACCGATCCGACGGTTGTAGCCGGAAATGTGTGACTGTGCGTCCAGTTCTGGCCAGTCAGCCAGTCAGCTTTTTTCCTCACCCCGAAACCGCCATCACTTTCTCGTCACTGAACGTCAAAAATAGGGGCATCTTCCCAGTAAAGGTCTGCCAGGGGAGCCCTTCCTCTCCCCAGCTCGCTAGCGGCGCGACTGTGAACCTACGCCGCAAGCTGCTCCGGCCTCCGTCCTACAGCACGATTGGTTGGGAAAGAGACGCAGGGTAGCTTACAGTACGGATATCTGTGCGGCGGGACGGTGGCATATCTATCAGGTCTGTCCATCTGGCTGGCTGGCTGTGCTCTTGTCGGCCATCAGTGCCCTTCCCGCAGGACGCGGTCCTCGCCCGTGCTGGCGTGGCAGAGGCTGGTCGATCTGCGTGCCGTGTGTGTTGCCGGACGGGGTGCGCGTTGTATATGCGAACGATGCTGGAGCTGGAGAATCTGTATGCAACGATGAAAGTGCCATCTTTTCTTCTTCGATAGTGGAGAGCTTGTCACATCGAAGACGTCTTATCGGGTGTGTGTGCACCGGCTGGGCGTCGCAAGTGTGGAAAGTTTCCAGGGCGAAAAGGAAGATAAGGTAGACAGGCCAGGAAAAGACAAGGTACGAGAGAACCTCCCGCCTGCCGCAGGTACCTTCCCTCGAGACATGCTTGCTCATCACCCGCCCTGGCCCTGCTTCCCGCTCCCTTGTCTTCGCTGTTCTGGATTTGTGTACTTGTCTCTTGTTCCAGGTGTTTCGTCCCGGGCTCCCCTCCCGACTCCCGTCCGTCCAGTCTCTTTGGCTGGCTCTGCTGGTCTCCTTTGAGGCCCAAGGTCTGAGGTGTGCTCTCGGGTCCTGCCAGTGCTTGTACTGTATCCTTCCTTTCGGTCCTCTCGTCGAATTGGGGTGGTCCCCTGAACCTGAACGACCCTGACGGGGGGCTCCACGTCCGCATCAATGTGTCCCCTCGTGTCGGCTGGCACTGGCACTGGCCTGGCACTGGCTGTCAATGCTGCAAAGGTGGAGGAAACGGGTGCCGTCCCCAGCTGTCGGCTCGGATCCCAATCTTGTCGTGTCGTGTCTTGGCTGGGGGGGGGGGAGGGGGAGAGGTGAGAACATTGTGAGGGAGAGTGGAGTGTTCACTGTGCCTGCAGTGAGTGACCTGGCACCTGCACCTGTGACCCTGTGCCGGGTAGCCTTCCATTCCATTGTCCGCAGGACGTGGGCCCCAGTGTTTCTGTCCCCTCCCACCTGCGACCCCCCCGTCCGCTGTTTCCTGCCCCGATTGCTGGTTCTGCTCGGGGCTCCAGTCCACCTCAGTGTCTCGTGCAATGAATATCTAATAGGAAATGTCCAGTCTTCTCCTTCATCCCATTGTCAACTAGACTATTACGACAACCGCATCCCCAACATTCACATCCAGAAAACCTCGCTCTCGCTTCTCTTCGACCGTCTCGACGACACTCAGTTTCTCTACTCTCGCTCCCATCAATTCGCCAGCATTTCTGTGCCAAACATCAGCTAGTCCAACGCCCACATCGACGCGAACTGCTCGCTCCCCTCGTGACATCATCAGGGGGCCGCCAGCACACAACAGATCAATCGCTCCGCCGAACCCCAGCATCACGAGGGCACCGACGACGATCCCGAGAGCCTGCAGAACCCTCCCCCTCCTCCATTCCACACACAAAACTCGCATCCCCCCAACGCCCCCTTCAACACCGCCAAACTGTCTTCCCCAATCCTCCTCTCTCGCACCGTCTCGTACGACGCGGCCACCAATCCTCCGCGAAGTGGCAGCGGATCGTACAGAGCCATGGCGGAACCCGGTGCCCGCAGAAGGAGATCTAGCAGCATCCTTCAGGTCCACTACGAGCCCCAAGAGACTCTCGAGCAGATAAGTGACCAGGCCGTCGTGCCCAACCTCAATGCGAACTGGGTCAATGCCAAAGGTGAGCCCCGCGCAAAGCTTCCCCTTTTCGAGTCGCGTGACAGTCCGTTGCATCCAATGGGCGGAAGAAACACCCGGAGCTGACCGCCACCATCACCAGGCGCCTGGACAATCCATTTCGTCCTCATCCTTTGCCTAAAGATATTCTACGATGTCATGCCGGGCGTGTCGCAGGAGACATCCTGGACTCTGACCAACATCTCGTACATGTTTGGATCCTACATCATGTTCCATTACGTCCGCGGCGTGCCGTTCGAGTTCAATGGCGGCGCATTTGATAACCTGAACATGTGGGAGCAGATTGACGATGGGGCCCAATACACGCCGGCCAAGAAGTTCTTGCTCAGCGTGCCAATCGTTCTGTTTCTCCTCAGCACACATTACACGCACTACGACCTGGCCTACTTCATCATCAACTTCCTGGCCGTGCTAGCAGTTGTCATCCCCAAGCTGCCTTTTGTACGTTCCCCCTACTGACACGCCCAGGTGTTCGAGAGCTGACATCAGACGCAGAGCCACCGGATGCGATTCGGCCTTTTCTCCGATACTGACTATTGAGCTGCATGACAAGAAGGCGTTAGGGGCTAGGTTGCGGATTTGTCGAGAACAAAAAGAATGGAGTCGAAAGAAGGCATACATAGCGAGCATGGTCCGACTCGGAACACACAAGATTAAGCGTTGCAGGTTACGAGGATGCGAGAGGAGCTTGGAAGCAACGGGCACAAGACATTTCGACTGTGTCGAGAGATCCGTCAAGGTGTCCAAACCGCCATTCTTCCGTCTTCGAGTCCAGATAGCGGGACGCGGCTCGCCGGAGCCGAGAAAAACTTTTGGTGTCGAAAATCTTGACCAACGGTATATTGGCGCTGCAGAGTCATTTCATCGAATCCAAAAAGCGAGTGGCGGGCAGCCGACAGTGGAAGAGGTCGGATAGAGGTCCCGCCACGATATGTACCCAAGCGTTTTCATCAATTCCCAAGCACAGATTCAAGTATTTGTTTGCTCATCCGTGCAGTGAACGTGGATATCAACGACCGCTGCATGAAAAGCTTTGGCATTACGTACGCCAACCCAAGTTCAGGTTCGGTCGAGAACACCATATATCTCAGACTACAGCCAACAAAGTATCAGGACCCGGCTGTCCCGAGCTTATACAACCCGACGTGACTTTTCTCGGAAGTTCCTGCTGGCTTGCAAACCTTGACCTGCAGCCATCGATTTTGGGGGAGCCCGTCTCCCAGGTGGCTGAAGAATCAGGAGCTTTCTGCATAAGCTTTGCTGCTTCCACAACCCTGTGGTTTCTGTTTTGCTCGATCTGGACCCGGATTGTATCCAAATGCTGTCCAATCTTGGACTTTCCCCCCAAGCCGTAAGGGACACGAGGCTCAACAAGCCATCCGGGATGGAAACCATTCAGGAGATGGTTAGCCAGGCCATCAAGGGCACATATCCGTCAGATCTTCCCCAGTAAGATGATTATAAGTATAACGGACCAGAAAGCAAAGTCCAAATGTCTTCTCTCCCGACTATCCCATTCATCAGTCGCTCGCTCACAGTGTAGGGAAGGCGGGAACCTTTCGCTCCTCAGTCAATCGTTTGATAATCTGCCCCTTTCCAATCGTTTGCCACTCACCACTACCTACGATATGAAGGTCACTATCGTCGCCATGGCGGTCCTCGCCGGACTCGTCAAGGCTAGCCCTCGGATTGCCGTTGATGACGCCGCGGGCCAAGCCCCGGCCGCTACCGCTCGCCCGGACGGCTGGGCGCCGCCCAAATACGACTTCCCCGCGCCGCCTAGGGACGCAGTCGCGGTCCCGACGACCTCCGTCCGGACCCAGGTGTCTCAGGTATCCGTCCCGCTGCCCAGTCCGACGGGGACCAGGTCGACCAAGCTCGTCACCGTGACAAAGCCTAGCGCGACTTCGACCAAGAAGGCCACGGCGGCGTCTTCTACTTTGAAGAAGACCACCACCACGCCTACCACATCCAAGAAGGCGGGCCCGACTTCGAAGAAGATTAGCACCACGTCCAAGAAGATTAGCACGACTTCCAAAAAGGCGATCACTACTCCTTGCTCTACCTCAAAAAAGATCACCACTACCCCTTGCTCTACTTCTAAGAAGCCCACGACCACTCCTTGCAAGACTTCTTCTACCAAGAAGCCTACGACTACCCCGTGCAAGTCCTCTTCTACCAAGAAGCCCACCACCACTCCTTGCAAGACTTCTACCAAGAAACCTACCACAACCCCTTGCAAGTCTTCTTCTTCTACCAAGAGGCCTACAACGACCCCCTGCAAGACTTCTTCCACTAAGAAGCCTACAACGACCCCGTGCAAGTCCTCTTCTACCAAGAAGCCCACCACCACTCCTTGCAAGACTTCTACCAAGAAACCTACCACAACGCCTTGCAAGACTTCTTCTACAAAGAAACCCACCACAACCCCCTGCGTCACTCCCAAGAAGTTGACCTCCTCCCGCAAGATCGTTGTTTCGACTCGTCGTACAAACACCACCACCACTTTCGTTCGCAGAACCTCCACCGCCTCAAAGCCCGTCACCGTCTCTACTCGGCGTGCCGTCCCTATAGGTTCCCCATGCCCTACGGTCACTCGGTATTCCAATGCCACGGTGACTGCTGCCCGTCCAAAGGCTACCCCGGTTCAGCCTCCTGCTCAAGCCAATGCTCAGCCACCTGCTCAGCCCAATGCTCAATCCCCTGCGCAGCCTCCTGTCCAACCTCCCTCGCAGCCTCCTGCGCAGCCTCCCGTCCAGCCCCCGCCGACCACTTCGAGGAAGCCTAACACCGTTCCCACCGCAGCCGGCAACAGCGCCAAGGCCCCTTTGACCCTCGCCGGTGCCCTACTCGTTGCCATCGCCTTCCTCTAAGCACCTTTACCATAAAGACGCTCAAAGGAAGTTTTGAAGAAAAATGTATTGGGGACTGCCATGTACGAATAGCTCGAAATGAGGCTATTATTGGATAGAGAGGGGAGACTAATTGTGTCAAGCGATCCAATTCTCTCGACAACCCTCGCCTCTCTCGTTCGGTCGTCTCATCGCCAGTCTATTCCTGGTTGTTGTAATGATTGTAGTCACTAGACTTAACATCCGCTTTAATAAAGAATCATTTTGATTTGTTTCCTTTGAGCAAGATGTGTTGTGCTCCCAATCTCGAGGTGCTGTAGAATCGGGCCGTGGTCGCTTATCGAAGCTTTAGTTGATCTTTACCCGTTGCGTCTTCTGTACAGCAACGCCGGACGCAAGCTCTCTCGGAACCGCCCCTCTTTCCTGAAACAGACAAACGTCCATGAAATGATGGTCCGCGGCGGCGGCACCAAACATGCGTCCCGTCCCAACTTCGGTATCCGAAGTCGAATGCCTCGGGCGGCGCTGCAAGATTGACTTTCCGCGTACATGCGTGCGCCGCCGAAGCGCGCGTTCTCATAAAGTCAATGAGGCCAAAAGAAAAATTGGCGTGTATCTGACCGGAGGTTCAGGATAAGAATGGCGGTTGCTGGATTGGCCTCAGTTCACGCCGTGGGTAAAGATAGATCCATGCCCCATGGTGGTATCGTGGCTAAACGCCGAGCCGAGCTGGGTATTGGCCCTTCGGCCGAAGATCCTACTCGTCAATGGTTTATCAGCAACATGGAGATGGGCACGAATTGGACGTTTCCATTGGAGCTTTGGCGGGGTTCCTTGATCGTGTGCTTTGCGGGTAGCGTGTGCGATGGCGCAACCAGTCGATGGCGGGGGGCGAAGGAGAGAGGAGCCGGCATCTTGCTCCGAGCGGGGAGACGTGGGGGGGATGGGCGGCGATGGAGGGGTTACTTCTTCCAGCTTTCGGAACTGGTAAACGTCGATCCATGTTCCGGTTGAGTTTGTAACACGATACTTGTCATTGTGCCAGCAGAGTTGCAAGACTTATAAACCACGACTCACGACACAGCATTTCCGGGTCCTTTGATACTTGGCATACATACACTCGTCCTCTCTCGTATTGTTGCAAGAGACTCGACTTGCGAACCCATTCACGACTTTCCATGAGGACTAAACTTCTCTGAGTCTAATAACTGCCGAGACAGAGACCCGAGTCTAAACACCGTAACTCGATCCCGTCAACTCGCTTCCTCACACTTTCACCCTCACCTTTACATTTCTTACAACCAGAACTCTCTACATCCCCCAGTCTCACAACCTTTACTCACAACAAACACACACAACCACACAAAATGAAGTCCTCCGTCTCGGTCCTCTACCCCAACGAGTCTGTCTCACGCAACGTGACGACCTACTCCGAGTCTCACTCGACGGACCTCCCGGCGCACATCGTCGCCTACCATGAGCATATCGACACGACGCAGCCCGAGACGTCGATGCTCATGATCAGCAACTTCCAGGCCCAGAACCATATTTGGCTGGCCAAGCTCATCGGAGCTAAGAGAGGTGAGTTGACTGTACTTATCTGACCGGTTGTACCTTGTTGTTCGGTTGCGAGTCCTCTTCAAGGGCCCAGAGGACTCGGACTGCATCTGCATTTCCTTCACTTGCTCGCCTTTGCTTCACGGGTCATGATCTCCTATAAGATCACACCAGGGAGGTCACATTGAGCTAAGCTGCGCATATCCGAGCAACCTAGGAATCCCTTATCATACAAAAAGATCAACTCCACTAACACAATCCGACAGTCCTCGAAATCGGCGTCTACGTCGGCTACTCCGGCATGATTTGGTCCCATGCCGTCGGGTCCGACGGCACAGTCACCGGCCTCGAGTTCAACGCCGACTACGCGAAGCAGGCCGAGGCCGCGTGGGCTGCCAACGGCATCAAGAACGCGTCCGTCATCGTCGGCGACGCCCTCGAGACGTACGTCTCTCTCCCGTTTCCCTCGTTCATTGCTACTCAGGCCGGATGAGACAAAACCAATCCCAGAAAAAAAACACTAACATAACTCTAGCCTACCCACTCTCACCCCCTCTGAGCCTTACGACCTAATCTTCATCGACGCTCAGAAGTCGGGCTACCCAGCCTACCTCTCCACCATCCTCTCCGCCTCTTCCCCGGCCTCCAAGAACCGCCTCCTGCGCCCCGGCGGCCTTATCGTCGCAGACAACGTCCTGCGCCGCGGCATCGTCGCCGACGACTCGGACGAGAACCCGTGGGTCGTCAAGGAGAAGGCCCAGCGCGCGGCCTACTGGCGCTCCGAGGACGTCGACAAGCTGCGCGAGTTCAACGACGCCGTGCACGACGAGCCGCGGCTGGATTCGTGGCTAATGCCGCTGTATGACGGCGTCCACCTCGCGCGGTTGGTCGACTAGAGGAGGTGCAGGCGATGGGTTGTCTGCCGGGTTGCGAGGTCGGACCGGGGACTTGAGGGGACTGCGGTTAGGGGAGGCGCGGCATATACGGAATCAAGCGTGCGAAGGAGAGGATACATAGATGTTTTCTAGACACTTTTTTGCTAAGCTATGAGTGATGAAATATATACGGTCTTGCAGACGTCCTGGAGAAATTCCGAGAAAAGAGTGAGTAACTGAAAGCAACCATGGAAGAATCCCAGCATCGTTCAACGTAGTTATCGAATCGCCGAGTGTGATAACCAACACCCCTCAACATTATCAAACACCGTCAACACAGGACAACTCGTCTGTTTCCGAACAAAGCCCCTGACCACTCGTGAGAGGCCGGGCCGTCCGGAGTCGCCCATCACGATTACCAAGGAAGGGCTCTCAATCATGAGCAACGCCTCGTAAGGATTTTCATCTAGGACATAGTTACAGCCCCAAACTTCTCATACATGCTCCGCCCAACAACAGCCTTTCATTCATCTTATTCCACCAAAGAGCCTTGTCGCCCCTTGTCTCGGGACAATAGCGATACTCCTTTACCAATGGCCAACACAACGATATTGCGTCCCGAACAAGGGGCCACTACTTGACAATGGACATTCCCACAGCTTCTCTGCTCAACAACGTCTTGTCATTGTGTCTAGTTTATATCAACAGCTGTTCCCTAAGTTCTAGAAGATGGCGACAAACAAAAGTAACCCCAGCCCTCCAAAGACGCCAACCATCGAGCCCAAGCAGCAAATCCCTCGACGCTGCCATCCACCATCGCAGAACCTACCCATCACCCATTCACCCCTTGTTTCCGCGAACACCGGAGCACCAAGGTAAGCCCCCCCGGTCCCAATGTGCCTCGCAGAGAACATCTACTACATCAACTGCGGCTGCTGGGAGGGTCAGCACATCCGCTGGGTATGCCCTCGCGGCGGGCCACGAGGCGGCGCCTGCCCAGACGTCGAGTGCGCCGGCGTATTTCGCAAATGGGGTCGCTGCCTCGCCTGCGAACGGCGCCATACCCAACAGCGGCAGCAGCGTCAGGTCCTTGTTGGCGATGACGAGGGCCACGATGTCAAGGTAAGGCTTCTGTATGAGGCGCTACGGCAGGCCCTGGGCGGACCGGGTGATGACTCGCAGTCTAGCCAGACCATAGTCGTACTCGGAAATGGACACACGAGGAGAAGAGCTGACCGTGAGTTGGTTTCCTCGCAGGGCGCCGAACGGAACGATGGCGCCGCGTGCTGTCGGCGATGTGACGCCTGCGCATCCGAGAACGACACATGCCACCACGGAGAAGCCCCCGGGACACGCAGCACCGGCGAGGCAGTACCGAGACCGGAGAGGTGGGCCCTCGGCCGGAGCCTTTGCCAACCTCGAGCCGGGGGCCTCGAACATTGTGACAATGAGGACGCAGCCCTCCACGAGAAGACGCGCGGTCGGAGCCACCGAAACTGTGAGGCATGTCACGCGCAACACCCAAGCCAAGTGACTGGTAAGTGAACAAAGGAGCGCAGTGCCTTTCCCCGAAGCAGCATCAGCAATGAAGGAAACCCTTGCGGGAGAGGCGTCCCTCCCGGGATGCAAACGGAACGCAAAGAGAGCGTCAAAGAACAAAGCGATGAAGGACTTTGTGGCAATAATCGGCATGTCTATCCGAAGCCGGGACGCCCGCCCACCTGCATCGGATGGACGTAAGTCGTCCTCCTCAGGTCAACAGTGCTTTCCCACCACCACCGACAGAGTAGCAGCCGTTCCCAAAAGCTCCTGTGTTTTACGAAACTCACTTTTTCAGGAGCCAAAACCAACGACACGCCGCAACCTTGCAGCCAGCCGCTGGCAGCATCGCATTGCGTAATGCAAACGCAGCGACTCCTGTCCACATACCGTCGTCTCTCGTCTCTCCTCCGAGCAGTGGCTACAAGGGCCAAGTCAGAACACAAGACGGGTCGCTGCTCATTCTTTCGGGCGATGTCGGCTGGACAGTATGTATGCACAGGGGAGGAGGCTTCCGAGGCTTTTGCTTCTGAAAGGGTTGGTGACACCGCCGGGGACAAGGTTGACCGAGAGAAGCAGAAGCCAAGACCTGCAATTATTGATGCAGGATGCCAAAAGGAGCGCATGTTTACCTACGGCTCTTACTTGGCAGACTCATTTGGCCGCCACCAACAGTGAAGCACAAGCCGACGATGCAGCTCGCTACTAGTTTCTCTAAATGTGCAAATTAGAGGGTCCGGCACCTACCAGCTTCCAATGCCGCACACATCGTCTGGGGCAATAGGCAGTAGACATATCCGGGGGACGTAAACTCGGGGAAGCGCGGTGCGGCAGGGGCTTTACACAGACGTGCTCGAGAGCTCAGTGTTAGCAACCTGTCGGAGCATATTCTCCAGTCTTGCAAGTTCAACGTCTTTGGCTGCGTACGGTTGGGGACCCTTCGGTTAGAGGTTTGTATGTGCCCTCGAGTTTGTTTCTATAACATTGGGCAGTTGGCGGCATGTGTTTTTTTTTGTGAGATATGCCAAGTACAGAATCATTCCGCAACTCACGTCGGATGAACGAGGCGGGACTGCCCAACTTATGGCCAGTGTAATTTACCTGATTACGTGAAGTCGCGAAATGGATGTGGAATATGATGTCTCTGGTGTAGGCATGAGTCACAGGGTTTGCTCGTGCTGTTCTTCAAAGCTCGACAAAACACAACGGCCTTCTTGTTTGTTGGCTCATCAACGTGGTTTGGAACGTTGTTGAACGCAGTGCTCACTATTAGCAGAGCTATTGACTTGAAGTTTGGCGGCGTTTCAACGGTTGGTGGTAACCTCGTGCGATTGGGTGCGTAAAACATACCCAGTCCGAAAATGAATGCAATCATTGCGAAGACAATGCCTTGGGAGGAACAGTCTTTTATGATGCTGTACATATAACCCCGCAGACGAAGCTCTGGCTGCGATGGAGAGATGGCAACGACGCCCTCAGCGATGACTGTCTTTGCCACCTACGGCACGGTTGCCAAACTTAGGTTCTCTCTCGTATCCGACTATCCTACTTTGTTCGGATCTTTGGGTCGTAGACTTAGATAGACGTCGAACGTCTAGACGAGAAACATTGACGGCGTGATATACTTGTCTCTCACCGACATGCATGGCAACGTGGCTCTTGATAAGCATCAAGATCTCAATACCTCTGAGTCCAGACAGAGGATGTTTGCAGCCGAACCAGCCGAGAATCCGGTGGATTTACCGCCGTTTGCGGAGATCACACCGTTGGCAGGCGAGGAAATGGATACGGAGTGATCGCCGGTTGCCCGCAAGACATTCCGTGACAAAAGCTACGCTCTCACAACTGTGGCATTGAAGAATCACTTGCGCGTCTAGCCGGGTTCAACGCCGAGACGAGACATGGGTCAGGCTGAAGTCCTGGTCAGGTGGATGTAGGCATGTTTGCCTCTGCTGGTGCCCGGATGCGCCGCAGCAAACAACTCTTCTCAGGCCTCTCGAGCTCACCAACCGCGGATTCCTGGGAATAAACGCCAGTATTTGGCCCGTGGCTTTGTGAGACTATGATCTCGGCGACACTCAAGTGGCTCTGTCCCACTGCAGGCCACCCTGGAGCGGAAGGAAAACACTACCGTGACCAGAGCCCATAGATACTGGCTAGCATGAGACATTCCCCATCCATCCATCTACCTAGCATCGAGCCGATCTTCTGTCAGCCTTCCGCACGGCGCTTGGCCCGAAGCCACTAAGGAAGTTTGTCGCAAACAAACAGTGAGCTTTCTGCAAGCTAGCTGGCTAGATGAAAGCGCCCGGGTTTGAGGTCTTAGGTCACACAGACAGCCCTATCGCATCCCGAGGGGTTAAGGTCCGCGATTCGCGGTAGGGTGGGCAGATAGAAGCACCCACAGTGTAATGCCTTGCCGTCGGACGCGATCCTTTTTGCTGCTGGAGCTGCCAGCAAGACATTCTACAGCTGCTTATATGGAGCTCGAGATGCAAGATCATCAATAGGAAGGCATACAGATGAACGACCAACTTTGCAAAACGTCGACTGCGTCCTAGATTGTGTCAGCCTCAGCGTTGAGACTTGAACATGAAGCAGGCGGCTTACGGACAAGACAGCGGTCTCTGTTTGGAACACCTGAGGCTGCCCTGATCCTTCCACCATGTACCGCCTGGAGGCAAGATGGAGAAATGGAGAAGAGGCAATCGTTATCTCTTTGGCAGCAGCAGGAATACTAGTGCGTAGCGCGCAATCGGCTTTCGGGTGCTGGCACTTGGACCGCACATCTCTGAGCCTCCGTCACAAATAGCCAGGCACCGTCTCTGGCAAGGACGAACATTGGAGATTGATCGCCGAATAGCAATGCGGACTGTGCGCCTCTTTGTGGCCCTGGCGCGATCTAGCATGCCGGTCGAGACCGGGCTGCTTTGTAGTAGGTGATCCCTCGGATGGAAGCTAGCAAGCCAGCAAGCCATATCTAGACTAGACTCATAGTGTTCACTCAGGGGAGCACAGTTGGTACGACGGTGGCATATCATCATCTCATCGACGGGGTGTTTGGTGGTGACAAACCCCAAGTTTAATGACATCGATTTTCTGGAGAGTCCGGGGGTCCAGCCAGCTGCGCCTTCTGCCCCGCCAGACCATTGGATCAGACGCAACTGGTGGAGATTTGGGGGTTTAGACTAGGACAGCAAATTGATTGCTTCAGCTCCAGTTGGTGGGGAGTGCTGTAACTGGTTGAGAAGAATGGAACATGTAGCCATTTGTGTGTACGTGCGCTGTTTTGGAAGCTCGCGCGCCGTGGGGAATTGAAGTGTTGTTTCCCGTCGAGTTGCAGCTCAACGATGGCCAACAGTTCACTCCATCGGCGTAACCGTTGACAACCCAGATTAACGAGCTGTGTTGGCGTCTCTTCCCGTTTTGTGTTGGAGCCACTTGTCTGTGCGAGCCAACGATGGTGCATCCGCCAGAGTGGTGATTGGCAGCAGCAGAGTGAAAGCTAGCTTGTCGGTGCGCCAAAGATTGAGTTGGGGTTTTGACGATCGAACCCCGAGGCCGGTAACGCAGCTCGGACGCGATGACATCGAAGGTCCTTGGGCGCCAGGCTGTCCGTCCCATCATCATCTAGCATCGTGTGAAGGTAAAACAAACGTTGGTGCACGCGGCTTGCAAGCAGCCAACGACAGCGGAAAGTGGGGATACGCTCAGAGAAACGGTCCCCTCGTCGTCTCGGATGCGACAGTTGCGGGAAGTTGTCATCCTTGGCCTCCACCCGATCTTAATTTGAGAGGTCTGAGGACTGTGACCCCGTTTGGAACGCGCAAAACACTGGCCCTGGCCGCTCGTTTCGTTTCGTTGCTCCGGCAAGTTAATCTGGTCGACTGCAGGCTGGCGGGGCTGGTGACGATGCGAGCGATCGTGACAGGCTCGAAGCGAGGATTCCCGGTTGGGAAGTCCAGAAGTGGACGGAGAAAGGGCCGAAGTGAGCAACTGGAGAATATGGCGAGGAGGTTCATCCAACGCTACACGACCACCCAGCAGAAGGACGATGGGACGTCGCGGGCTGCGAGACGATGTGACGGTTGCACTGTATGTGTCAAACGTTGTGTACATGAGCGACCCGAGATCTGGGCTTGGGCTGACCGAGTCTGCGTTCCCGCTCCAGCGCCAGCCCAAGTGAGACCGGCCTGGTGGAAACCAAGGATGATTGCGTGCGGTAGCGCATCTGAGGTTTAGATTCGTTGTTTCTTTTTCTATTCCTTCATAACGGCAAGGCTCCCACGGCGGGCCGGCCGGCCGTGGGAGCAAAGCGCAACAATGCGTTTTTGCTTTTGCAGTGTCAAGAAAGGAAGAAGAAGAAAGAAACGGGCCCATCCGGTGGCATGACTGAGGCCGGAGGGCGCGAAGAAAGCCAGGAGGGAGCCGCAGCAAGTTGAGCTGGCACACGTCATTGTATACTCTGTCTGCACCATTGTTCGTGTTGGTAGATATGAAGCTGGGTGTCTTGGGACGTTGAAAGGAACATCTGCTGAGAGGGTAGGCAAGAGAGCCTTGAACGACGGGCTGGACACACCTAGCCGCGCCGGGGACTGGAAAGGGACGGGGCCGTCTGCCTTCTTTGCTAAGTTTAGGCAGTCGGCGGAAACAGCACCCGATGGACGGGTAGGCTACTACTACGTAGGCACCCTATGTTTAGGTTTCTGGCGATGGCTTCGTCCCTTCCCTTTCTTTGTTCGACATGGCGGGGAAGGTGCGATGGACGAGAGACTTTCCGTCAAGTATACAGTGCTAATGAGGAGATACAGTTGTGCACGTGGCACTGTGTTGCGCCAGGAAGCGTCGCGTGTGTGGGAAGGCAAGAAGTGGGTTTGATTTTCCTGCGTTGTTTTGCGGTTTCCCCCTTTCTCGTCCGAGATGGGGAATCTCTGCTCGTGATGCTACCTGCCAACGTTGGGTTTGTTTGAAACCCCGTCTACTGTGCAACGTCGAGCTGGATCACGGGCCAGACGAGACCAGGCTGGGAGGAGACTACTAACTAGTACAGAGTACAGTGTTGGAGTAATTAGAACAATGCTTTTTCACTAGACCGGTCACTCTCCCGACCGAGAATCTCCCGTATCCCATATCCCATACATACCCCGTCAATCCGCGCCGCCCACAGGCAAAGGAGGACCCTGGCGGCCTACGCGCTAGGTGGACGGAAGACGAGGGTGGCAGGCGGCAGGCGGCGGGTGGGGATGAAGGACCAAGGAGCCAGGGTCAGGGTCAGGGTTCCCTTCGGTTTAATTAACCATGAGTCCACCCCGTTTGCGACTCCGCATCTAGGTACTGTCACTCTGTACCATACTGTAGTAGTGTATGGACGGTGGTCTACATATGTACGGCAGGGTGCACTACATCCTGGAGGCCACGAACCAGACGAAGTGAGCTCACTTTCTGCCGATTCGTCCGGCTCTTCAGGATCGGAGACTTTTAATCCCCTTTCCTTCTCTGCAGTCTGCCTCCAGGTCGTTCAGGGCAACGTGGGCTCACCCCTCTGCTACTCGCTCCTTTCCCCGATGGCACGACGATCGCGGCCACCGTGGACGGGTGAACCCAGCAACTGCGAGGCTTGTATCGAATCAAGGCACAGGGCATTGCGTACTGTAGCATCTCGAGACAGGAATACCGGATAGCCGTCTGGAAGCCGTTGTTTCGTCGCCGACGGGTCATTGACCCCCATCTCATCTACCAGGTACGTCAAAAAAAGGGGGCCAGACGCTTTGGTTCCTTGAGCAGGGCTCTACCTAGGATCGGTGAATCTATCGAGTTTCGTTAGGCCAGGCTCAACATGGCCATAACGTCGACCCGAAGCAGAGTGGCGAGGCACAAACGAATGCTGTGCAGTGTAGTGCAGGGCAGGGCAGGGCAGCAGGCCGACTGCCATTGCAGCACAGTTGGTCAGTCACTCACTCGCTGGTGCCGAAGCAAGAGAGAGGCTCTTCTAGACTTCCCGTCGTTTTGCCTCTCCCACTGACTCCGTGGCTCCCCGGTCTCGTCTACTCTGTAAGAGTCCTCTTTTTCGTCGCGACTCACTCTCTTGCTCCTGTCAACCATGGCTTCCACTGCTTCCTCCACACTGCAAGGGGGGTCGATAGTACAGTGGGCAATGGGCAGATATGTGGTCGCCGAAACCAACCCACCGTGCTGGAGAAGTTGTCTTGTACCTGTACGCAATTGGGAGACTTGAATGGCCACGACGAGACTCTTCGGAACACACGCGGCGGCGCTAGCCGTCCTTGGTGCCAGATTCTCTCTCTCTCTCTCTTTCTCTTTCTCTCGCCTCCACACCCACCACCTCCCCAGAGCTGAGGTGTGGCATACATAGTAGAGAGAGAGAGAGAGAGAGAGAGAGGATGGCCCCAGCTCCCAACACCCACAGAAGTCTTTCCGTACGTAGTGTAATTTGCATAGGTAGCTCCTTCGCGTTCTCTACAGCACCTCCCGAGCACAGTGAGGATGGGACTGTCCCTCAGACTCTCTGCATTCCATTTCATATTGCGGTCGGGGTCGCTAGCTGGGTATAAACCACGGTATAATATCCGAAAGCAGGCCACGAGTGAATTCTTCTCTCAGAGAGCTTTGCTGCTGTCCCGCCACGCATCCCAAACGTCGTCCGGATGCAAGCCAAAAAAGCAAAAAAAAAAAAAAAAAGCAAAAGACAACACGTTCTTGTCCCTACGATTTTGCATGCCCCGTGAGCTCCGCCGCGTGCATGCATGTACCATGGTACTGCACTACCTCCCTTAGCACTCCCCTCCCTCCACTCCCATGCTTGGTACCTGAATGGTGGATATCCAAGAGCTTTCGATGCACCACCATCATCCACATCTCCAGGGACCGGAACCACATCCAAGACTTATCCCATTCAACGAGCTCGCTCCCCACGCGCGTACTGCACACCAGCGACCACGACCTTTTGCCCTTCTTTTCCCACCACCTCGGGTTCCCTCCAGGAACGCACACACACCCACCCACCACCCACCACATTGGCGCACCGCGACTAGGTACCTACCTACACTACCACCTTGGCCCGGGCCCCGAGGAGGACGAGAGAGAGGGAGAAAGCACATCCAAATGCCGCCTAGCACCAAATCGTAACCTTGTCTGGCTATGTCACCTCCAATGCTCCTCACCCACCTGCACTAACACCACCATTTCAAAGGCGGCGCGCAACACAAAAAAAATACCCTTTGCACTAAGCACCCCCCGAGACTTCCTCTTTCGTCCTGGCCGCTGCCGGTCTTCCTGTCGTCGACTCGTTCGTTTCCTCCTGGGCTCGACTGGTCTCTTTTCCTCATGGTGGCTCCTGCGCATCGACTTCTTCTTCAACTTACCTACTCTTACTCTTTTGTTCTGGCGCTCGCTCTCTGAGCTCTCTTTCTCCTCCTCCGCCATCCTACCGACCCCATTCATCATACCTTGTTCTCCTTCTTCTCTCCTCATCGCCATTTCCCAGCTTACTCGTCCGCCGGACTTCTTCTCTTCACACAATTTCTCTTCCCTCCGCTGGCCGACTACTGCTATCACCACTACCACTACTGCTATTCCAACTTTTGTTACCTCTCAGCTCCGTATCACCGTCGCCCCAAGCCATTCGACCTTCTCCTGCCACGACTTGCATTGCCATCGCTCGTCCGCATACCAGCCGCCCATCGACATCACCCACATTATCATTTGCAGGTACGTTTGTTGTTGTTACGAATCCTTTCCGTCCGTACTCTCGGCCCATCCGCCCGGCCGCGCGCGCGCGACTCGCCACCATCTCCTGGTCGGCGCAAGAGAAAGAGAATGTGAGAGTTGCGATCGGCGGATACTGTACTGCCTCCCCAAACTCAACACCCCCCATGTTCGCCCATCTGTGCCGAAACTCAGTTTAGCCGTTCGTTGAGACCCCCGTCAGAGACCGCCTCTTCGTATCTGTCTTTCGGACCGCAACCGCAGTCCATCACCCAGCTTTCTTATACAGCTTGATCGTCCGTTTTTCGTCCTCCAGCTACTTCGTCCGCTCTCCAGTCCAGGCCTAGGCTCCCCGCAGTACCACACGTTCCATTCTCTGCTGCAAGACGTGGTTACTGCGCATGAATCTCTCTGCCTCTACCCCCAAGTGGATCACACACAGGTCCTTCACTGCCATGCGGCCCTGGACCAGGTGTTTCACCTCGTCAATCACCGCCGCCTGTTCGATTAATAAAATACAATTCCGCTAACAATTCCCCATCACGCAGCCATCCGTCATACCCCCGATCCCTCCCTCCCGCATAAGCAACTCTGTGATATTCGCAATCACCTTCCGCCAGCGCCGCCTTAGCCCAGTCACTGATAGGACCTTCCACTCGTTCCGCTTGCGAGACAGCGCCCATCGCCAAGACTTGTGTCGCCTCAATCCAATCTCCTGTGGTCTCACGGGGGCCCAGGGGACCTGCCGTGCTGGTTTCCTCGACTTGTAGACACGAACGTACAGCAAACATGGCCAACACAAGTGCTGGCTCGGCCGCCGTGTCGCAGCCGACCTCTGGTATCTCTACACCCCAGTTCCAGACGAGGTCGCGCACCCAGAGCATGTCGAGCGATCGCCCTTCCACCATCATGAGTTTCGGCCTCATGTCTCCTCCCCTCTCCGTCACACCGGAGGCCGCCTTCATTGCCGCCTCGGCCGCTTCGCAGATTGTCACCAACGACCACGACAGCCACGCCGACACTTGGTATGACCAGCATGGAATCGAACCTGCTGGCGAGACGGCCATGGTCTCGGCAGCCGCCTTGCAATTGGTAAACAGCTTCCTCGACCAGCTCCTCTTCAACTTCCTGTCCGCGTCGCGCGCAACGACCCTCGCCGCACTGAGGCCTGCCGTGACCGAAGTCCTGAAGCCGAAACTCGCCAAAGATGCCATCAACCAGGCAGACGAGGAGCTGCGAGAGTACCTTGGTGGAGCCGACGAAGACGATTTCGTTCAACCCCAAGGCACAGAGTCCAAGGACTGGGACCTCGAACTCGTCTGGAAGCGGACACGGTTGAGGTGTATGGTGTACTCTTCGCTGGGTGACATGGAAGAGGAGGACGAAGACTACCACATGGATCAAGAGAACCTCAAGCCTGGCATTGACGAGCGCGGCCCCGAGGTCATCTCCCCCGCAGTCGCCATCTTCTTGACATCGATTCTCGAATACATGGGCGAACAGGCTTTGGTCGTCGCAGGCCAAGCCGCATATCACCGTCTACGCGCGAAGTTCGAAAAGGAGCCCAAGGACGGCGCGAGGAGCGTTGCCGACATCGCCGACAGAATCGTGGTCGAGGAGCTGGACATGGAACGGGTCGCTCTTGACAGGACTCTGGGCAGACTCTGGCGGGCGTGGAAGAAGAGGCTTCGTTCTCCCAACCTGGACGCGCGCCCCTTTTCGCGCACCTCGTCCATTCGCCACAAACAGAGCAACACTCCCGAGAGCCGCGAGAGCCACGAGAGCCCGCTCCCTGCGCAGGGCCTTGGCATCCAAGAAGCACCGCGGGAGGAGCCCGAGGTTGACCAAGTCGGGAACCCCATCGAAGCATCGGCCATCCCGCTACCGATTGGGGATCGCGATATTGACGAGATTGAAGTGCCGGGTCTTGCCTCATACAGCGACGAGGGGAGTCGGATCGTGAGGAAGAGGAGCCGGTAGCACAACGGCCGAAGAGTCTGATGATCTTCACCTCCCAGCCTGGCGATGACATACCTACACCCACAATGTCTCAACCTCATACTCCAACCGCTACCTGCGGCCGCAAGCGCTCCAATTCCTTGCCCACTCCTTCGCCTTCGCCCTACACTTCGCCAATTCTCAAACGCGCCAAGATTGACGCGATCCAGACGAAGCTGCCCGATCAACAGGCTGGTTCTGACGAGAAAGAAATTGCGACGGAGGCAATCCCTACGGAGCCGCAATCGTCCGACAAGCCGCAATCCTCGCCTGGCGTACTCGAGCCCGTGCAGGAGTCAGTCGAGGTGGAATCTTGGGCAGAGACTGAGAGGGCTCCGGAACCCAAGCCTCGCAATCCAAATCGGCTCTCGCAGATCGGTATCTCTGCTGCGGCGGTGGGTGCGGCAGCTGTGGCTGGTATTGCATCCGTTGCGACAGTAGCATTGGGATCTAAGCCCAAGCCAGTCGAGGAAGAGAGCGGCGACATTGATGACTTCACTGAGGAACCCGAGATTTGCACTTCCTCCAGGGTCTCGATTGCTGGTCGCAGCTCGCCGAGCTTTTCGGAATCCGGAAAGGCTGTCGTGGTTGCCCCCAAGCTACTCCAGCGAACGCCCAGTGTCCACTCGGCCCGCGTTGTTGACGTCCATGGGCCTAAGAGTCCTGTGACTGGATCAAGGACATCGTCGGTGGATGCGTCCGATCGTTCCCAGCCAGTCAACCTCTCTCGCGCGAGCAGCGTTTCCCGCACAACACCCCCGATTATTGAAGAGACGCAGAAACCGAAGCCAGCTGAGATTGACATCATCATTCGCTCATCCTCTTCCACTCCTCGTACCCGGTCACCGGTTGAGAAATCGTCTCGTAGACAAAACACAAACGAGTCAATCTCGGAAGTCGACGAAGATGCTGAGGTACGGCCTACTCGCCAGGACAAGGCGAGGACGGCGGCGGCTGCGTCATCCCCAACTCCCAATAGCAGATTTTCTCAGGCGCCATCCAGCTCTGCCCGGCAGTTAGGGTCCCCTCGCCATGATCACACTTCATCAGTGACCAAGGTAACCATCCTGAGCGACACTCATCCCAACGGTCACACTGTCGAAGACCGTCTGTCCTCGCCACGCAACCGGCCTCAGGTCACCCCGAGCGTGCCTGAACGCAACACAGGTCGGCAAGCACACGGGACCCATTCGCCGGCCGCAAGCATTGGGGTGGTGACAGTCGAGCGGCCTGCCGCAGGTCAAGATTCCCCCGACCGCACTCGACATCTTCGGACATCTGGCTCCTCTGGCTCTTCGAGCACTGGCAAAATCAGGGCCGTTAGAAATTCAGAGGATAGCAAGGCCTCCGGTCGCGCCGACAACCTTCCTCGGAACTTTGAGGAACTCATCCAGAGTGATCAGACCATCCAGTACACGCTCACTCCCGAGAACATGCGTGACCTTGATGTAAGCCATGGCCAACATCGTTCTGCCCATTCACCGCTAACAAACATCCAGGGAAACCGAGCGCAGAGCGCGAGTCCTGCAGCACATAAATCGAGAAAGAGTGAGGATGCTCGCACCGTCATGAATGGTGACCGAAATAGACCTGTCTCCAGCATGGACATTAGAAGGACCGTGTCTGTCAGTCGCGCAACAGGATTGAGCTCGCATCCGCCTGAGGCCAAGCCCAAGGGTTTCGTCCCGAGAGCACCTCCCAGCACCACTTTAACCCGATCAAAAATTGGTGGTCCACAGGCGCGAGACGCCCGTGTACCTCGTGACACTGCTCTAAACGATTTTGCCGATTTCATTAGGTCGACTGGACCGACAGCTGACAACGGCCCCGCACCGCTACGCAACGTGAGCGGCTCCATGCCTCCGGCGAGGAGCAATTTGGATTCGAAACGTGTATCGTCCTCGAATCGGCCCCGTCTTCAGGCGCGGGATGCTGCCGTTGACAATCGCGAGGACAATTCTGACCTAATCGACTTCATACGGCGAGGGCCGCCAAACGCGAGCAATCCTCGGATTCCTCGTACAGTCGCCCCTTTCCGAACCACCATGGATTCTGATCAGATGTCAACTGCTGTTGGCGGCAAGGCCGTTGATGCCAGTTTGCCTGATATTCGATACAGCCAAGCGTCGACCAACGTTACAGACATCACTCAGCCTTCTGTTCAGTCATCGATCAACTCGCAGAGTGCCCTCCTGCAGAATCGCTCCAACAGCAATGCCATTGATGAGGACGACATTATGCCTAAGCGCACCAGACGTCGCGTGCGCGACCCGTACGCCATCGACTTGAGTGATGAAGACGAGGAGGAGTATGCGCAAGCGGTTCGACCTGCTCCCAAGAAGGAGGAGAGCCTGGCGGATTTCTTGAAGAACTATACACCGCCCCCCGAGCCGGCCCCCGTTCCGCAGAACGTGCCGAAGAGAAAGGCGAGCGCTCCCAGTCTCATTGGGCGGTTTTCTAGGAGGGAGAGCAATATGGGATCCAACAGCGCAAAGCCGGCCAAGGTCGAAAGTCGCTCTTTGAATAGTCGTACTGGAGGCCATGGTCACGTTCCTATCCAGGTCAACGCGTCTTTGGGTGAAGACAAGCACACGGCCATTGACAATACTGCGAACCGTTCGGCCATGCATTCCTCGGCCGGGCGCGTGCCAATGAAAAAGTTCGAACCAAGAGACGCTGTCTCGTCCACGACCAGAACCAACGACCTTGCTTCATTCCTTCGTAGCTCCGAGCCGCCGCAACTGACGCCCGCGCCGCGCTCCAGCCCACCAGCTGAACCGCAACAGAGCAGCAGTAGCGGATTCTCCAAGATGTTTGGCCGCCGGAAGAAGTCGAGCTTGGCTTAGTTGCCTAAGCCGCGCCGGCGCGGAGCCACGACATGAATGAAGCTTACGATTTCTCAATCGCCTACGACCAAGTCATGTAACCTCTCAACCCCGTCTCTCACGCCGTCATTGGAAAGAAAATCTATCGCCACCTTGCCATTTTGCATCAAGGAGGACTAACTCGGCAAAAGCCGAGCTGATCAAGCTTTGTTTGGTTTCAACTTCTGTATTTACATGTTTGTTTTGCACCGATGCTTTGATACCACCCTTCCCGACAAGACGGGACAGGATCGATGTTTCATTTCTTGAGCGGCCTTGGCAAAGGACCTTGCATGCCTCTGGCATCTTCATTTTTTCTTTGGATAATAGGATGATCAAAAGGTGGAACATTCCCAGAGACTATGCTCTTGACGCTTCGGACAGACTAGCTTGTCTGGATTAGGAAGCATTTTTAGATACGCAAAAGCGGTCAATATCAATTTGCTCATCTCGCTTCCACTTATTGTGATTCCTCATGTAATTGAAGTACGGGGGTTTGCAACTTCATGCCTTCGAGGTGAGAACAGCCGGAGCCTCCTGTGGTGATGCATAGTCGCTGACTGTCGATAGAACATACACGAGCACGGACGCCTTTGGGTGTATCTTCAGGAGTCTTCGGAGTTGGAGGCACACATGGGGGTTGTCATTGCATGAAGCTGGGCTGCAAACCAACACAAGCGGCCTCTATCGGCGACCTGCAGCACAAGGCGACCAATAGATAGTAGCCTGGTGTAAGGGCCCCAGCTGCCACGCCGGTTCTGTTTTTTCCCCGCAGGGACATCGCATCGCGCCTCGAGGCCTTACTTCTTCAACTCTGGGCAGATGACCAAAATCATGCGGCTGCTTCACACCGCGCGTCTCGAAATTGTCTACTTCGCAGCCGACATCCCTCCGTATGCCATCCTTTCGCACACATGGGAAGATGAGGAGGTCACTTTTCAAGACGTCCAGTCGAGCGAAACAGCAAAGCAGATGAGAGGCTACGCCAAGCTACAGAAAATCTGTTCTGTTGCTTCTAGCCATGGTTTCGAATACATATGGGTCGATAGCTGTTGTATCGACAAGACTAGCAGCGCCGAGCTCTCAGAGGCTATCAACTCCATGTTCCGATGGTACCGAGAGGCACATATATGTTATGCGTACTTGAGCGACGTGTCGTCAATGAGCTTTTCCTTACAGTCCACGGAGACACAGGGTGGGTGCAACACCGCTGAAGACATCAGATCCAGTCGCTGGTTTACTCGTGGCTGGACACTACAGGAGCTCATTGCCCCAAAAATGGTTCACTTCTACAATCAGAACTGGTCATTCATCGGGACGCGGAACGAATCAGCACAGGTTCTCGCCATGATCACTTCAATACCGGACAGTATTTTGATTGGCGGTGAGCTATCACGGGCTCCCATAAACCAGCGGATGCACTGGGTAGCTTCTCGTCAGACAACACGCCCAGAGGATATCGCATACTGCCTGCTGGGAATATTTGACGTTCACATGCCCCTACTCTACGGCGAGGGCAGGCAGAAGGCCTTTCGGCGACTTCAGGAGGAGATCATCAGGACGTCGGACGACTTGTCGATATACTTGTGGAGAATGCCTGAAGCGATTGCGAAAGCTCGCGATCAAGCATTCTGGGACGTTCTGGCAGAGGATCCTTTGTGGTTCTCGGACTCCGTTTCTAATTTCCGGGAGAGTACGAGCGTGACACAGTTGCAAGACTCTTCCGTCAACATCACCAACAAGGGTGTTGCGGTGAAGTGGCATATAGTGCCTCTTCCTTACGATGACTCCGACACGGTCTTTCTGGCTTTGCTTACGGAATGCGGGGAGTCAGTGACAGCATCCTAATCCAACGGCGCAACCACGAGGGCTCGGAGTTCTCTCGCATTGTCCCCCATCTGGTGGTGTCCATTGAGAAACGAGGCGAAGATATTCGGCTCACTCCCTCGTACGCCGAGGCTAGGGTGGACATGTCCCTCGGAGATGTCCAGACTGGCCAGCTGCGTTCGTTCTATCTGATGAGGAACACCGCCTCTCAGCATTTGGACTGGCAGTTTGGTGTTATGGGGTTCTGCTTCGTGGACTCCGATTCGATGCTTCTCCACTCGTCGGATTTCGCACTGGATGTCATGTCTTCCCGTGTGTGGTGTGCACGTATCCCCGCCGGTTGGAAGCGACCGTGGCATCCTGCAGGAAAGCGCGATCTGGCTGTTTCGGGAACGGGGAACATCATCAGAATCCTTGGGGCTCTGAGCCTCAATTTGAGGGTAACTAACCAAGGAGGGCTCGCGGCGTCAACACGCAGCATCGAGATCTACACCATCGTCTGCGGGTTCGAGCTTCAGCCACAAACTGTCTTTCAAACGCCGGTGACGTGCCATAGGCCATTTGCGTACTTCTACGTGGAGGGACCGGAAAAGGCGATGAAGGCCGCAAGAACGCACGGCGGGTCAAATGGCAAGTTCTGGTCCATGGTTCCGGGTGTTGAGGGGGTTACACTGAGACTCGAGAAGACGGCCCGGGTGACGGGTCTCTGGTACGACATCGTTGTCGACGGCGTGGTGCCGCATGGCGAGCAAAGGACGTCATGAGACGGGCGGCAAGATCTCGACAAGTCTGGCAAGCGGACAAGTTGTTGTATTCGCGGCGGTTCTTCCGAAACGACTCGTTCTCGGCATGCTTCTCGACGAAACCGCTCGCAGTCTCGTAGCCTTCGAGCACATCGTCCCCGAGACCTTGCCAGCATCGACAAAACGAGGCATGGGAAACCGGAAAAAAAGAGAAAGCGCCGACCCGCGTCTCTCGCTCGCGTAGGAAAGAGGGTTGGGCGATGTCCTGGGCAGATATAGAGCGTTATGGACGGGAACCAAGCGTCCGTTGCTTCGGGCATCCACCAACTTGCACACGGAGGCCAGGAAGGGGGAACCGGACAGGCGCGACGGGGTGCGCGGACAGCAAACCCATCTTGAACCCTGCCAGCACCTGCATCAGGCGCTCTCCAGCCGACGGCGGCGCTGGCGTGCCCCTTTTGGGACACGTCAACAACGGCGGGAGAACGGGCAGAGTACCCGACACATACACGCTGCGATGACTTCCCGTCTGCGAGTAACAGACCGTTTTAGAGACGTCTGACAGATCTCGACACCAGTGCCGACAGGGATCCTTCCAATGCAAGGTTGGAGATCAGCGACATCAGGAACCCCTGTGTCCACGAGAAGTGGTCTCTTCCCCCTTCTCTCGTCTCAAAATGGAGGACAAGGACTCACAGGAAGCCCCAGGGCCGAAGCTGCGGCTGTGAGCAAGGAGTTGATTGAGAGCTCGTTCCACGCGCTGTTTGATGTGTAACTGCTCTCTTCTTGACTTCGTTCTGCTCGAGTGAACTATTTCGGTGCTCTGTGCCTCTCGCTTTCGTTGACATTCAGACACTCATCAGGAGAACAGCCACGTTGTGTACGGACAGGAGCCTCCAAGGAGCGCCGAATCCGAGTCTTGGCTCGGTAGAACGAGACTATCGCTCGAGTCTAGGCATAGGAACAGCAGTCGGTTGTTTGTTTTCGTATGATCACGGCAAATAGGAATGTATATAGTCGGTGCTCGATTGACGGAGTGTGACACCAGCCAATGCATCGGTGCTTCGAGGTCTGTATAAATCACCCATGCTACTTGAATTCGAGTACAGTCAACCAAGTCATAAATAGCAAAGTCATGTTGCAAGGGGCACGGGAGGTGTCCATGAAGGTAGCATTAGTCTATGTGTCTCTTAATCTAGTAAGAGACGGTGCCAGCTGTGCGATCATGAAGCATGGAGAAGTCATTGCAACTCATTCCGTAGAAAACCTTGTCGTCTGTCGTGACAGCGACAGAAACCGTGACCTCAACACCAAATAGAGAATCACCAAGCCGAACCAAGAACATCAGAGATGCGTGTCAAAGTATGCATCTACCAGCCATCGTTGCCAGCGTCCTGGGTCGAGCCGCCACCACCCGCACCCCAGGCATCGCCAGTGTCGGGCTCGTTGGAGGCAGCGTTGGATGGACCGAACTCGTCGACGTCCTCCTTGGGAGGGTTGGGGCAGCGGTAGGACTTGTGGCCCATCTCACCGCAGTTGTTGCACTTGATGCGGGAGACTGTTGACAAGCATATGTCAGTGAGACAAAACAAAGGTTGGACCACGTGTTACATACTATCAACAGGCTTGTCGCAGTCCTTGGAAAGGTGACCCTCTGCATCGCAGTTGCGGCACTTGATCTTGCGAGGCTCGGGGCACTCCTTGGAGATGTGGCCCTCATTACCGCAGTTGTGACAAGCACGACCACCACCGCCGCCACCCTGAGGGCAGTCACGGGAGAAATGGCCCACTGGCGATAATTAGTAGCTGGAAATGCGGAATCAGTACCGAGGCGGACTTACTCTCGTGGCACTTGTTGCACTCGACATCGTCGCCGGCCTTGCGGGGCTCGGAACACTCGGAGGCTTTGTGACCAGACTGACTGTGCAGTGGTCAGTGACAATGTATGAAGAGCGTGATGAGGACATGAGAGCTTACCCGCAGTTCTTGCAAGCGAACTTGTCGATACGGGGAGTGGGGCCTAGATAAGTCAGTCAAGGCCAGAGAGCTGAAGTGGAAGCGGGCAAACTTACAATCACGAACGCGATGGCCCTCCTCGCCGCAGTTGTAGCAGGTGATGGTGACGCGGACTTTCTCTGTGGCCTCCTGGGGGCAGGACTTGTGACCGTGACCAAGCTCGTTGCAGTTGGTGCACTTCTGCAAGAGGCGAGAGACAGGCTCTCCAGCATCCTCGAGGCGGACCATGTTCTCCTCGGGGGAGGCAGGCCAGGCGGCCTTCTCACGCTGGCGATCAGGCTGAGAGGAGAAGCGGTACTGGACAGTGTACTTCTTCTCCAAGTTGCCCTGAAGATCCATGTTGGTGTGGGTAGGGGCAAGGACACGCTCGGTGGCGATGAGATAGATATCCATCTCCTGGCTGCGGAAAGCCTTCTCAAGTTCGGCATAGGTCATGTCAGGGAAGTGCTTGAGATACTTCTGGATGGCATCCTTGGCCTCGACGCCATCACGATCCTGAACAGCCTCGTTGATCTCCTCCCAAGCCTTGTCAGCGTCGACGTCGGGGATCATGCTGCGATCGATCTTGCGAGGGGCCTTGCAGTCAACGGTCTCATGGCCTTGAAGAAATATTTCAGTCTAGATTCGCAACTTGTCACAGATGAATTGGAGCGGCTTACCTTCCTCGAGGCAGTTGCGGCAGATATCAGCAGGCTTCTGAGGGCAATCCTTGCGCATGTGACCCTCCTCGCCGCAGATGCGGCAAGTCATGGCAGGAGCCTCAGGGCAGTCGCGACGAGTATGGCCCTCCTTACCACAGGCGCGGCAGGTGCCATCGAAGGGCTTGAGAGGCTCGGAACAATCGGCCTTGTTGTGACTGAGCAGTATGTGTCAGTGACCCAGGCATCTCAGTAGTTCGGGGAACATTAAGAACATACCCAGATTGGCCGCAGTTGAAGCAGGCACGGTCATCACCATTGCCGTTGGCGTCGCCGCCCTTGGGGTGGTTCCAGGGGTCATCGGCGGGGATGTCATTGGTACCCCAATCGTCAGCCATCTTGTTGTCGCGGTGAGAAGTATGTAGGACTTAAGACGAGGTGCTGTCAAACGATTGACAGAGGTATACTGGACTGGTTCAAATGAATCAGCGATTGAAGTTGAGATCGTACGTGAAAGTAGAAGAAAGCACGGATGAGAGGGTAGAGGAAAGAAAGACCGCGAAGACAAAAAGAGAATCTGCGTCCCTGAGTGAGGCCTGGGTGCAGAAGAAAAAAAGAGAAAAAGGGGAAGGTGCAAATGTGTAATTGATCTGAGTGACAGCCGAGGAAAGAGCGCAGGTTCGAAATCGCAGTCAGTGTCAGGATTAATTGACGGGGAGGCCTCGATGAAGGATACTGTTTTTCTAACGCCGTCGGCGATGGGCAACTTTGAGATAGCTCAACAAATGCTGGCGCCATTTCTGAATTGCTGCGATTCAAGGCGACGGCTGAAGCAGCCGTCAGATTGAGTCTAGCGCTTTGAAGATACCGGATACTTGAATTCAATTAGGAGAACACAGAGGACTTGGAGATGGTGCAGTGAATCAATCTTGATTCAGATTTCGGTGATGAAGCATGTTATGATGGGGAAATAGTAGGTCTAGGGACCGGAGGGCATAGTGATTAGAATAGGAAACCATGACTTACAGCAATTTATGGTTACTATGTGACCTCGGCGGATTGTCTTGATGTGTGTAGATATGTTGTGCTGGGAATGCTGATGTCGCGGGTTGATTGTTCAGGAAGTAGACTTGCGATGGCTGTGAGATGATTTTGGGATTCAATGAACAGGGTTCTTATTTGAGAAAAGGAAAACCGGGTCTTGCTTATGTCGTCAAGAATACTGACCTCTTGGTCTTGTCATGAGGCTTTCTCGGAGTTGTTGATAACTGGATAGCTGCGAAATATCGACAAGGCCTTTATCGATGCAAGCCAGGCACGATCCTGAAAGAGAACAGGGCGTCACTTGCCTTGTAGGGAGTTTAGGAATGTGCAGGAATGTGAAGAAGCGAGAAGGTGTACTTCACGCTCCTTCACTTTTCGGAATCATAATTGAAATCTCTGTTGATTGCCTAGCTGAGAACCGTATTTCAGTGATCATATGAAAGCACGTGTCTTGGTTGCAGCCTCCCAGGACTTCACGTCCTAGTTATCTATCTATTATGATCTCAAGTTGTTGTCAAGCACGTACTGAAACCAGATGTACTGTGTGCTGATCTACTGAAAGTTCGTACTTGAGTTTCATAACATGAACTCCAGTTAAATATTAAGTTAGTGATGTCAAAGGGGAGTCGTGGCATTGAAGTAGGTCACAGTCACTAGATACCTCGCTCCAGGCCATGTTAATGATGGCTAGATAATTAGGATCTTCCAGAATACTGAATGTCCGAAAGGCAGCATCAAACTTACCAGACAAGGCAGTCGAGATTCCGGGTCATTATCATCATCAAGCAACAGGTGCATCCCAGGTTTTACAAGCGGTGTCTGGTGGTTTGTCCCGACTGATACACTGAGGGACTCGAGCGACATAAATGAGCAGTGCCGTGGAGTCTTCAGCTTGAGCAGGCCCCGAATCTAATTATATCCGGTAGCCCGGCAAGCGTTACATAACGACCAACCACAATCTTCCGCATAAAATCAATTCGACGACATTAAGCGGCAGTAGTGCTTGATGGATCAACAGCAAACAACGCCTTCTCGTCACCTTGATGGGAGATGTGTCGTTGGAGAATTAGTCAGCCAACCGCCAATTCGCGATCTCGGGGCAATCAGAGCAGCGAATGCGTGAAAGATCCCTGGAGGACCCGCATGACGGCAGGGGAAGTGGTTTGTAAGATTGTGTGTTAGGAGGGGCAGCTGGAGGGGTAATTTGGCGTATCGGTAGAGCACCTGCAGCATCGCTAAAGTCCCTGTGAGAGAGTGACATCAACACTTTTCCCCTTCCTTTGCCTTCGAGGAGTGCAGGATTGTTATTCTGCCCTGCTGAGGCCAACAATCACCGGTTAGAATGTCGGAGCACGATTTTGATGCAAAAGACCTGTTCAATTTTGTGTTTCTCCAATCTCGTCCGTACTCTCTCGTCTGGTGATAGCTCGGAATGGGGCTTTCCCGCCGGTCATAGCTCCTGGGTCTCAGGCAGCTTGAAACCACGTCAATTGCCTCTGTACTGGACCGGTACCCCGCCAACAAGACGTCGTGGGCCGGAGACGACTAGTTACATGGGCTCGTTGGCTTGCCAGTGACACCAGCCGCGGGTTATGGATCCAGATGGCGGGGTTGATACCGGCTGCCCCGCTTCCATGAGCTTGATCACTGGCCTGTTGACGAATGGCTCCTGCAGTAAGTGCGACAGGGAAAGGTACAATGGGGTGTCGACATGGGCCTGGAGCCTGAAAATCCAATGGAACTTCCTCTTTGAACACGGGCTGCTCCTCCTTACCATTGAGAGACTATAAGTAAGGTGTCTGCGGCCCTTTGCCTGACTTGCTACCTTTCGCACCCCTCCTCCACTCTGCTCTCCGACTTCGCACCACATTGTCTCCCAACCGCCAAATTGAACTTCTTCTAGACAAATCGCCAAAAAGAAGCCAACATGTCCAAGCCTGAGGATCTTCCCCCTATGGAGTACCGCTTCCTGGGCCGCTCTGGTCTCCAGGTTAGCGCCATCAGCCTGGGAGGCTGTGAGTTGCCTGGCTTTGCCAACGCCCATTGCTCCAGCGACTGACTGTTTTTCAGGGTTGACTTATGGAGGTCATGTCGACGCCGGTATGATGGGATTCGTCAACACGATTCGCCAATAGAGACTGACATCTAACACAGAGGGCACTTTCGCGTGCATGAAGGCTGCCTACGACTCCGGTGTCAACTTCTTCGATACCGCCGAAGGCTACGCCAACGGCGAGAGTGAGATTGGTACGAGCGGAAAATTCAATCCTACAAAATGGAGGTGAAAGCTGATCTCCACGCAGTCATGGGTGAGGCCATCAAGAAGTACGGCTGGAAGCGCAACGACCTCGTTATTTCCACCAAGGTAGGCGCGCTCCCCGAACGACTGTCGATTCCAAGATTCGAGACTAACACCTGATGGACGAGAACAGATCTACTGGGGTGGCGCTTTCGGCGACAACGTTGTCAACAACAAGGGCCTGTCCCGTAAGCACGTTATTGAGGCCATGGACGCCTGCCTTGAGCGTCTTGATCTCAAGTACGTGGACCTCGTCTACGCTCACCGGTAAGCCTTTCCACCCTTCACCGAGAAACGTGCGAAATGCGCTGACTCTCGGCAGCCCCGATCGTCAGACCCCCATGGAGGAGACCGTCCGCGCCTTCAACCACCTCATCAACACCGGCAAGGCCCTGTACTGGGGAACTTCGGAGTGGAGCGCCGACGAGATCGCCCAGGCCTGGCGCTACGCTGACAAGCTGAACCTCGTCGGCCCCGTCATGGAGCAGCCCTCTTACAGCATGCTGGACCGCAAGAAGGTTGAGCACGAGTTCTTCCACCTCTACCGCGAGGTCGGCACCGGCCTCACCGTCTTCTCCCCGCTGCGCCAGGGCATTCTCTCCGGAAAGTACAAGAACGGTATCCCCGAGGATTCGCGCTTCGGCTCGGAGAACATTGGCTTCATCAAGGACTTCTGGAAGCGCGAGAACGCCAAGAAGCAGTTCCAGGACCTCGTCGACAAGGCCAACAAGATTGAGCCTATTGCTGAGAAGCTCGGCATCAAGATGGCCACGCTGGCGCTCGCCTGGGTTCTGAAGAACAAGAACGTTAGCTCGGCCATCATTGGCGCGAGCAGCCCCGAGCAGGTTTTCGAGAACATCCGCGCCATCGGTGTGCAGGAGAAGTTGACGCCCGAGATTATGAAGGAGATTGACGAGGCTCTCGACAACAAACCCGATGCCATCATCCCCAGATTTTAAGGAGATCGAATAGAACACAATGTATGAGAACACGAAATAAGGCCCAACAGGGACATATGAGACTGAGGAGGGGGCAAAATGGAGGCTTGACGATGGACTCTTTTGAACAATCGACCTAGGCTGATTTGATGCATAGACGGTAGTTCGAAGTATACACTTGGCCGAGGCGGCGATACCATATATACCAAGCTGCCTAATGAAATTATTTCAAACTTTCCATGTCAAATCCTCTCCCAAGTGCCTTGCCATGTTGGGTCTATACCCCGGTTAAGTCTGTGGCCCTGGTTCTTCTATAACACACTCTCTTTGCGATATAACATAAATTGAGTGTCCCGAGCTAGAAATGTACGACTATACCCGACACACGATATCATTCTGATACAGAGTACGCTAGAGGAGGTAACCCCCAGCCCCTCAACCTACGCAGATTCGGACCCATCCTTGTTTACCTGCACTGCGAGCACCAAACATGCCTACGACGTCAAAACGGACTTTGTGCCGTAGGCGGCGAGTGTCATCATCCAATACACGGGGGGGAAACACCCTCAATGACAGTGGGTTCTCGGTATTGGACCGCGTCACCAGGCTGTTCACGGGGTCGATGACCATGTCACACTGTGCCATCACAACGACCGCGAACACCCGGCCCGCGAATTACGTGCGCACGAAGACACCCAAATCCATCCATAGAGAGTAAGCGTGCGGTTTTGCACGAGGAACCCCACACCGAGTCCCGCGAAAACGAGGCCCACGACGGCGGCGCCCTCATCCACCCCGACGGACGCCATGTCTTGGCCTGCGACTCTTGACTGGACGCCTCAAGCTCTTCATTCCGGCGACCTTTCAGATATAAGTCGTTCATGAATGATACGTTTCCATCAAATGGGCGATTGGTTTAGGGGTATAACGACCGCTTCGCATGCGGTAGGTCCTAGGTTCGAGTCCTAGATTGTCCATCCTTCACTTTTGCCCTGATTGTGATGTCTGTTGGACGGCGTGACTGGAATTCTAGTCACGCAACATCCACCAATCACCTTGGAAACCGAATGGGTCTCTTTTTTAGGATAGTCATGGCCGTTGGAGTCAGAGTTGCAATCACTGCCATGCACTTGAAGTGGATGGTAAGTACAGGAAGGCTGGACGATTTTAGGTGGAAGGGTAGCCGCGTCATTTTCTTAACTCAAAATTGCTGTTACATAAGATGAGAGTTTTAACTAACATTGAAGAGTATATGGAGAGAAAAGGAGCTACTTGGACCACCAGGGGCATGTATATATATGTATGTATGTATCACTGTGCCTCCGCGCACCGGCGACCTGGCTCTCAGCATCGTGGCTTTCTCTTTTGCCAAGTGGAATATCCAGGGGACATTGCAATAACACGTCTGCAGACGCGGGCATGCATCCTCAGGATATGTAAGAAACACAGGGCGGTCTATTGAGGTACGTTGCAATGCGAAGAGTTTTACAGCTAATTGCTATGGCGTTTTGTAGGAATGCCCGGAGAGACTATGGAGGCACTGAACTTTAGCCGCCAGAACCCCTTGCTTCTCCATCGCCAACCTGTGGGTACTTGAGGCATGTGTTTCCATGTTATACCTCGCTGCCATTGCGGTGCTTTGCGTCATTTCGAAGACTCTCATCTGAAAGCGTTATGTCTAGAGAAGAGCTTTTCTGCATCTCTTACGTTAAAACTGGCGTATGGCGCAATTTATTGTACACCTTTGTGGCCTGCTAATCATAAACGCGTTCGTAAACCTGCTTCCCACCAACCCACGTCTCCTTCACCTTCAGATCGCGAATGTCCTCAATGTCCATGGTCTCGAGCGGCTCGTCCAGCACAACCCAGTCTGCCAGAGCGCCCTCCTTGATGACGCCGGCTCGCCCCTCCATGAAGGCGCCAAAAGCCGGGCCCTTGGTGAACCCTAACAGGGCCTCGTCCAAACTCAGAGCCTCCTCCATGTGCCACCCCTCGGCGCTCCCGTTCACGCCGTAACCCGTGTGGGGGCTCTTCCGCGCAACAGCGGCGTAGATGCCCTGGAAAGGGTTGGGCGGCTCTACGGGGAAGTCGCTGCCGAGGATAGGGCCAATGTCGAGGAGCGAGCGCATGCGGTAGGCTTCCCTCTTGGTGCGCTCGGGACCCAGGCGCAGCTCGGCGTACTTCATGTCCGAAGTCGCGTGTGTTGGCTGAATGGAGGGGAGGATCCCGATGGCGTGGATCCTTCTCTGGTCGTCCTCGTGGATGATTTGCGAATGCTCGATGCGGAAGCGGCGGTTGGCCTGGCATTCGGCGAGATCTCCCTCGGGACAGGCATCTCGGAGACCAGCCTCCAGGGCGTCAACGGCATAGCGGTTTGCCAGGTCACCGATGGCGTGGATGTTGACCTGGTAGCCAACAGATGCCCAAGACCTGCCAAGTTGCTTCAAAGTCGAGCCGTTGACGAGAAGAGAGCCGGCAGTATCAGGGCGGTCGCTGTAGGGCTCGATCATGGCACTTCCCCAGCTACCAAGAGCGCCGTCTAAGATGAATCAGTATCGTTGAATGCATCACAATCGTACTGAGCAACTCACCCGCAAAGAGCTTCACGGACTTAACGCTAAACATGTCATCCTCCCTGAAGACACGCGCGGCGTCATCTGGGCAAAAGGTGTTGCGTTGGGCGCACTCCAGCATGGCGTAAACACGAACAGTCCAGTCATCCGTGTGTGCCATATCGGCGTATAGGTCGAGTTGATCCGGGAAAACGCCGGCGTCGTGCATGCCAACCAGGCCGACCTCATTGAGCTTCGCCATGGCGGCCGCAACAAACGCACGCTTCTTCTCGGGGCCAGGCTTCGGCCACAGGTTGTAGATCAAGTCCATGGCGTTGTCGCAGAAGACACCCATGCCCGGCTCGCGAACAATTTCACCGCCTGGAACATCGGGGATGTCTGCGGGAAGGAGGTCGAGTACCGCTTGTGAGACCCACGTACAGTGCACGTCAATCCGGTCGAGCATAAAGTACTTCCCCTTGAGGAGCTCATCTTCTTCAATGTCGGCCTTGTCGGGAATCAGAAGGGCCGCTCAATGGAGTGACGGGAGTTCACTTACGGCAGTAGGCATCCTGCCGTACACATTCTGATCCCAACCAATACCTCGAATCCATTCGTCTTTGGTGCCGGCATCGGGATGGCTGTCAACATAGTTCCTGAGGCGTCCTTTCACATCATCTAGAGTGGAAGCCCCAAACAAGTCGGCCGAGTAGAGAAACTCGCCGTACTGGATCAGATGACCGTGGCCGTCCCACAAGCCGGGGATGATGTAGCCAGCCTTGGTGGTCAACTTGGCGTCGTCCCACGGGAAAACACGAGTGAATTTCCCACCCGACACAGTGAAGCACTGAGCCAAAGGCTGATCCTCATCGTGCGTCCGGATGCCCTGGTAGCAGTACGTTTGGGCATCAGAGACGTCGCCCGTGAGAGGCTGTTGGAGGCGAACGACTGCCAGGGCGACCACGGCCACGGCGGCCGAGAGACCCACGCCCCACCTCACGATTGGAGTTGCGGACATGATGCTGGAGTTCTAGTCGGACATTAAGTCGGCTAGCGTCATCAGTTGAGTCACAAGGGCTTGCGCGATGATGGGCGCAGGTCTCGAAATTCGGTGTGGAAGATCGATATCCTTATCGCCATTATTTGATAAGATATCCAATCTTATCTTTTGTTCCGCGTCCCGAGTGCAGGGGTCATGGTTTCTGCGGTATCTATTCCGGGGAACATGCGCCATCGTCTACTCCTGCTTCGTCAGGCCTTCAACGACATCTTATACCCTTTCTTCACTTTAGAGGAATGCACAATTCATCACTCAAACGCATGAACTAAAAGAGAGGGGGTCCAACGTCCTGGAGACACCCGTCCCGGGCGGTCACAGAATCCACTATAACAGCACGGGTTTTCTTGGTTGTCAAAGAAATCTGGCAAGTCCAGTATAATCCACATGTTTTAGATACAGTGTGTTTGCCGCTCCGACTCGCGCTTGTCACAGCGCGGTGCTTCGTATACCTACCTCGGTCGCAAGAAATGAACAGTTCGGTCCCTAGGTAGTTGAGCATAAATTGGGTACGCACAATGTGGGGTTTATGTAATGTTTGTGTATAGCAACTGATCGTGCAAATTATGTACTATGTATCCTAGCTTATATGATAGACACATATACTATATAAACAATCATGTACTTCACGTAAGTCGCGATGTTGTTTTTGTTTTAAGCATAACGCCCATCCCCCCGCCTTGTGCTTTCTCACTGACGTAAAGTACAATCCTCCATTTCGAATAGAAAAACAGGCGGCGCAGACTCCGAGGGTGAGGCTTACTTTACTATAAGAGGGGACACAGTATCTATGAGCATGTTGGACAGGCACTCTCCTTGTTGCCGCCACTGGTCGTCGCCGCCGCCCGCCCATCAACAAACCCGGCAAAGTCGCCGGCAACCGATGCGAGCGGATCGAGATTGCCGTGCGCTAGCTATGTACGCAGCTGGTCCCACAACTCTTGCGGCAGCATCGCATCATCCCGCACGTCTCGCATATTCCCCGGCTTCATTACCGCGCCTTGCTATATCACAACAAATGCGCCGCTCTCCCTCTCTACTCCACTCCGGCTAATACCGTTTTCGTTTTGTGTTTCGTTTGACAGGAAATGGCTGCTGAGGGCGATAGGTTTATAGCCTCCCAGCCTCGGTCAGGCACCATTTCGGAGCTTCGTGGTTTCCCATTTCAGAGGTCTGAAACACTCTGCGAAACCATGCGAGCTCAAACAGCCGTACACTCTAAATAATACGAACACTGTCCGCCAATGGTGTGGTCATGCAGCGAATCTTTGTGCCAGATCCTTGACCCGTGCTCTCGCGGCGGGTTATATTTGCTTTGGTTCCATCTCCATGAATGCCTTTTGAACTTGGTGCACTAGGAGCCTGTCAATTTGCATCGTCGCGGAAGCATCAACACTCGCAACCGTCTCGCATATTCCAGCACTCATACTGGCTCTTCTGTGGTCTGGTCCGGAAACCAGACACTCATGAGTTGGATATCATCGTTGTTGATTTCCTTTCCATTCGCGTCTTTTTCTTCTTGACGTTTCTTCTTCAACACCGTCACCATGGCGATCCCCAGTACGGGCATGGTTCTGCTCGTGGTGGGCGGAATCCTGATGTTTCTCAACACCTTCTTCGTCGCTCTCCGTCTCTATACTCGGATCGTCGTCGTGAGATCCGTTCGAATCAGCGATGCGCTGCTTGTGCTTGCATTGGTCCGTATATCATTTCCTTCTGTTCCCATTTATCTAACCCAATCTTCATAGGGCGCTTTTGGAGCCCTCTACGGTCTCCTTGTTATAGGAGTCAAGGGCGGCATTGGCGGCAGCATTCTCCAAGCCGGCCTTGCTGGCATCGCAGTCTCTCTCAAAGTCATCTTCTTCCTGGAGATCATCTACGTAGTCCTCACCTCCGCCATGAAAGCGAGTATCGCTCTTACGTTTATCCGTCTCTCACGCTCGAAGTTCCTGAATATTCTTTTCTGGGCTTCCATCGGCTTGGACGTACTCATCAGCGCTGCCTTTATCATCTATTTGCTTGTCCAATGCAAACCGATCGATTATGCATGGAGGATGCTGGAGGCAAATGCCAAGGGCGAGTGCCTACCGCTTACAGGACAGCTGTACATGGGCTACGCATTGTCCATTGTAACGGCGACTCTGGATGCGCTGCTGATGATCTCGCCCTGGTTCATGATGCGAGGGCGAGGTCTGCACCCGAGACTGAAGCTTTGCATTTACGGCCTCTTTGGGTTGGGAATACTGTAAGTCGTTGCCCAAGGCTGCCATTCTTCCCCCGCTAATCGGACGTTCAGTGCAACCATTGCCAACATCATCCGTCTCGTGGCGCTCGTCAAACTCAAGGGCTCCAGTGATCAGCTCGGTAGGTGGTTTTCTGCCCATCCCTTCGGATATGAACTAACAAAGATTACAGCCGACGCAGCCCCTGTCTTTAACTGGTCTGCCATCGAGGTCAGCATTGGTATCATTATCGCTGGACTGATTGAACTCGGCCCGCTTGCCGCCAAGTTCGGAATCGGGGGCTTCGAAAACTATGCTAGCGATGACGATAGATACCCGTTGACGAAGAATACCCACGAATCAAACTTCCAGGAGTACGAGATGGATTCGAGAAAGGTATGAATCTGATAGAGCCGTGGGGCATAAAAGGTTATGAGACACAAGAAAAGGGCCGGTAACGGGAAGTATTTGGGTATTGTTCTCTGGTAGGACACCCCTTGATGGCTATGTTTAGTCGCAAAAACATAGGTGCGGTGAGGGCGGCCTCCCGGTGTACATGCCTCCTTAAAGTTAGCATATATCTCAAGGTATGAAGAACAAAGACATTCCTCTTCCGTCGCAGACTATGAACAATAGACGGCAGATGACCCAGCATCTCTCCGTTTATAGGACCAAGCATTATGAGAAGATGTCCATCGGTGTGTCTTGTCCATGTTCCCGTCGCACTAAGAAACACTGGAAAAAAAAAACGCCCCAAGTGGCTGCAGTGCGATGTCTTTGGAAATCGAACGAAGTTTTATGAGTAAGTGACTACACAGTGTACTGTCGACAGCACAGCCGAGGCCTCCAGAGTGACGCATGGACCGTTCGGAAATGCAGCCGGGGCGGTCGCGACACGTTCGACGCCAGCCAGCTGTTACAACAGCTGCAGGTGAGTATGCACGGTGTCTTTGGAGACAAATGAATTGCCACAGTGAACTGTGGCAATGGGGATACGTGTGATCTAATTGTCAGGGAGACAATGTCTAGCCATCGCGAGGGACGACCCTTGATGAAAACCAACACATGGCGAATGTGACAGTCTAGCTTATATTTACTACAGACGCGGCCAATGACCAAGCCGGGCAGGGCCTAGCGAATACGTTGTTTAATTGAACATCAAGCGAGAGAACCCTACAAGCAGCTCTTCAGGTTCTGCAAAGCTTCTTAACTGAATCGTAAGCATTCACATCATGCTTCGAAAGCATACATTTATATGGCGTGCTGCCATACTCTAATCGTGCGCTTCTGGACAATGCGTGCATCATAAGCCAGATGGGTCTCACTCAGGTACCCAGTCTTCGCAAAAGCTCACTTCAGTCTTATGGTGACTGCAGCTCATATCAGCCGCGAAAAGATAGGGGAAGCAGTATATATAGGGATTTGCTAAACATGGTTATCACGAGACTCGACCCACCTTCAGCCGCATCCTTCGAGACAACATCCATCTGGAGACCGGCTTCTTGTTGTCGCACGACATGCTCTGGGCAACAGTTGAAGACCGTCAGCATGACTCGCTGCCCGCTTTACCCCTCCCTCCATAAACCAAACCTATCCGTTCCCTCGACAGACCTAGCTTCTCGCCCTTCCGCCAGACTAACCTGCTGCTGTCATAATGCTCATGACCAGGGAGCAGCTGGGGCGTCTCAGCGAAACGGATGTCCGCGATGCCATCCCCGCCGATACGTTGTTGTCGGCGCTAGCTTCGTCACCCTTCATTCCTTCCGCTTCGCTCGTCAATATCCGCGATCTGGGATCCGTCACCGGCTCTGCCATACGCCCGGGAGCCATCTACCGGTGCGGCACCCTGGAGGCGGCCGCCAAGGACCCGGACGCACTCGAATGGCTGGCCACCAAGGTCAAACACATCTTTGACATACGGTCCCCTAGAGAGCGTGAACGCCATCCGGACCCCGAGGTCAGAGGGGTCACGAACACGTGGTTCAACAGCACAGTTCTCGATGGCCAACCCGTCCTGGAAGAGTTTGTTGAGGCTGATGGCGCACCTGGACTCCGTAAAGAGTACCTCAAGATCCTCGACATATACCAACCCACCTTTCGGGTCATACTGGAGCACGTACGCGACAGGCCTGGCGAACCTTTTCTCTTTCACTGCACAGGTAGGCAGTAACGGGCCAGCAATGCGCTCGTTGCCTGAACTGTAAAATATGGGGGTCAGTACCGCTGACGCCGTCGTAGCCGGGCGAGATCGCACAGGCGTGATGGCTGGCTCCTGCAGTCTCTTGCCGGGGCGAACCCGGAGGACGTTCGCTTCGACTACATGCTCTCGCGCATCGGCACCGAACCCGCAAGGGAGAAGTTGCTCAGCTACGCTCGCATCGGTACCGGCGTCACTTTTGACCATCCGGGTTTCTACAACATGTGTAGCCTGCGGACATCATGCTGGGATGCCTTTGTCGCGGGCGTGCAAGAGGAGCACGGCGGTTGGGATGGCTACGCGATGAAGACCCTGGGGTTCTCGAGCGATGACCTTGCGAGAATCAAGGCAAACCTACGAGGAAGCAAGGCGTTGTGATGGCATGCCGCTAGTGGGTGAGCCATCATCACATGGAGGACTCGCAGGCAACATTTATATCGTTTCAAGCCCCCTTTGGAAAGGATACGCACGCAAGTAACGTTTGGGAAATGTCTGGGGCCGGGTCATGGTTGGCGCCCATCGCTTCTACGGTTATCCTTAAACACAGATTGAACGGCCTCTCTTGTGGACCTGTACAGTTCGTTAATCTTTATATAATAGCTTAATCCGGTGCCTCGCCTTGGACCTCTGCGAGAAAGAGTCCTGAGGATCACAGCGATAGCCCTCGTATGTTCGCCCTCCTCTTCCCGCGAGATGCGATTGCATTACCTTCAGGCCATCTCCTGCCCCGCCTTCTATTAGGCGTGGATATTCATTCGGTGACTCTGAACCTTTGAACTTCAAGCTGCCATCTATTGAACTCGAATCGGGAAGCTAACGAGGCATAGGCCCCAGACTCACCTGCTTTTCACACACCCTCGTGCCAGCTTTCAGTCGGCTACGAAGCATCGCCATAATGCGATTGCTTAGCCTGGCCTCGCTGGCCATCGTCCTAAGCTTGCTCACGCTAGGAGCTCAAGCTGGCAAAAAGAAATTACCCAACGCGTGGTTAGTCCACAGGGTTTCAATGTGGGGGTGGACAAGGTGGCCCAAGAATGAGACGAGGTCGCTGCAACTCTATACGCTTCCCACATGCATCCAGCGCTGTATCACTCCCGAAAACGCCATCATCGAAATCCACGGTCAAAAGGCGGACGTTCGCACCGTTAATCGGCGCCTGTTCTGCGACCCGAGACTCAATCTCATGAACGTGTACTTCATCCACACAATCGGGCCGTGCACCTTTGAGAGCTGTAGATATGAGCATGCGTTGGAGGCACTGCGTGGACACTATTACAAATGGCTCAGGGTGCTCTGCACGCCTCCCAATCTCCCCCCTTTTCCTAAGGGTGTGCCAAAGAGCATGATTGATCCTACCAGCAATTATACCGAAGGTTTTGTCGAGGGGGATATGGACGGAGATGCCGAATGGGATGTGGACGAAGAGGCCGAAGAGAATGCCGACGAATTCGACACCACTGACGGCTCCGAGGCGACCAATAACGCTACTACCAACGTCTAAGGGCGAAGGAGAGGAGCGCATTCCATGCTAACAAGCATCATGAACTGAGTTTCTGGAGAATGAGTCGGAGAGTGGTACCGAAAGGGAACATTGACATTGCGGATATCGTCTTCCGTGTATGACGGAAATAGAAACAGACAGAGAGCCAACCAAACGCCGTAAAAGTTTGTCGTATTCACGACAAAGGCCGAACAGCGATGTCATTCCCCCTCAGTGATTGTTCGCTCCGTCTCTGTTGCGACCCGATACACCCTGCGATCCTTACCGTGATGTACGTCCCAAAGAGGTGTCGAACCCGCAAAACTGACGTCGAGTCTCTTGTTCGCCAGCGCCCTACTCGGCAGATCCAACGCCCATCCTGCCCCTCACACCGTCAACGCGCGCCGTCTCTCCGATCACGCACGCAAAGAGGAAGGTCGAGGCCATCTGTGTCAGTCAAAATAAACAGGAAACCGTTTTGGCCAGGCTTATCCGTACGACAGACCAACCTCCGAACCGTTGCGCCATGACATCATATCTACTTCAGCCACACATCTATCCGTGCCACAACGCTAATTGGCGGGATCCTACCATTCCTTTCTCCAGCGCCAGTGTTGCCTAATACCTGATCTGAGCCAAATTGGGGTACGCGAGAGACAAGGGTGTGAGGCTGGAGCCAATGGGAACCCTTCTTGATTCCGCAACTTATACGTCACCAGCCACAGGACCCTTAAACTTGTTTTTCTGGAGCGAGGCCTAACGCACGTTTGGCTTGTCTCGATCGACTCCAACTGACGCCCACTCACCTTGGCCTCACTCACCCCCGGCCTAAAGGGCATCACAAACGTGTTGCTCACCACATGCCCTGCCTTCTTTTGCCTATCAGTCTGGTCTGGCCAGCCTTGGCTCCACACCAAAGGGTCAGCGCGCGGCCTCTCATACGTAACAATGTCTGACTCTCCTAGCCATACCCATGCTGGCCATATCGAAAGTAGAGTAGGATTCCCATTATCAGCATGCAAGGGACGTCACCTCTCTCCCCTCAATCAGGGTCCCAGCCCCCGTCTAGCTTCTGTTAGAGTTTGTCTTCTCACTCCATCGTCAGAGGAGAAAGGGGCCCAAAGATGGACTGAGACACCGGTTTTGGACCCTTCGCGCATAGTTCGTGCCATACAGACACCAGGTGACCACGCCTGTTTGTGTCTGAATAGTTGATTCGCAATTTCGTAGCCTGACCCTGCCCCTCCCGTATCGAGAGGCCACCAAACGTAGATCCCCTGGACCCTGACATCATCCCTCTGGACCCTGATCCCGCAGACCACCACCTACATCGCCCACCCCTGCTTTCTGAAGTTCCTCTGATGATGCCATCCAACACACCCTCTTCACTACAATCACACGCCTGACCCTCAAACCAACATATCAAAAGTTGATCTGGCAAGAAAACATATAAACCACCCTCCGTTCCCACCTACCATTCCATCTTACTTCTTCATCACAAGCATCAAGCTACTCAAACAACCCAACCAACCCAACCAACCAAGCAAACACACACTCTCAAGACTTCAAGTCTACCAAAGCATTAACAACAACCAAACACAACACAACCAACCCCCCAAAACAACCATCATGCCTCTCAGATCCACCCGCCACACCACCACCACCACCGCCCCCCGCCGCACCGGCCTCTTCTCCCGCCGCAACCACACAACCACCCGCACCACGCACACCACCGCCCGCCCCGCCAAGCGCGGGCTCTTTTCTCGCCGCCGCGGCCCCGTCCACACCACCCACGCGGCCCCCGTCCACCACCAGCGCCGCAAGCCCTCCATGGGTGACAAGATCTCGGGCGCCATGCTCAAGCTCAAGGGCACCCTGACCCGCCGCCCCGGACAGAAGGCCGCCGGCACCCGCCGCATGCACGGCACTGACGGCCGTGGCTCCCACCGCGCCCACCGCTACTAGATGTTAGGCGGTCGATAATGATACCCAACGGGCCGGGCTTTGTCGTTTACGATAGCCGGCTACAGCGCAGTGTTTTTTTGTTAAACGGAGGATGATGATGTAATTCGATATACCTACTGCTGTACTATTACTGTTTCGAGGAAGCGAGCTGGTTTGGAAGATACCATGTCTATGTTACGATACGAAATGAAAGCACTCTGCAATTTACTCACGCACACTGTCAGCATGTGGCATTATGAAGAAACTTGAATGTCTCTGCATAGAAGTGAATATTGTTGCGTGTATACTGCATGTCTACTACTGTTGCCATAAAAGCGATCCTTTGAATCCGGGGCATTGCGCACAATCCCCTCGAAATCCAGTCCACGCTAATCAGCCGTTCGTATCATCCACCAGCGAACCACTTGTATGCAACCATGAAATATGAAAAGTACCAATCTCGAAAGGGTTATGGGGCGTTGTAAACCCACCCGTTGCTTGCGCTCGAGAAGAGATACTCTGAATGAGAGAAGAGACTTGTACCGTAAACTGAAAACAAACGTAACCATCGGCTCACGAACCGATCCTCTGATATGTGCAGCAACCATGTGCCTGTGTCAAGGTGCAGCAGGACTTGTATTAAGGGTTGTGCGTTCGCAAAGAGCCGTGTTGAAGACGGCAAGCCTCCGGTTGTTTCTTAATGATTCTTAATGAACAGAGGAAAAGGGGCGCGATGTGCTGCGCTAGGGCGTTGGGATTGCCTGTAATCTTTCTGCCTGACGTTAGTACTCCAGATAATACCGAGAGAGAAGGCAACCACTTACACATTTTGGTGATGGCTGCAAACTTTTGACGGTTGGTAGATGTACCGGTCGTCGAACCAATGAGATACCCAACAGAGATGGGCGACGAAAGGCATGCTGAATACCAGGAAAGTAGGCAGCTGAGCCAAGGCTCGGGGTTTAACGCAGTCGTCTGGATAGGAGACTGATATCAACGTCGTCTAACCTGTCCCGACGAAGAAACCAGTTGTGTGGGGCTCTTGCCGGACGTGGTGGTATACCCTCGAAAGCCACAGAAGAGTGAACAATGGAAATGTCGAGAAAACTCTTTACTTGCGAGTGTATCATGCCGAACCTCGATCCTGCCGGACCAGAACAGCCGAATGACTCGTTTCTTTCGCCAACATCCACAACCAAGTTTAAAAACGACGCGATCGGGGAGCGTTAACGGGCACATCCTACTGCAGCTCGTCAATCTCCATTGCATCAAAGTTGATCGGCTGGCGCTGAGGGGCGAATCGAGGAGCAAACGGAATTCTGGTGGCCGGCTCGACAGGGCGGGGGATGCGAATTTTCTGCGACGACGAGATCGAGTGTTCATCAGTGTGTCTACGCTCAGCAGCAACGCTGATTTCATCTATGGTATCCTTCGTGGCACGCGACTTCATTGAAGCATTCTTGTCCCGCAGCGTCAGCGCGTTGGGTCCGATGAGGCCTGCGAATTTGATCTCCAACGCCTCACGCTCTTCGGCGGGCGCCTTCTTGATCTGTTCAATCGCATAAGCACGGAACCGAGTTTCCAAGTCGTCCAGATCGTCCTTGCTAGGAGACGGGTGCTTCTTCATGCTCAGGTCGGCCTGGTTGCGAAACAGTCTCTTGCCGTGGGCCAGCTTCAACTTGCGCGAGACAACGCCACGAGAGACAGAGCTGCCCTCAGCTTCGTCCAAGGTCGCGAGATGACGATCATCTGCTTTGGTGTATCGCGTGGAAGGACTGTCGTGGGGACCAGCTTTGCGAGCGGTACGAGTACGAGGTGTCGAAGCGCAGAGGGGTTTCTCGGACAGGATACCCTCGAGATCAGTATCGAAGTCTTTCTCAGCGGCGAAGGGGTTGAGGGTCGGAACCGGTGGAATGTCATCAGTCGAGTCGGCGCTGATCTTCAACCGATGCTCAAAGGGAGTAGGAGTACGGATAATCTCGTATGCCTCAGAAAAGGGGTCGTCTGACGATCCGACGCTTCCATCGTTAGGAACAGGCTTCCGGACAATGCAGCCTGCGATGATGGTCTGTGACTTCTGCATTTTCCGGTTGCCGATCATGACATCGTCTTCATTCACGTCGAGGTTGACGGAACTGGCAGGAGAAGCCTCCTCGACTTCTTCCAAATGGTAGTGCACTGCTGGATTTGGCATGGTGCATGTCGTGAGTGCAACCGGGGCCGAGATCTTGCCCCTGATCTTGGAATCTGGAGTTTTCGGCTTGGACTGGAATATGTCGAGCGCCTGACGGACCTTTGACATAACCTTTTTGCGACGATTTCGTGCAGGATTTGAGGTCGCCTGCGTGGTTTCCTGAGAGCCGCGAGGCTTGAGTGCCTCAGTGGCAGCCAGCATCGCTGCGACCTTGTCGTCTACCAAGTTGGCAATGGCAGCATCAGAGTTGGTGCCAGACGTCTGGCCAGCAGCTTGTTTGGTCATGCCGCCGAGTGGCGCCGTCGTCGAACCAGACAAAAGAACCCCGCGTCTGTTACCAGCATCGAGCATTGTAGTTTTCGACTGCGGAAAGGAGCGCTTCGCGGGATGAACTTCATTGTCAATATTCTTCGCACGCTTGCCTCGTCGCCGACGTGAAGATTTTCGAGGGATTTCCGGAGGTATCAGGTCTGTCTCCGAGACCTGAACGTGCGACTGGGAGTGTGCAGCGTTTTCTCCCGATGGAGAAGTCATGGTGAGATTGTGCGAGGAAGTACCCATCTTCAGCATCGGTCCTGCGGAATGAGGCGGGAACGTCATTGGTTCGGTAGCGCAGAGGAGAACCGAAGGATGACTCCGAAGACCGTTCGGATGGTTGAATATGGTACTCTCCAAGAGCTCACTGGCCAAGCGGTCGACGTTCTGGTCTTGGTTGCCTACTAAGGCAGGGCCGCTCTGGGGAGGACTAAATCCGCTGGTGTTTGCAGGCAGCGAGGGTGTCACTGGCTCTGCGAAGGTTGTCAGCTGGCATCCGGCAATGGGACTTTCATCATTCATACCTTCGACTTCTGCAGTCTTTTCCTTCTGGCTTCCTCTATCGCGACGGCGGGGCGCCAAGTTGGCGAGGGTACTCATGGACTTCTTCTTCATGATGCATGGGGAGTGTCCGTCAGGGGTAAGGAGTGGACAGGACGACAAATGTCCCAAAAAAGAGTGAGCAACGAAAGATGGACAACGAAAAAAAACCTCGACGCTGCTTGAAAGCCAAAGGAGCGCAAAAATCGACGAGTCGGCGGTGGCCTCCAGGTATTCGACCCTGCTGGATCAAAGACCAAGAGCTTGCCAGACTCGGCCGGAGAAGTTGGTGATGACCAGTAGGTGTGTTCAGAGACAAAATAACCTGCTCAACGCAAATTACTTTGCAAATGGGATCGACGGCTGATAAGTTGGTGTCAGCTACTGCCAATGTCGGCAACAAGCTGACGAGGTTAGGTCTCACGATGTTGGCGACCCGTTTGCGATTGCGCGGGGAACTGACGCGTGGCGAGCTTGAAGAAGTGCGGAAAAGAAAAAAACAGGCGAGTGAGAACGCCTGACTTTCGTCTAAACAGGCTTTCTCATGGGCAGGTTCGGTCTTTCCTCTGCCAAACACCAAGCCTGCCGTCGTGGCTTCCTGTTTCCATCATCTAAGCCCTCTGTTTCACTCAGCGTCTGGTTGGTCCTCGGGGGGAGGGCAGCGAGCGGAGACTCAGACCGGTCTACTGCTCACTGGAAGTTTCCGGACTCGAATCTCTAGCTTGCAGCTTGAGAAATCGTCGAGCCGCACTCACCGTGGATCCACGACGTGAAGGCTTCGTGGCTTTGTCTGGAAGTGAGCCAGTGTGCTCTTCCCTTACAGAGCATGGCATTGCCATCTTGCAGCGCAAGACTGCGTGAAGCGTCATGACTCCTTTCATCTCCAAAGGCACAGCCATCTTTGATAGGGCTTCAAGGAGAGTGCTCCACAGAATGATGGCGCGATTGGGAAGGGAAATCGGGACGGTGTTAGATGGATGTTCAGATTGGAATCGCCAAAGATTGTGGCTTTGAGGAGCATTTACCTTGAGACAACCAGGCGCCATGGCTGATGGCCGATGAAGAAAACCTGGTTATCAGAATTAATCAGAATCATCGCCTATGCTCCTCGGCCCGGAAGCATGGCGGCAGCAGGGAAATGGCCACCGAATCTTGGTGATCGGGTTTGGCGTTCTACACGTGTTCAATAAGGGAAATATGGTGAACGCCTACGGCCGACACGAGGAAAGGTGCTATCAGCAGCACGTTACAACTGAACGTTCTACTGGAATGACAAATCAAACAATGCAAGGCTACGGAAATTTTCTTTCTCTTAGTTTAGATTGCCTAATGAATACAGCGGACAAGACGAGGAAAACGAAACCATTGCAGTCCATGTCTGTTCCCTTACGTCTAGGGAGCATGTTGGGAATGGAGGGGCTAGGATCGGAATATGGAAAACCAGTAGCATTTCAGTCTCCTCCGCCTCTTCCGGACATCAGCGGAGTGCACCATCGCCGGCGATGGGGGCCATACGGCACCCGTTCTGACCGGTGCACGTTGTGGAGGGGCGGGACGAAACGGAGGAGCAACGGAGAGGACTCGGGGCTGCGGCCACCCGCGGACACCCTCGGACCATTTCGGGATTGGGGAGTTTGTGCCAGCTCTGCATAGAGGCGGCCGACAGGCCTGGGAAGCGAGATCTCTAACAGACTATGCTTCGGACAGGGGCCGGTAAAACCTGCAATGAAAAAAAAAGGATTCATGACTGCAAGCGAATGGAAACAACGGGGAATGGATGACCTGCCGATATTCAAATCCATCTCGATTGGTCTGAGTCAGCCATGGCCAGGCGATGAGAAAGTTGCTGCTGACGGATTACACAGAGATGTCGGTTTCGCCGTCGGGGAGCACGGGGTCATCGGAAAATGCACAGAAAGGGAACCCTTCAGAGCGGAGAAACCGCCACCGTTGATAGCCAATTGGAAAAGATCGGATTGTGATTGGCCTGCTGACTGTGCGATTGCGCCATCTTATTTGTTGATTTCCAGCTGGTCTTGGCGGCCGGTCCCCACGCTCACCTCCGTCTCCTGCCGAATGCGGGAAGGGAAAGCTGGTCTGTTTCAAATCCAGTTGACCACAGGCTACGCGAACCTTTTGCATTTTCCCTCATGCTCTCTCCGCCATCGTCTTTTTTCCCAACTCCAGCCCCAAACCTCCCGACCGCCCTTGTAGACAAGTTCGCCATCGCCGACCACTCCTACCTTCGAATTGCATTTTGACGAGAAATCGTCGGTCGCGATAGCATAATACCTACTCAGAGTCTCCATTTCCGACTCTTCCAACTTGCCCGTCTTCTAACGACCGTTCGCCACCCGACTCCTCACCAACCACTGATTTCCGCGATTGAAGGTTAACATCGTCGGATTCCATCATGTCCTTCTCCAGCCTTGTTCAGGACCTCACGTTGAGGGATTCCGGCGTCCCGCGCCGTCCCCGCGGTGATCAATCAGTCTCCACCATCGACGACGGCCGGTCACAAATCTCACGCGCCATGTCCTACGCCAGCACTGCTGCGACCAGCGTCAGCATTTCCGGTGATATTTCGAGCCAGCTGCACGGCGGTTACTTCCATCCCCTTGCCCGCTCGTGGCAAGCCGAGCGGCAACTCACCAAGGTTTGTACCACAATTCGCGGTATTTGTCGTCATCGTGAATCACTGCTAACTGTTGTCTCTCAGTCCATGCTTATTTACCCCCTCTTTATTTCGGATCAAGACAACGAGGAGGCTCTAATCCCCTCTCTGCCCGGCCAGTACCGCCGAGGCATCAACAAAACAATGGCTTATTTGGAGACGCTTGTGCGCAAGGGCCTGCGCTCCGTGATGCTCTTCGGCGTGCCCGTGCGCCCGGGAGTCAAGGACGCTCTTGGCACCGCCGCCGACGACCCCGAGGGGCCCGTTATCAGGAGCATTCGTGCTATCCGCCAGCGCTTCCCTCAGCTCTTCATTTGCGCCGATGTTTGCTTGTGCGAGTACACCTCCCACGGCCACTGCGGTATCCTCCGCGATGACGGTAGCTTGAACAACCAGCTGTCCGTTGACCGCATCTCTGACGTTGCCATTGCCTACGCGTCGGCGGGCGCTCACTGCGTTGCACCCTCCGACATGAACGACGGCCGCATCCGTGCCATCAAGCTGAAGTTGATCGAGGAGGGCATCGCCCACAAGACGGTGCTCATGTCATACTCGGCCAAGTTCTCGGGCTGCTTGTACGGTCCGTTCCGCGATGCGGCAGGCTCTGCTCCATCGTTCGGAGACCGCAAGTGCTACCAGCTGCCCCCGGGTGGTCGCGGCTTGGCACGCCGAGCCATTGTCCGCGACATTGGCGAGGGTGCGGACATCATCATGGTTAAGCCTGCCAGCCAGTACCTCGATATCATCAGTGATGCAAAGGAGCTCGGCAAGGACATGCCTGTGGCTGCCTATCAAGTCAGCGGCGAGTTCGCCATGATCCACGCGGCTGCCAAGTCGGGTGTGTTCGACCTGAAGCAGATGGCATTCGAGTCAACCGAGGGCATCCTCCGAGCTGGCGCGACGATCGTCATCAGCTACTTCACTCCCGAGTTTCTCGACTGGCTCTCCACCTAGACGACGCATGGCATGACAATACAAAGGCAAGGTGTTTTGGGGCGTTTGGGTTTTGATGACGTAGATGAACTGTATCTGGTTCGCATGGTCTTGGGGGAACAGGTTGGACAGGCGTTGGTTTCGCACATCTGTACATATACACTTGCTTGACAGTCCAGTGTCACGTAGAGGATACCAAAAAAAGACTAATGGGACAGCGGGTATTTCGGGAGACATGAGTTGAGTTACGGCCGTACTCTTGGCAATGCTTGTGTATCAGCCGGGTGGCCCTCGTGCACTCGAAACTCAAAAACAACGTGTATTACCATGGACGGAAGTGGTTCAAGAAACAGTGTCTGTGCAGGTTTGGATACCTACTGTGCCGTGCCGTGCCTGCCTAGAGAAGGTGTTCCGGGTGACAGTCCTAGAGGCCTCTCAACTCGACTTGTCAAGCGAGAGCAGGCCGAAGCAGGCCTTTCCCCGGCGTGGGTATCCTGACTCGGCTCCCGGAAGGGATGTCGATCGACAGTTGGCTTGGTTTTAATCGGGGCCAGGAGATTCTCGACCAAACCAAAGCAGCTTGGCCTCGCGGGTTCCTGGCCACGGACCAAGGATGGCGGCGGCAGTAAGGGCCGCTTGCTGCCACTCAAAATCTCAGGCAGGGACGCATTTAGCAGGCACCGGACACTGGAAGGGGGGGTGACCGGAGGAGTCGAGGAAGGAGTTGGGAGGAACCGAGAAGGAAATGGATCGGAGGATGGAGGCCAACGTTGCAAAAACGAGGGAACGACGGGCGGGTTTTGCCATACGCTGCCATGCACTCGACGTGACGGATTTGCCAATCTGGAACATGGCCAAGGGGTTTTGTCTGCCGGGAAACATGCTGCACCCCTGACTGGGCACACCCAATGGGGCCCTTGCACGCCGAGCGTCTCGAGTACGCCCCCCGGTTTGCCGAGCGCGGCAGCGTGGACCCAAGCGCCGATCTCAACCTTGAATAACCTTGCACTCATGTCGCAACGAAGGTAGCCGCAGCGCCGCACCCCGGGAGGCTGGCAACCGTTGATAAAGTGCGGCGGACACGAAAAACTGGGGTACCGCTCCCGCAACTCTCACTCTCGACCAATATCTGCAATTTCTCTCGCCTCCAAGGGCCCTCCGACGCTCCATTGTTCTCCAGAAAAACACTTGGAATGCCCCCAGACGGGCTTACGACTGCTTCATCGCGAAAAGTGGCTCTTCCCCCCGGAACACCGCGACGAGAAGCCCAGAGAACTCATGCGCCGAGACCTGCTGCCGGTCGCGGGTTGCCATGTCTCTGCCGAGGAATGGCTGGGTCGTTGACACGCTCTTGGCGGGAGAAAGCTCGAGCAGGTCCCTTCCCACATTGGTGGCCTCGCCTATGCAATCTGAGACCCCTTACGGTTTACCCCTTATGCCCAGACATGCCATTCGCCCATCGCCCATCGATCACTTTCTCCGTCCGCGCTAGCATCCCTCCCCTGCCTTGCAGTGCCGGCGGAGGGAGAGGGCCAGGGGCGGGGATGGAAGGGAGGGAACATGATGGGGGCCGCGGCGCGGCGGACTGGACTGGGCAACCGGGGCCCGTCCTCTGCTCTTCTTTCTTTCTTTTCATTCTTGGAGGAAGAGGAACGATGAGGGGGCCCGGTGAGTGGGAAATAGGGGATTGAAATCACTGGCCTAAGAGGCGTCGACGCGACGACGTCAGGAGGAGAAACTGAGGCCGAACTTGATTGATTTGCGCGCCGGAGGTCCTCTATGCATCCCCCCCCCCGTGTATGTACTCTGCGTGGTTGATAATGTGTAATCAGATTACCACCATTCTGGAGAAGATTTGATTTTTTTAGTGTCCCTTTCCCCGAGCCCATCATTTTTTATGTACGCGCACAAGTTCGTCGCTTCTCCATTACCAGCATTCTCGTCCGTCTTGTTTCTCCTGTATTCGCCTTCCTTTTGTTCCCTGTCGGACCCCCCCTACTACACGTTTCTCGCCTTCTTTCTCTCAACACGTCATCTATTTCCATGTAACTGTGAAACCCCTATCCGTTCGTGTCCCCTCAACATCCCCGGTCCGGCCAATGGGTCTGATGTTTCCTGGGGCGAAGAGTCTGTTGAAGCGCATACCCTAAGGTTTCTTCGTCCGGACTTCACTGATCGACGCTCTTGCTGTCTCCCCATCCTGCTCGTCTTGTGCATCACATACACACACACACCTCGTCGTTTCCCTTCTGCCTCGGTCATCCTTCGCCCTCGTCTCGACCCGACCTGCTCACTGTCGTTTCATCCCTTCTTTTGGCACGGCGCTCATTGGACTGCTGGACGGCCGTGCAATCCTCATCCTCATCGACGTCCATAGTCGGTACCTGCACACACACACATATACCCGCCACAAGTGACGCTTTGCAGGACAACTGTCCGATCATCAGAGTTGTGCACAGCCAGAGCGCTACTCCCATCCTTCTGGCCCATGACATATGCGCCTCGGTTTCTTTTTGGCTTTCCGTCAGCGCCCCGTGTCTTTCAGCTGCGTCCTCCTCATAACTGGAGGCATTCCTAGGCTCCTTTTTACCTTTGTGTCAAAACAAGACACACGGGAGCGAACGAACAGACTTTGCACTCTATACTCAAAATCAACTGGAAAAGAACAACGACAGCCGCCTTCCGCGCTTCGACACTCGCAAAGATTCCGATTCGTCACTCGAGGCAGAGATACACAGCGAAAGCAAGAACATTGCTCCTGACCTGTTTGGCATAGGTGCTTCTTACACGCTCAACGGCATCATTTCTGCACTGTACCTGCTTTCAAGGTGCACCCCTCCCCAAGCCCGTCATAGCTGCCGCACTTACACGATTCCACCCTGAAACAGGCCCCATTTACCCACACCACTGACGCTCACGCTCACGCTCTCTCTCTCTCTCTCTCTCTTTCGCTGCTTCCCGTGTCTGCTCGCCTCGGGATTTTGTCGTTTGGGAAGGAGCCACGTTCCCAAAAAGCCCCACTACACATCTGCCTTTGCCTCTGCCGTACGGAGAGCCGTACTCTACTCCATGCGCTGAGGCTCGTTCCAATCTCACTTCAGCCGGACCCTTTGTTTTCTCTGGTTTCCTATGGTTTTGTTGTTTACATACCTTGACTTGCCAGTGTCTGCCCGTTTCTCCACATTCCTTTCCTTGCAGCGGCCCACGTCTCTGCTTCAGCGCTGAGATATCCCGGTTCCTGCACCCAAGGTTCTGCTTTGAGCCCACACCCAAGGTCAAGGTCAAGGTCACGGGCTGGTTGACGAGACGAGACAAGACACGCCCACCCGACACCCAACACATTCATCCATCCTCGGGAAACATCCATTCTCACAGACAGGGCCTGTGTCTTTCCCAATTACATTTACTTTCCATTGCCTGCTTCCACTCTCCTCTCGCCCCTCTCTCCTGCAGATCCCGATCGTCTGAACAACAAGGGCCTCCGGATTAAAACCACCACGCTCCCTCCTCCGCGCTTCTCTTTCCTTTTCACTTGACTCTCTTTGGCCATTGCCTCGTTCCAAGCCGCGCTTGCTACCTGCACTGTTCGGCCTCGAGAGTCCTTTTTTATAACCCTCCTTCCCAACCAACACGCCCCCGGATCCATTGCAGGACAATGAACGGACACGCTGCTTCAAAGGTGTCCCTGTCACACGAAGAGGGAATGGGGCTCCTGGACGAGAAGACGTTGTCCGACGTCGAGAGCGAGAGCGGTAGGGTCGACCTCGAATCCCGCTTCGCGATCCCACGATGGTCGACGGTCGCTCGGGGTGCCGTGGGATATGCCCGAGCCATACCATGGCGGGTCACGGTCATCCGCGGTCTCATCTTCCTACTTCCTAGCTTCGTCCAGAGCCGCTTCACGAGAGAACGAGGCCGATCCGAGAAGCTGTTCCCAACGTCACATCTCGACGGCATGCGTGGACTTGCCGCACTATTCGTCTTCTTTTGTCACTACTTTTACCAGGCCTTCATCATCGCCGAGGGCTGGGGTTCGTCAGAAAAGAACTACCACGTACTCAAGATGCCGTTTCTCCGACTCTTCTACCAGGGCCCGCCCGCCGTGTGCCTGTTTTTCGTCATTTCCGGCTACGCATTGTCCATGAAGCCCATCAAGCTTGCGCGGGCTCGAAACTTTGAGGAGTTCTCCACAACAACGACGTCGTTGATCTTCCGAAGATTCATCAGACTTTACTTGCCGACCGCGATCTCGACCTTTGGCATCATGATGCTGCTGCAACTGGGCGTTTACGAGTGGACCAGAGACTTCGCCATCGACAAGACGTACCACAAGAACGTCATGGAGCCTCACCCGAAACCTCTCGACACCTTTTCCGAGCAGCTGGCGGACTGGATGTGGAGCATGTTCAACTTTGTCCACGTGTTTGGCTGGGAGAAGTTTGGTGGAAGCACATGTAAGTGGGCCATACGATGACGCCGTCGCTCCGCACACTAACATTCACAGCCTACGATGTTCACTTGTGGACCATCCCAGTCGAGTTCCGCTGCTCCATGTACCTGTTCGTCACACTCATCGGCCTGGCTCGCGTTCGAACCGGACTTCGCTTCCTCTTCCTCTGGGGAATCATTGCATTCACTTACCGCAACAACCGCTGGGAGCTGTTGCTCTTCTACTTCGGTATGATGCTCGCGGAATACGACCAAATCATGGGCAACAACACCCCTGTTGGTGGCTCTATTCTCCCCACGAACGAATCCCGACCGAGCAAGAGCCGGCTCAAGGGCTTCTTCTGGGCGATGCTCAGCATCCTGTCCATCTACTTCATGTGTCAGCCGGATATCAACTACGAAATCACACCCGGCTGGGTCTGGCTTTGCTCCTTCATTCCCAAGTGGTGGGATGCGGAAGGTTACCGCTTCTGGCAATCCATCGGGGCCGTCATCTTTGTTCTCTGCGTCAGCCATTCGCCGAGATGGAAGAGCTTTTTCAACCTTGCTCCCATCCAGTACCTCGGAAAGATCAGCTACGCCCTCTACCTCATGCACGGTCCAGTGATGCACACCGTCGGCTACATGATCGAAAGGCGGGCTTACGCCTTTACAGGCATCGAAGGGTGGTGGTACAACACGGGATTCGTGCTGGGATCTTTGGGGTGCGTCCCCGCCGTGATTTGGGCGGCCGACGTCTTCTGGAGACTTTTCGACATCCCGACGGTGCGGTTTGCAAAGTGGTTAGAGACAAAGTGCTCTATCAAGCAAGAGTAGTGAACTGGGACGGTGCTTGCGCGTCACTGCAGGTGTTGCTATGGCGAAGACGACTCGCATTTGAGTTGGGTCTCGGGAAGTCGTTATGGAAACCGACTAATAATAGCATGACACGGCGTTTTTTATCTCACGGCATTATTACTATATACCTGGCGTCACTTTTTTTTATTTTAAATGGGCTTGGGAATTATCAAACTTCCGGGGGGGGGGCAAATGATATAGATAGCATGTCAGCAGAATCCACCTCTTAGGACCACAGATTGGTCGAACAAAGAAAGTACAGGACAGTACACCGAAGTAGAAAGAGCCGAATGTCACAGACGAGGTAGAACCAACTACTGCAAGGGTATCAATTTGATTCGTCTTTGACCGAGTAGCTGACGAACTCTTTTTAATTTTTTGGAACTTTTTCGGGTTTGACTCGTGGTCTTTTTCTCCAGTGTCTATCCCTGACGACCCTGCTACGCTATCCAATCATGCTCCTCTTGCGACCCCGCATCCTGACGTCCTCGAGCTTCTTGAGCGTGACGGGCGCCTGCTTGTAGGATGCGCGGTAGGCGTCGAGGACGTCGCGGAAGTAGGCTTCGGCGCGCGGGTGTGTGCTGCCGAAGGCGCGCTCGAGGACGTAGAGGTCGACGGCGCGGTCCTCGTCCGAGGTGCTCTGGCTGGCGAGGCCAAAGTCGATGATGAAGACGTCACCGTCGAGGGGGGATGGCGACGACGCCGCGTCATCGCCCGCCGGGGCCGTGGCTGTGTTTGCGGCGGCGGCGGCGGCGGAAGTCGGCGTCGGCGGCGGCCGCAGCATCATGTTGGACGTCGTGAGGTCGCCGTGGACGATGCCGATCTTGTGCATCCTGCCTATCGCGGCGCCCATGCGGCGCATGAGGCTCTTGAGGTCCGTCGTGTCCCGCTCCTGGGCCACGGTCTTTTCCTCCCCTGCCGTATCCGCCGCGCGCGGGCGCGCGGCCTCGTCGGAGCCTTGCATGACGACCTCGCTGCCCCCCTGGCCGACTGCCTTCTTTCGTCGTTGTCGCCCTCGGGAATCTTCGCGAGGCGCCCGCCGTCGTCGGCGCCGCCGCCGCTAACCTTGACGACGCCGTCCACCCACTCGTTGATGCGCACCCGCACGGGGGCGCCGGGGATCCATTCGAGCATCAGCCAGCCGGCGGCCTCGTCGAGGGCGTAGAGGGCGGGGACGGGGCAGCCCTCGCGGCGGCACTTTGCGAGGACGCGGGCCTCGGCGAGGATGCGGGCGCGGGTGAGGCGGGCGTCGAGCGTCGGGTGGCGCCAGGGCTTCTTAGGGCGGTACTTGAGGGCGGCGGGGAGCGAGGGCGAGAGGAACGTCGTGCGGTAGAGGCGGGCCTCGGCGCCCTGGGTGACGAGGACCGGGGAGCCGGCGGGCGACGAGGGGTGGGTGAGGAGCGGGGGCAGGGGGAACGCCCCCTCTGGCGGCGAGGCCATTGTCGGGGGGGTTTTTTTTTGTGTGCTGGGTGTGGGGTTCGGCGGGAGGAGGACGGCAAGAGGGTTTCGGGTTGGGAGGTGATAGCGTGTGCGGGTGGTGAGTCGAGAAGGCGGATCGCGGGGGGGTGGTGGGAGTTTGGGAATATCTTCAAGAAAACATTGGCATGCTCGCGGGCCTGCGATCGGAGGGAGGGGCTGGCCCGACTGCGCCTGCGCGGTGGAGGGGTCGATTTTTGGTGGGGGGGTTCGTGTCTGACCGCCTGGGAGGGACAACGATTCTGCCGGGTGTGTTTCTGTGTGCCGGAGACGCTTGGCTGGATTCGTTCTAGGGCGTTCTAGGGCCCGCGGGGCGCCGTTGGGGGGGGGGGGGGGGGGGGGGGTTCATGGGGTGGCGGTTTGTCGAGCGTCTGGGCACGCCGCTGGAGGTGTTGATTTTGGGGTAAGTGCACCAAGAGTGGTTGGTGTGTGCGGGCCGGGCCTGCACTCCGCACTAGTGTTTCCTTTCCGAGAAACTTTTGAGCAAAAGGTTGTTGCGACTTCTCCCTTGCTAGTTACTTGTATAAAAGGGGAGTGAGAAGTCTTGTTCTATCGACTTGCAGTGACCAAGCGGTCAGGTTATTCGTCTATTGAGAGCTATGTAGCTTGCCGAGCGGCGGCTCATGATAGAGCTGTTTTCTTGTCAAGGTTGATTGACTCAAGTCACTGTGCGAGCCGCCAAACGCCCGTGGTTTTCACTCCTCCCAGCCAGTCACTAAGACGGAGAGCACCAATTGGGTTGTCGTGCATACCAGTTGTCTTTGAGCACTTCTCCAGCGCCTCCGCACATATGTGGTTGTGGACAGGCAACAGAGACGGTTGAAAATTCCCCCTTCTGGTGTACAAAATGGGCAACGTTCAGAACCGAGGTGCTCCAATGTACAGACACCCAGCGAGGCAACATATCCTTCTACCTGAGAGGCAAGAGCCTATCAGACGACTAGAGACGACGAGATTTGGAAGCTAGACAGCCAAGTGATTCGAGCGATGTTGTGGTTTGCGCCGGCAGCAGGCCATCTGGGTGCAAAGCGATGCGAGACGGAATTGGAGGACCCTCTAACACATCAAACCCGACGCAACCCTGGCCATCTAACAACCTGTCTCATAGACGGCACACACGCTTCAACCGTCTTAGATATGATCTTGGACACTCGGATAACAAGCTTCAAGATGGCATGCTCACAACACAGCAAGACCTGAGGAACCAGAGGCGACACGGCAGATACGGAGGAATAATCAGGAAACAGAGACATTAGTTGCGGGTCTAAAGAGACAGAGGGAAAAGCTCAGCTATGTACAGTTGTCGGTTTCAATTTTGGTGGCCCTGTCGGCTTTGCCGCCGGGCGTAATAGACTGTGTGTGTGTGTGTGAATGTGTGTCATGCCACCTTCAACTTGATAGCATTGGCAATAACAAAGGGCGTCGCACTCTCCACCAACATAGCCCTGGTTTTTTCCTCTACACTGGAATGACGAGTCAGCCTCACTTTCCTCTTCAGCAAAAGATTACATGCCATCGACGGGCAGCTGTTAGTGGAGGTGAGATCGTCACACCGACGGCCAGCCCGCGTGACTCGTGCTTGACTGCCGGTTATTATGCAGTTGACACAGAAAACCTAATTACGAACATTTCACCTGCTGCTACTTAGGTACGGTAGGGATACTCGGAATGTTCGGGATGAACACCAGAGACGTTTGGGACGAACCCTTGTCTATTATGCCCCGTAACGCCGCCAATAATGTACAGCCCTCCTGTTGTCCTATCTATAAACCATTCAATACAGAAGCAACAGTGGGGCCCTATGCTGCGCGAGCCTTCCAGATGGATGCTGAAGGAGGTGCACCTGGAACTGATATAATATGCTTCGGGCTTTCGATGTCCACTTTGATTCATGTCATATGTTGATCTCTTACGCGGCATCATCTTAACTTAAATTGAGGCAAGCTGACACGAAACCTAATAATAATGCCTACTCGGGGGTTATATATCTGTGCGACTATCTAGTCCTTTCAGTCTAGATTTGCTCAAGTAGATTTACAGAACAGACTGGGACTTCCTTTCACGATACACATCTCCAATTCCTTCGCAATTCTATGCCAACAATCTAAGCAATATCTCAGCAATGCAGCTCCTCCACACACTTGTCACCTTGGCTGTTAGCTTCCATCTGGCATCAGCAACCCCCGTCGCAAACGCTGCTGCCGTCAAGATCCCAGCCGAATTGCAAACCAGAGCCAATCGATGCCTTCCCCAGGAACCGGTGCCATGTAGCCAGAAAAAAACATGCACAGACGCCGGTCTCACGGACTGCGCCACTGCCGGAGTTTGCTACTTCGATTGCTAAACTGCTAGGTAAGCGGAAATGAGTTTTACATCGAATCGCGTTGCCCTGGTGGGTCTTTTATTCTACTTTGTCACTAACACTGTCTATGTAGACGCTAAGGCTTGTTGGAATGCATTTAAAGCCTGTTTCTACCCCATATAGAGTTCAATGTCATAAGAACCTAGTTGGCGGAATAGCAGGAATCCTAAACATAAATATAGGTAGATCACTTTGACAAGGAATTTATTAGGAATATACCTACCTTTTGGATGGTCACAAGCCATCACACGGAACGACCAGTACAATCTCGTCGTGAGAACGACCAGCCATCGCCAAGAACAAAGTGATGCCGTAGTTGAGCTCTCTAGGTAGAGCCGATCTAAAGTGGGTTGAAGAAGTAGGCGGCGGTTGGGCAAGGCGTTGGAATCTCGGCAAAACAGGATACTGGCAAGCCTACATATTATTCTCGGTGTCCTATTATGATGATGGCAAAGTTGACAGATAGGAACAAGACGCAGGGGGTTGCGTCACTCTAATCAGGGTTTGATTGCTGTATTTTAGCCAGTGATAGACGACCATGTTTTCATATAGGCATGGACGTAACCTCTGTCTGTGACTGCCTAAGATAGTCTCTAGCTGGTGTAGGGCAAGCAACGATTCTTTTGGAGCAGTTCAGATACAAGCATATAAGCGTAACAACTTCTTCAAAACCGGCTAACCTACAAACCCCTTGAGGAGTCTGGGTAATAAAAATTGATTTATGATGGGCGTCGTTACTGGCTTCTCAATTGTGTATGTTTAATCTCTGACTATACTCCCCGCTTCCGTTCTTCTCGGAATGCAATTAGCCCACCATGAAAGCCAAGCGGGATCTTGGTGATGGCATCGACTTCAGATTTAGACCTCGAACTCGGTGATTCGGCACCTCAAACGCTGGAAGTACAAGTATACCTACTTCAAAACCAACTCTGAATCCCATCAATTTTCTAACAAATGAAAAGAAGTAATCCGGAGCTTTCCCTTATCTATATGAATGTCAGATATCCGTCACTCCGTCTCAATTCCTGCGATGGGCCTTCTCGAAATGTCGGGCATGCAGCTAACCCGGCCACCGCTGTGGCCGCGGCAACAAGATTGGAAGGTGGGATTATGTCCTGCGTCGCATCGAGGGGTCAACGAACGTGGTCTCCCGCCATGCAGCCCAGCGGCCCAGCACGACACCCCGAACCAACGGACGCCAACCAGGCCGCCAATCATCGCGGACGTTCGAGTCCCTCGGCAGCGGCCGAGAAGGGCAAGAGGAAGGGCCCCTCGCTCGTCTCCCCTACCGACCGCGTCGCCGATGGAAGAACCGGGATGGGAACTCCGCTTTGCTTCTGCAGTGCAATTTGATATGCGATATGCAGGCCAAGCGGTCTTTCGCGCCCAAAGTCCTGCGGGTGTGTTGCTGCGAGTGCCAGAGAAGGGCAAAATCGCCTTCCCGCACCCTCGTCCCGAAATGTCACGCAAGCGAGAGAGTGTGCAGAAATCCTTGCCCCGTGAGGAGAAAGAGTCAGGAAGACCCGGATCATCCTTGACGGATGGGATTCTGCTTACACTCTCTTCATCCATGGGCTGGATGCTGAGGCTATGCTGCATCCAGGCGCATGCAGCAGCCTGCTCACCCACCACACAGTGATTCGCTTGCCTGCTTACATTGTTCCACCGGCCCCTTTGCCTTTTCAAATTGCCTTTCTTGTGTTTCCTCAGCCGTATTTGCTCGTCGTCGCCACTTCACCCTTCATCTGCTGGGTGTCTGTATCTCGCTCGCCATTCCCACCCACGTTTGCCTCGAAGCCCCGTGGCACAAAGGATATGTGCACTTGAGTAAGATCGAAAACTGCGCCTGCGTCTCCACGAAGTCGTACTCAATCTCTTGGCACCTCGAGCAACCGACTGCGAGACACAGAAGAGAGAGATGAAGGCTCTCGCGACTGCCGCGCTGGCCGCCTGCGCCAGCGCGGCTGCCCGACAGAGATTCGCTGCCGTCGACATGTCGCCCGTCGGAGGCGCCTTGGTGCCGCGCTTCTTCGTCGACGCTCCCAAGCTGGCCATCCGCGACGGCGGGATATGCAATCCGAACTACCATTCATGTAAGAGGCCTCAGGCCCACTGCTCAAGAACCACCGCAATGCTCGCCAGACTACCCGTAACTTTCGCTAACGACAGGTCAGGTGTCGATATTGGCTTCCCGGGAGAGTGCTGCGCAAACACAAACTACTGCTACGTCAAGCCGGACAACAAGCCGTGGTGCTGCCCCGTCGGCTCCAACTGCGACTCCAACTGCGCGGCCACGGCCTACCAGTGCTCCACCACCGTCACCCGCACCGTCTCCGAGACCATCACGGGCGGCGCCGTTGTCACCACCTCCGTCTCCTCCGCCTGCTGCGGCCGCATCTGCCCCTCCACCTCGGCCTTCCGCTGCGAGACCCAGTTCGGCGGCGGCTGCTGCTCCTACGGGCAGACCTGCGTCTCGAGCGGCGGCTGCGTGAGCACCGTGGTCGCGACCTCCTGTCACAGGGACGCTGACGCCGGCGGACCCCGGGTGCACCGCCACCACGCAGCACGCGTGCGACGACGGGCAGGGGTGCTGCGACAACCTCATGCACTGCACCGTCGTCAGCGGCACCGCGGCTTGCGCGCCGGGGAACCCTACGATCACGGGCGTGAAGATCGTCGATGGCGGCTCCGGCGGGCTGTCAACCGGCGCGAAGGCCGGAATCGGCGTCGGCGTGTCCGTCGTCGGGTTTGCGCTGGTGGGAGTCTCGGCGTGGTTCTGCCTGATCAGGCGACGGAGGCGGGGGACGACAATGTCCCAGCGCAGCGGCGGCGCGAGCCGCGTCAGCGGCGGGGTTTCCGGCCTCGTCGTCGGCGGCGGCGGCGGCAGCGAGAGACCGGGCCGGAGCGCGCGCGCCATGTCGGAAGTCACGTCCGGCTCGCGGCCGACGGCCCGGGGCGGCTTAACGCAGGACTACTTTGGCCCGGCGGCCGTGGCGGGGCCGTACACGGAGACGGAGACTGTGGTGTCCGACGGGGCGGCGACCACGCCGGGCAGGGGGAGGGGCGTGCCGCTGCAGGCGCACTCGCCGAGCGACGTCGTAGCGCCGGTGGAGATCGACTCGGTGGGCGTGAAAAGGGGGTACGGGCACGACGTCACGGCCGTGCCGGCGGAGCGGGAGGCCGAAGCGACGCAGGAGAGGTATGAGCTATACGGGTCTGAGATGGTGTCGCCTTCGCCGGTGATGCCTTCTCCGCAGACGCAGTCACCGCCGCTGATGACACCGAGGAGCATCACGAGCGTTTCCTTGATGGACAGGTCACCGGGCCCTCCGTCAGAGAGGTGAGGCAAGAAAAACGGTGTGTACGGATGTCCAGAGTATTTCTATATTTCGTCGTCCAAACAGACGCTCGACGACAACGATGACAATGGCGACAGTGATGTTGATATAACCAAAAAAAAGAAAACACAAGTGTCCGTGTTCCTCTTGCTTCGCCCGCACGCGCGCGCGTTCTTACGTTGCGCAAAATGACTTGATAATACGTATTAAGCGATTTTGGATGAAGTTGAAACTTTTTTTCAATGAACAACTCCCCTCCCCAGCCGAAAAGAAACTCCTCGCCCACGTTTCCATGAAAACAACAAAAACCAGAATGTTCCTTCGTGTCCCTCAACCTAAACCCTCCGCGGAACGCCAAACGATATGGAGGATGCTAACGACAGCCAAAACGGCAACGAAGAGATGTTTAAGAAAGAATAAGGAGGAAAAAAGGTCCGAGATAACCAGGAAAACACCAGAAACTTCGGAGAGAAATATCAACTCTCAGCAAGGGCAGAGCGCTAGCACACGACACCGCCAAAGGGCGTGCACGTCCGCAAGTCCCTGACCAGGTCCTCGACGTTGCTCAGGTGGCGGCCCAGCAGCTCCTGCTTCTCCTCGGTCGTCAGGGTGTCGGCGGATTCGCTGCCAGCGCGGCTCCGCGTGTGGTTCGCATCGGCGGTGGGGGTAGATGCGGCGCTGCCGAAGGCGCCGGCGAGCTTGCTGGGGCTGCGCTGGTGGATAGCGGGGATGGAGGCGCGGACGTCGGCGCGGGGGATGGAGGGGACCTCGGGCATGAGGTAGAAGTAGAGGAACTCGACGAGCTTGAGCTTGACCTCACGGGCGGTGGAGCGGGACTTGAAGAGGGAGGTGACGGTGAGGAGGCCGTCGAGGGCCTCGAAGGCGCGGGTATTTGTGGGCGTGTCAATCAGGGCGGTGACAAGGGTGAGGAGGGTGGCAGACTGAATCGCGGGACAGTTGACGGGTTCGAGCAGGTCAAGGAGAAGCTGGAGGGAAGAAGTCAGTATTTGCGATGAGGAGAAGACGACGCGGAAGTAAAGCGAGAACGTACGTTCATATTCTGCTCTCGCGAGAAGAGGGCTTTGCTGGGCGGGTGAAGTAGCAGGACGCCCTGGATCAGATCCAGCGAGCTGAGGATCAGAAGGTCGTTCTGTCCGTCGGTGCCCTTGCCCATCAGGCGGTCGAGAGTGTTGATGAGGCGTAGCGCGACGTTCCATTCGAATCCCTCCTGCAGCTTGAAGAACTCGCGAAAGGCCGGGTCGTCAGACAAGTCGGCGAGAGACTTGCCACCGCTGGCATGCGGAGACTCGTCGTCCGCCGTCGGAGATCTTGCCTTTGCCGGCGACGAAAGGCAGATCTGGGCGAGGAGGCCCTCGACTTGGCGCAGACCTTTACGGATCTTGGGGCCGTCGTAGGAGGAGAGGCCATCGAAGGCGAGGCTGAGGAGATTTTCCATTCTTGTGGTGCGCGCGTGGCTCGTGGGATGAATAGTTATTTGTGTTGTTGAGGCTCCAGCAAGGCGGTGGCTTGGTGGTGGCTTGATCGGATATGGGTATAATGGACTTTGGGCGCAAATAGAAAGGCAAAGACAAAAGAGACGATGCGATCCTTATTGATGCGACTTGCGGATACTACGATGGTGACAATCGACGCCAAGACCGATCAAGGAGAGAGTGATGCTTGAGTCTATAAGCAGCAGCAGCAGCGTTGGCGGCGGCAGCACCGTCGGAAAATGTTAATACAGGAAGAGAGAAGAAAACAAAGAGATGAATGGCGAGGACAAGTCCTCTAGGGATCTGGGGGAGAGGGTATCACGATTGCGACGATTGCAGAGGAGGGAAAGGAGGAAATGGCAAAAGTCGGCGGCGAGCGCAGGTAGTCATTTGAGGGTTGAGTGCCGGCTCGAGAAGGGGTCTGAGAGTGAGAGGGGGAGAGAGAGAGAAGGCGCGAGGCAACTTCCATGTGTGTTTGTGTTGCGTTGGACGATTGATGCCCCAGCAACCGGGTCGATCCAGCACGTTGGGATGGGGATTTAGCGCGGCCCAAAAGGGAACTCTGTTCTCTGATTGGCCTGCCCGGGCTTAGGTAAGGCAGCCAGGCGGGTCCGCAGGGTCAATTGGGCGATTCGAGGTGCGTTGGTGCATTGCGGGGGCACGGGCCGTGGCACCTTGGGCTTTCTTTCCTCTCTTCAGGGTTCAAGGCTTTTGTCTGTTGGTGCATCCAACCTTGTCACTTGTTCGGGGTTGCGATCAAGGTACGAGATAAGGTAGAGAGTTGATACTACTCCAAGGCATGGTAAGCGAAGTCTTGGCCTAAATCTCCCCGTCTCGACCTTGGCTGCCTTGCCTTGCCTTGATCCCAGATTCCCGCTAACTGCAAAGCCTGGGACAGATGGGACGGCATTCTGCAGGCGCCAATCGAACGGGGAGATTTCTCTGCAGGGTCTATCGCAAGACCCGCGCGTGCTTAAGACCGGCACTTATTGCGGATGAAACCTGGAGGCACGAGGGGTTGGCACATCTCCGATTTCAGCACCTGGGGCTTTCCGACTCAGAGACAGCTCCTGCCCTCCCTCGGCATTTACACTACGACGACACGCCAAACCGGTTGACACATATGCGCCGTGGCATGGCACGAAACAGGGTCAAGGGATGACAAATGTGACAGGCGGCGGGATCCAGCGCTTTACGTGCCATCCGAGAGAGAGACTTTGGCTGCAAGTGTGGGATTCAAGACTAGCCAAGTGGCACATCACTCACCTATCTTCTAGAAACCCTCTTCTGCTCCCGAGTTACATTCGAATGGGTCGTGCCTCCGTGCGCCGCGCAGATTCTTAAGACGGAGAGTTCGCACGAACCTCTGCCTGCTGCTCTGGTTACTTCTTGTCTTCTGCGCTCCATCTTCATCTTCACTGTATCGTCAGCCAAGTGGAAGCGAATCATCTCGTGGCGCATCGAGCACGATACCTTACCGAGTTATCCGGACGCGAAACTTTCGCTGTTTTCTTACCCTCTCCCACCATCGGTCTCACTTCCACTCGGAGCAAAGCCCGCCGCGCCTGCCTGGAGCTCGGTATCGATGAAAGCCCGACCCCAACTCAACTGTAAATTGATGACGTCCTAAGTTCTGCCCCCAACGCAGTCCGAGCAATCTCCTCACCATCAATCGATAAGAGCTCCAACAACGCGTTCAATCGGGCATCTTAAATCTCCCTCAGCACTTGCGCAAGTTGCTGCATGAACAAGGTGCGCAGGCTGTGTTCTGTTGGCATGTGAATGCCCATCTTGGCCGTTTTCTCTACTGGTTGCTGCCTTGCGCTTTGTTTTTCTTCATGTCGGCCTACTGCAGGTCTCGCTCTAGGACTTTGTTAGGTGCCCGATTTATTTCCCATCCATTAGAAATATGTTGAGCATGGATCAGTGATCCAACTCTGCCTTGTCCTCTGCCTGTTCCGCTCACCTACCCCTGTTCTTCCTTGCAGCAAAAAAAGGTCCTATTCACGAAGTCATGACGGTCTACATGCCCTTGTTCCCCGCTGGAGGGGCCATGCACATTCACCAATGCAGGCAAAGGGCACTCGCATACGCGCAACCAGTCCTATCGCCCGCTCCCGCCCAAATCCCAATCCCAGGCTGAAGCCCACCTTGGCTGAGCAAGTGGTGACGTTTACACGAATAAGCAGCATTACCACCGACAGCGCCAGCTGACCGATTCTACCACAACCCACCGGCCAGAGCTCCACCAAGCGGCATTCCCAGCCCACGCGAGCTCCGAGCTTGAGCCAACAGCTGGAGCTCAAGCAGCTGCCGCATCCGCGCCAACGCCAGCTGTCACAGAGGGCGAAGCTGCTGAGACCGGGGCCTCCCTCCCAGAGCCAGACACCCTTAAGAAGCCACGCCTCTTCCCCTGGCAAGCGGCCCTTTGGAGAAAGCTCCCTTTCACGATGGTGCCTACCGCGTCGACGTCGTCTTCCTCAAAGAAAACCACCGACAAGTTCTCGGTCACTACAAATAACCCCTCCTTCCCCCCTTCCCCGCCGAACCTCATCCCCTCTCGCAAATCATCCATCGGTCAGTCCTCCGCCGCGTCCGTCACCCCCTCCGCCCACGCGGCCGCGCCCGTGACCTCCAAAGCGCCCCTCCGCACCGTCCCCGAGACCAACTGGCTGTCCCGCGCAAACTACAAACCCAGCAACCGCACACTCTCCCATAAGCACTCGTATTCGCACTCCTCCCACCGATCCCGTCGTCCCTCTCTGGGGAACCAAGCAACCTCCTTCACACTCACGATGCAGCCTCCCCCGCCCCCAGACCCCTCGCGCTACGCGACTTCCGACCTGAACTTCACCCGCAAGACCTGGCCCGAGGAGAAGGACAAGGTCATCACCGGCCCGTTCGACTACCTCTCTGCACTCCCCGGCAAGGACTTCCGCGCCCAGCTGATCCAGGCCTTCAACGTCTGGCTCGAGGTGCCCCAGGAAAGCATCGACGTCATCACCAACGTTGTCGGCATGCTGCACACGGCCTCGCTGCTCATCGACGACGTTGAGGATTCGTCGTCGCTGCGCCGCGGCCTCCCCGTCGCCCACAACATCTTTGGCGTCGCCCAGACCATCAACTCGGCCAACTACATTTACTTCTGCGCCCTGCAGGAGCTCCAGCGCCTCAAGAACCAAAAGACAATCTCCATCTTCGCCGAGGAGCTCGTCCACCTACACCGCGGCCAGGGCATGGACCTCTTCTGGCGCGACACCCTCACCTGCCCGACGGAGGAGGACTACCTGGAGATGGTCGGCAACAAGACGGGCGGCCTCTTCCGGCTGGGCATCAAGCTCATGCAGGCCGAGTCGCGCAGCCTCACGGACTGCGTCGAGCTCGTCAACCTCATGGGCCTCATCTTCCAGATCCGCGACGACTACATGAATCTCTCCTCCAAGGAGTACTCGGACAACAAGGGCATGTGCGAGGATCTCACCGAGGGCAAGTTCAGC